CATCACTTCCATAGGACTCATGCTAGCTACACTACAGGCCCTGACAGATAAATGTTCCGAAGCCGGAGATCCCTGAACTGCTGGAATATCAAAAGGGTTCATCATTGGTGGAGAACCCACAACAGATGATGCAGACGAGAGAAGATCCTTGTTCATCAACTGCTGCTTTGCGGCCGCCAGCTCCTGTCTCAGCATCTGCATCTGGTCATGCAGTTGCTGTCGATCTCCCACCAGCTTCTGGTTGTCCGCTGCAAGAATTGAGATCTGCGCCTCAGCACGCTGGGTGGCGGTCATGATCTCACCTTCAGCTTGTCTGGCCAGAATGGCCTTTTCCTGTTGGACCTGTTGCAACTGATGAGCATCCTTACTTAATTGCTGAACAGCTAGGTCTCTTTCATGCTGAACCTGTGAAATCTGCTGAGACCCTTCTGCATGTATACGCTGCATCGCCAACCGGCTCGCTTGCTCAGCTTGATTCAACCTAGCCTGGTGTTCCAACTCTATACGCGCCAAATGCGCGTTCATTTTCTCCCTCATCTGTGAAACAGTAGCTTCTACCCGATACTGAACCGTGGATTCAACTAAATGCTCCAGCTGCTGAGGGTCAATCATGTTGTGAACGGATTGGGAATGATGTACATTTTGTTGTTGGTGATGGTGCAATGTATTTTGTTGAAAATTTTGGGTGTTGTATTGGTTCAACGTTTGACCATCTCTCCCAGTAGCAGTATGCGCAGATGACCGCCCACCAGTCCTCGTGTGCGCAGCTGAAGACACTTGCACTTCCTGAGGCGGGCTGGAGTCTGCTATCGCTGCTGGACCCGACTGCATCTCTGGTGACTCTGAAGATGTGGAATACTCAATCCCTGGACCGACAACTCTGAATGGCGTCGCAGGCACCTCCCTTTTCATGCAGCCAAAGATACAGGGGAAACTACCGCGCAATTGCGCGAACACCCAAACAAATTAAAAATGAATTTAATCGCGCAAGCGCGAGCGATCAAGATGACGAGAAATTCCGCGCAACGCGCGTTCAGACAAAGATATACCAACGACTACCGCGCAAGCGCGATCTGCAAAGGGCAACGAAAACACTTGAAGGGCTGCTGCCAAACACTGACAAACAAAAATCAATCCTGACACTTCTCACAGGGAATCAAAGTTTACCAGGAGTGCCAACTCACGCCAATGACTTCAAATAGGACGGCAATGGCACCGAATCAATGTCAGTTCTTCGGATCAACCGCTCCAAAGGCCGAAGGCTATCACTTGGCGATCTGCTGTCAGTTGTGATGGCAACCACCTTGGACCCACGTGCACGATTGACTTGCAACTGAAGGATGTCGTTGCAGAGGGCACGCTGATCGTCCACAAAAATGGCAATGCCAAGCTCCTTGACCAGTTCAGCCTTTGACTGGGTATGCCCAGTCACACTGGGTCCCTTTGTCCAATCTGAGGTGCGCTTGCGAGGCACAATGCAGATGTCCTTGAACGGACGTTGCAATCTTTGCTCCAAAGCTCGAGCTGCTGTCAACGTGGTGTTTTGCGTGGCCAATGCACTGCTGAATGACACCACGCAAAGATCCCAGCCTTTGTTCAACAAGTCCCTGAGGATCGCAATGCTGGATGCCGGAACAAAACCCTCCAGAGCACCACCGTCAGTTTCACGCTCGTGGCTCAAAGTCTTATGCCAGTCCAATCCAATCAAAGGTCTCTCAGTAGATCTTGCCCCTGACGCCGTGGAAGATGGTGCAATGTCCGCAACAACCTCCGAGGACTTTGCAGCAGCCTTGGCTGGCTTCAACTGAACAGTCCTCTCCTGGAGAGACTTGGGCTTTGCAACCTCCGACTCGGCCCCTTTTGCAAGCTCCTTGGCCTTGCGAACAGGAGTGATCTTCACAGTGCGCTCTGGCGCAGCTGGTGTTGTGGTAGCACAGGATGAAGGAGCAGATGAGGACGCTGTAGATGGTGCAGACCCAACAAGCTTTGTCGAAGACGATGGCTTTGCCGTGTCAACGGAAGATGGTCTCGAGGCCACCTTCCTTGTTTCAGCCTTTCTCTGCTTCGGAGATCTCGGCTTCTTCGGCACCTTGGGCTCTGCCTCCACTGGAGCAACTGTAGGAGCAGGCACCTTTGAAGCAGCAGCTGAAAACGGTTTGGACCTCCGCGGCAAAGGAGACCTAGATCGCCTCTTTGCAGGCGGTGCCGCCTTCGGCGGTGTCTCAGGGGCCCTTGAACCCGCCTCGGTGTGTTCCACCCACACCCACGACAATTGCCACTCACCACTGGCACCCCCAGCGGGCGTAGGTGGAGGAGCGATGGGTCGTGCCGGCACCGCTACAGAAGAGCTCGATGTAATCACACGTCGAGATGACAAGGATCTGACCGATTCTGTGTGATGCACTGTCCTTGCCGGCCGTGGCGGCACAGGCACAGGCACAGCAGCAGCTGAAACCTCCTTGGCTACCGCGCCAGCTTCTGCAGCCGACCTCGAGCGCTCTTCGCGCCTACGTTGACCCTCCCTGTCTATTTCGTATTGCTCCGGGTCGAAGTAGTCTAAGTGGCTTACCAAGCCAGCAGCTTTTCGAGCAACCTGCGATCTGCGAAAAGGATCTCCACCACGTCTTCCACGCTCACGTTTTGGAGGCTGTTCCGACATTACGCGCCAAGCGCGATCAATGATCAAGATGGTGTAATGCAGTGAAAATGCTTGATCTACTCTGCAACCAAATTGTTTCGAAAGTTCAGTCTCACAACCCAATAGTGATAGTGAAGATAGAGCCGAGTGCGGCTGATAACCAGATAAGATCAGAGAAACGCACCTGATTCCTGAATCCAGTATAAATAAGATATATCGCGACAGGCGCGTTCAATGCAAGTTGAAATCACAAATGGACAAATGCAAGTGCAGTTGGATGCAAACACAATGCAGAATCAAGGCAACAAAGCAATGCAGTTGGAAGCGAACACGCAATGAAACCTTTTTGTCCGAGTGTTTTCTTGAGCCAAACAGCATGTTCAGCAAAGTTCAGCAAGGCTACAAACTATGCGAGTTTGAACTCATGTTCTTCTGAACTAGTTAAGCCTATTGCCGGAAGACAAGTAACTGATACAAGTCTACAATTGCAAATGACATCAAGGGTGCTAGAGGAAAGCTCACATGAGAAATATACACTGTACCATGCGAGTATTTTCAACTTAATATAATACCACTAATAGTGAATGCAGCAGGTAATACCATACTGTTGTAAATAGGGCGTCACCTTTGCTAATACCACACAAGTATGAATGACTGGTGCTGCAGGTTTAGGAGTGCATAAACCAATAAGATCATCAAGAACCAATAAGTATTGCAATCCCTTCGTTTCGGGAACTGTCTTGCCGTGACCACCAGGGGACGACCAGAAGATGGCTGGCCATGGCCATGACCCAAGGGAGGTGCCTTGCAGCCTTCGCTATTGAAGACTGCCAAGCGTGCCAAGTCTCCGTGGCAAATGATTTACAGTATCTCTTCAAAGTTAGAACAAAAATGCGAAGGGATTGAAGACCGCAAGCAATCTGACATCTAAGACAAATCGCGCATGAACAGCACCCAGAAAACTTAATCCTGATGTTGGGCGATCATTGCAAGTACCCCAGCTATGACTATGCTCAATTGGATAAGAACAATGCCTGATCTTCCGACCCTATGTTCGGAGTTTCCACCTGAAAGTGCGCACGTTTTTACATTCGCCGTCATTCGCCAATCCATCCAAAAATATCCAGAAAAAGTCACATCAAAAAATCAGCCCCTCTGTCAGTGATGCCATGAACTGGTTGGTCAGACGTTGATGCATACAGGTCCCGAATCCATCCTTTTATCCTTCGTTTCTAGCCAAACAGTTGGCCCAAACCGGCACCATTCACCCAGATATACCCAGATTTACCGGACTGGTACCCTTGCAACCACTAAATTTGAATATAATATAATATAATTATAATATAATTATAGTATATTATAGTATATTAATATAATTATAATATAATTATAATATATTAATATATAACTATAATATATATAATTATAATATAATTATATATAATATAAGCTTGCTGAGCGCCCAGCACGTACTTCTGGACTTCCCGCTGGTCCTGTTTCAACGGATTTGGATTAGAACCAGAGGGTTCTCACCATGGCATATCCCTAGAATTCCACCAACCATTGGTTCACCAAGACTCTGGGAATTAATAGGTTGGTTGAAGGGAAAATCATGGAAAATCTACGGGAAACCATATTCTTCTCTTACTATGAAATAGGATACCCTCTGGTAATTTAACATAGCTATTGAAAATCACTATTTTTAATGGGAAAATCCACTATTTCTATGGTCATTTTCAATAGCTACGTTAAATTACCAGAGGGTAACCTAGGGGGTTCCTGCAAACTTTCCCCTACAACATCCTCCAGCAAAAAAAAAAAAGCAAAAACGTGACCTCCGAGATGCCAAGCGCCGCTCATGCCTGCCAAACTGACTGCAACGGCGCGGCTTAAGCACTGCGAACAGAAATTGTTTTAACATACGTGTTGTAATTAAATTCCGAGTCAACAATGGTGTTTTCAACATGTCAATCTCGGATTTGATGAAAAAGAACTTCAGTCCGGTGCTACCAATTCCCAACCGCTTGTAAAATCTGGTAATTCAAGCTGCAATTATTGGAATTTGCCCCATTCAAATGAACTGCACAGGTCAGGTCATTGTCTAATTGAGACACTAGATTTTTCGGAGCTTTACATGGATTCTCCGTTGCTATGTTAGCCGACCGCAGCCGAGAGATTATTCACAACCTGTAGTCCCAAACAAGTCCGCCAACGTTTAATCACAAACTGAACTATGCCCATACTGAGGCCGTAGAATTTGTGTTATCTTGCCGTCAAAGTCACCATGTCATACCATGTCCGAATGCTAGCAACTGCCACCAAAGCGGCACATGCCGAAGGCAAAGGAACATGTCACTTCGGATGTTTTTTTCGGTCATGATGAGGCGCAAAGAAGCGGTCATGGTTCCAATGCTCAAAACTCAGAACTACAAACATCCGGTGTGCAAGTAACTAGCAGCCTTCACACTTTAGGCATGGGGCTCTCCCGCCCAAGCCTTCTCAACTACAATCAGCCACCACTGCACTAGAGTACAAGACTTTGGGTGAGCATGATGACAGGAAGGCTCATCCAGCCCTTCCAAACTCACTCATCTCACTATTATATACATCTGAGCCTCTTCGCTGAGCACATCAGTAGGCAAGTTGAATCTCCTCACATCTTGGGCATAGCACCGCCAGGCATGCCGGGCATAGTAGGCATTCCACCCTTCGCAGCTGCTCCTGCCATCATCGGCGGCATCCCCGGCATTCCCATGCCAGGTGCCGTTGGTGGCATGCCGGGCATCCCTGGCATCCCTGGCATCCCTGACATCTTGGGATATCCTCCTGGCATCGGTGGCATGCCTGGCATGCCCGGCATCCCCGCCGCCTTCCCCGGGAGGCCGACTGCACCTGGTGCACCCGGTGCACCCGGTGCACCTGGCACCTGCAGCCCTGGCAGGGTCGGCAAAGGCCCCAAACCTGGCATGGCTGGCAGCCCTGGTACACCTGGCATGCCCAGCTTGGGCGCAGCTGACATTCCTGGCATCCCTGGCAGGCTGGGCAACTTGGGCAACTCAGGCAGCGCTGGCACACCAGGCAACGCGGCGGCTGGCTTTGCTGCAGGGGCTCCGGCACCTGCAGCGGCTGGGGCACCCATAGAGGGTTGGCTTTGGGCAGCTGGCGCTGCAGCTGCGTCGGGCTTCTTCTCGGCTGGGGGAGCCTTGGGGCGCTTGGGCATCACTGTGTGATCTCGGCGGAACTTGCTGCCGGCGCGTTTGCGCTGACTCAGGGTCAAGGTCACACCATTTTCAAGATTGTAGAAGCCAAAGGTGAACCTCTCCTTGAGATATCCTGCAGGATCAGAATGCCTCGGCGTGAAGGCCAATTTCTGGCCTAAGACTTATTAGTTCTGATGGATTGACTGGTACCTTAGTCTTTCCCATGCGCTCCACTGCGACAGGCCTGTAAATGACCACTACAAACATCTATCTAATCCATTCCTTCTCGATGTCGCTTGCAAACCTGCTTCCGCCGCCACACCATTCTGTGTTCAATCCATGTCATGTAATTTCACTAGATTGCAGCTGCATTCCAATCTTACATCTCGATCACTTTGCTTTGCACTCATCCGATTCTTGGTTGAACTGTGTTGAATAAATCACCCCATGCACCCAACCAGGTTCTTCTCCACATTTTTGTTGGACTTCACATGAACAACATGTGTTTGCGGATCAGCATCAAATCTTATGTTTTTTTCCGTGTAGACCCACAAAAGCACGAAACAATGGAGGTTTCCTCCATAGGGGTGCCCCAAAGTCATCTTTTTCAATGGGATTTTCCATTATAAACCATCCATTTTGGGGTACCAACATTTATGGAAACCCCCAAATAGATCATAAAAATCGTCGGGCAGCATATTCCTGCATCCCAAACATGCGCCTATCAACCTTCCATTCACCAGTTGGTTTGATTTTCGATGATAAACTGAATTTATTCAACTGGTGAATGGTTTGATTACTGCGCAACCTTCCATTCTTGATGCTTAACACCCAATAATCTTTGACACACTTGAATCATCGTTTTTCGCTGATGAATTCATCTCTTGCTGCCTAAAATTCCATTGAACACATGTTTTCAAACAGCATTCTTGATTCAAACTTCCATTCCCAATCTTTTGAACTCCAGGATTCCCCAATTTTCCCGAAAAAAAACAGCTGTTTCCCAGCCATTTCTCCAAGCTGCAGCTTCATGCGATTCGCCGGGATGGAACGCACCCCCATGGCCACCAACTTGGCCTTGACCGCCGCGCAGGTCTCGGTCAAGGGCAGCTCCACGGTGACCGATGTCATGCCCAGCTCGCCCTCGACCACGGAGACGTCCACGATGATTTTGATGGGCGAATCACCTGAGGCCAAAGGCGTTCTGAAAAAAAAAAGTTGGTTGAGGATGATGATAATGATGATAAGAGGAGTAACAACCATCAGAAATCATGAGATATGATAAATTCATATTATTATAATATATTGTGTGTGTATGTGTATGGATATGACCCATGGTATATTTACAAACGTTTGGGTCAGTTTGGGGTAAATGTTGGTCCGAAATGTCAGGAAAACTCAAAATCCAGTGTTGTTGATGATCATCTTTGCCATGTTGAATGGCCATAGAAATGGCAATGATATTCCGTACAAGCAATTCTGTTGAATTCGATGTTGCCAGTACTGGCTGTGGGTAGGAACTGGATGTGAGTGAGGTATAGTCCAACTAACTATATCAACTGGTTTGGAGAAATCACCTGATGTAATATGTTCCCAATGTTTTCATATATGTTTTCCCAATGGCCCAATGTTTTCAATCACCTGATGGGAAATCACTGATGTTTCCTGGAAAGGTCATTGAGGCATGGGAATCTTCGGGATGATTTATCCAACAAGGCCCATTCAACAAATGAGGAACTGGAGATATACCATCATCATGGTACGAAATACCTGGAAATCTCAACAAACATAGCACCAAAAAAAAACCACATCCAGCCACCACATCCAATATCATCCAATTCTACCAAAAGGCGGCCTCCTCATGTTATTTGCCTACGGACATCTATACATCACTATATATCCAGAACCATAAATTCCACTATCATCCAACATCATCCAGTTCTACCAAAATGATGCCCAGAAATTTCCAGAAAATATCAACGAAACATAGCAACTCCAACCCCCCAAACCCTCAGTTCTGCCAATTTGGCACCTTTCTCATCCAACCAATCCTGTTCCGACTTCAGCTCCACCAACTTCTGCTTGGGCGTGGCCATGGCCACCAAAGCGGTGCGCCAGGGGTCGATGGCGCCCAAGCCTCTGGCGTCTAAGCAGCCCGTCTTCGCCTGAGGCAGCGGACGGTTTCCTGGGATTTCATGGTGAGCTCATGAGATTTCATGGGGATGTAACCAATGTAACCATTCAAAAACTGGGGATTTCAGCCCAACTACGGCCAAATATGCTTCGTTTTCGTGGAAAGTGGATGATGGTGCCATGAAAACTTAGTATTTTTATGATCAATGGAGTGGATTTAAGGGAAAGTCTGCAGGAAAGGACGGCTTCCAGATAATCCCACACAAGTACTGTAAGAACTAATATTAAATTGATCAAATGATGCCCCCACATCCCATACTAAATCAGGGTTCTCCGGTGGTTGAATCTTTTGGGATGCGATTGCTTCGACCATACCTGATGACCTGATCTACCAATATTCACCATGTGTTTTGTTCTTGTTTTTAGCCAAAAGAACAAGTGCGAAGCTGAACAACAAAACTCAAAATTCCAAGGTCACATGCAGCACCGCAAGGCTGAGCCTGCAACAACTAACGCCAAAATGTTTCACCCAAAACTCCATGGGAATTGGGTTGACCTCAACCCACTGGATCCATCTGGCCTTGTCGCACGTGGCAATCAGAAAGCCGCTCTTCGAACGGGCATTCGCTACATAGATGCGCTCCGTTTCCTGACCAACCACAACTGTTCGATGCTGGTCCATTGCCATAATCATCCGCCCAGGGTGGACGTTGGGATGTTTGATGTATGGGCATCAGGAAGGGCATGGTATGGAATCAGGAACCAGTGCCTGCTTGACACAGCCGTCAAATGTACGAGCATGATCTATGATGATCCGTAAAGTAGGAGGGAAAAAAACTGTGTTGATAAAGAACTCTGGTTACATAAAGTCAGTGGTCATTGTACTCATTAAATCAGCTACTGGATCTTGTTATATAAATCTACTACTGTGTTGATAAAGGGTTACACCACATTCCACCTAGTCTTTTAACTTTAAAGAACTCTGGTCGCTAGCCACCGCCGCCCAGATTTACTGGTAAATCCATAGCATGCCCGCGAGATTTTCCCTTGAACCAAGCTAGTGATGTACCCACTGGCAATCAAACATGGCTTGCTGGAACCTCCCCATCTAGTTCGATGTTTTTCCCATTCAAACCTCCATTTGGTTCAGAGATTTCTCTTTGCCTGCCATGTTTGATGACACCGCAGAGTAAATCAATCCATGGATAGAGTATGACCAAGTTATATATCTCAAGTTATATGTCTAAAGTTATATTTAATTCATTATCCCCATTTCCAAATGTTCTTTCTGCACATCCGGCCAGTGATATCTGACTCGCGGCCATGTGGTTCAGCACTCGCGACTGCAAGTTCTCATTCAACGACGCGAAGACCGTGATGGCGCGCAGGTCCAGGTCGCCCTCTTTCAACAAGCCTTCCTGGTGCACAGAACTGCAATGGTCGATTTGGAAAGGGTCACCACACATAAATTTGGGTGAATCAAAAGATATATGGATATGCAAATGATATGCATATAGTGTGCGTATACTATATGATGTTATATAAATATGTATAGTAATAGTAATATAATACCATCATATAATATATAAATTGATATGCATCAATATACATGTTCACATCCAATATTTATTTATATCAAATATATAAACATCTCAAGGGGTAGCTGGCAGTTGGGCTCCTCGAAGAGCTTCTCCAATCGCTCTCTGATGTCTGCCGGAAGCTGCTTGATGGCCACGGCCACAATCTCCTGTTCACCTGGGTGGTGCAGCACAGGGCTCCCAAAAACCATGGGGGAAAACAGGGCGGGAAAGAACAACGGTTGCAATGGGGGAAAAAATGGGGAAAACAATGGTTGTTCACTACTGTGGTATTCTTGGGTTGATTGATTGTGACCTATTCGCATAATTTTACATACGAGTACATAATTACATATAATTATATAATATTATATACATGTTCTGGGGGCTAGAACCTCATGTCTGACGGCTACAGCATGCTACAGCCCACTGAAGCATCACATCTTAGAAATCGCCAAACATATATTCTTTGTTGGGCATCCAACTTTTACCCATCTTTTACCATGTGTTGTCCTTCTGTTTGGGGGGCGCTAGGAAAAGCCGCCCATTCTCAGCCGCAGCCAGGGCACTGTTTCCGGCCTTGGCCGCGGAGGCCACATCTTTCGGCTCGCGTGAGCGCGAGCGACTGCGATCTCCCATGGTGGCAGCGTCTGAGCTTCACCGGACCACGGCGTTGGAACCAAGGACGGCTACGGCGACGAAACCGGGGCAACCGGAAGCACTGCGGGTGAACTTCTCATGTGATGGATTCTTGAAGATCGTTAAGTACCTTTTATCGAGATTTATTGAGTAACCAGTACCTTTCATCAACTAATATGTGGGGTATGAACACCTCATTGTCTGGAGGGATGTATCAAAGTCTTTTCTTGGGGGTTGAGGAAACATAATCAACATATTTCAAAATGATGACTTACGAGCAACTATATAGTTGTATATAAATTCAAAGATCTTCTAAGGCTCTAAGGGTAACCTAGAACTAGCCAGAAGGATTATATATACCCTCTGGTAATTTAACATAGCTATGGAAAATCACCATGTTTAATGGGTAAATCCACTATAAATGGCCATTTTCAATGGCTATGCTAAATTACCAGAGGGTATATATTAAAGCAAAAAAAGGTTTGCATCTGTGGTTTCTTGGCATTCCTTAGGCTTAAAAACTGTCCCACAGCCATTCGCAGGAGTTCCTCCGCCATTTCTCCACCCCGCTGCACAAACCTCTGTAGAGCTACTGTTCTGAACTGTTGGGGCCGTCACGACATGTCAAGAGCAAAAGGGTGTTTTCCTGAGATTCCCTTGGAGATTACCAATTACATTACAATATGTCGTTTAAGCAGAAAGAGTCAGAAAGGTTGGCACTTTGTGGATGATAAGCAATCATTTCTGGGGTTTCGTGGTGAGGATATTTTAGCTACAATTTCCCCCTGTTGGATACATGTTGTCACCCTCTCAGCTGTCCAGGCCCACAAAGGTAAACAAAAGGTTATCTTTCAACTTTCGACACAGTCTTGGTGGCAGTGAAAGCCCGAACAGGCTGCTCGGCGAGAGAGGGTGTCGGGAAAATCGCCAATCCGTGGTGTGTTCGGCGCTTCAAAACCCAGTCTTCATCGCCCAACAGCGACTAGGGGTTGGATTCTTGGGTGCCGCATAGGTAATGTAGTCAGTTGTGCCAACTCATTTAGCACTTTCATTCAAATAGAATACGCATCTGTTGATTCACCATACCTTTACACATGATTTAGAAAAACAGCCACAATCATCACAAGTGACGTATAGGGGTGGACGCACATATGACACCGAATCATATCAGATTCGGTCAGGTGATTTCATGTTGTTCTTGGATGTTCCTGGCGATGTTCCCCAAAAACGAATGGCCACCGTGTACCACCTACCACCCATAAATAAATGCATTTGGGTCAACACATGTCAACACCTATGATGCCGTCTGACTGGGGGGCTCGGCATTCATGCGCACAATTACATATCATTACCGGCTTTCAATTGATGTGAAAGCCAAAGGTACCCGGTACCCCTAGTGAACTGACCTACTGTACAAGCATCTTAGAAGTAGCTGATGTTATCGGCACCCAGCAAGAAACAATTTCACAGAACGGCAGGGCCCTTACCTTTGGTAAGGTGCCGTTCTCAGAGGAATCCTTGGGGAAGCTCCTGACGCAGCGGTTGGGTGATGTTGGGTGATACTGAACCCTGACACATGCTAAAGGACGTAATAGAGTAGGCTGCAAGCTCCATTGAACACATTTGCATCTGAAAAACAATGATATTACCCACTGGTAAACTAACATAACTATGGAAAATCACCATTTTTAATAGGTAAATCCACTATAAATGGCCATGTTCAATAGCTATGTTAAATTACCAGAGGGTACTATTACATACTATTACTCTTTTACTCTACAGCAAGTGGTCTCAAAGCGCCGTGGTTGAGGAGCAATGACTGCGAATATCTGCGAATTGTACTGGTCCATGGTGTCTTGTTCGTCTACACGTGGCAAACTATTCCCCATCTAGACAAACATCAATGAAGGGTTTTGCCACTGCTCAACTTATCCAGAATCCGTTCCTAAAGCTGGGAGATGTTTCCGAGCAATATGATCTGTGGTGAGCAGGCATGCTGGTTCAACACACACACACACACATATATATATATAATATATATATATATCGCAACACATACCTCTAGAACGCAACGTGAACCTGTCGAGCTTCAGCATAAAAATTAAGGTTCGAAGAAAACAATCCAAACATGCCCCTGAAAACATGGAAGGGGTGCCCGAACCCAGGAATTTTGTTCTGGACATGTCCCACTAATGAAGTGCTGCTGAGACAAATAGAGCGCTCAGTCTGAAACCGTTTACTCAGAATGGTCGCCCAATGGGTTCATTTAGCAGTGTTTTTGGTACCGTTTGCCCCAAATATTATTGGATGGATGGGGTGGGAACTCCTCACCATTTCAGTGGTACATGAGTAAGTCTCAAAATCATCAACACTAAGAAAACATGCCAATGGATGGTTCTACATCCCTTCGAAACTTATGTTAAAACCAAAGTACTGAAATTATCTGAAATCATAGTTAAATCAAAATAAATGTACTGAAATCTAATAGTTAAATCAAATAAATGTACTGAAATCATCGTTAAAACAGATAAATGTACTGAAATCATAGTTAAATCAAATAAATATACTGAAATCATAGTTAAATCAAATAAATATACTGAAATCATAGTTAAATCAAATAAATGTACTGAAATCATCGTTAAAACAGAGAAATGTACTGAAATCATAGTTAAATCAAATAAATATACTGAAATCATAGTTAAATCAAATAAATGTACTGAAATCATAGTTAAATCAAATAAATATACTGAATCATAGTTAAATCAAATAAATGTACTGAAATCATAGTTAAATCAAATAAATGTACTGAAATCATAGTTAAATGAAATAAATATACTGAAATCATAGTTGAATCAAATAAATATACTGAAATCATAGTTAAATCAAATAAATGTACTGAAATCATAGTTAAATCAAATAAATGTACTGAAATCATAGTTAAATCAAATAATGTACTGAAATCATAGTTAAATCAAATAAATGTACTGAAATCATGGTTAAATCAAATAAATGTACTGAAATCATAGTTAAATCAAATAAATGTACTGAAATCATAGTTAAATCAAATAAATGTACTGAAATCATAGTTAAATCAAATAAATGTACTGAAATCATAGTTAAATCAAATAAATGTACTGAAATCGTAGTTAAATCAAATAAATGTACTGAAATCATAGCTAAATCGAATAAATGTACTGAAATCATAGTTAAATCAAATAAATGTACTGAAATCATAGTTAAATCAAATAAATGTACTGGAATCATAGTTATATCAAATAAATGTACTGAAATCATAGTTAAATCAAAATAAATGTACTGAAATCATAGTTAAATCAAATAAATGTACTGAAATCATAGTTAAATCAAATAAATGTACTGAAATCATAGTTAAATCAAATAAATGTACTGAAATCATAGTTAAATCAAATAAATGTACTGAAATCATAGTTATATCAAATAAATGTACTGAAATCATAGTTAAATCAAAATAAATGTACTCAAATCATAGTTAAATCAAAAATGTACTGAAATCATAGTTAAATCAAATAAATGTACAATCAGTTTAAGGTACAGTACGTGATAATCAAATCCACATGTGATGGATCCATCATGTCCCAAACGCCACGAATTATGTCCTCACAGGAGCTCAACGGCCGGCATCAAGCTGCTCTCGTTAATCATGTCGTGAACCCCCTGCCGGGAAGTGGAAGAGGACAAGCCAAGAACACAAGGAATTGAGTGATGGATCTGACATTCTGTGGTGATTATTACTTTGAGATCCCAAAAATCAAACAACTATTAAATTAACAAAAAAGGTCAGGTATGGGTCGGTTCATTCTGATGTCTTGAAGTCAAGGTCATCATTAGGATGGCATTCTCTTCACCACCAATGACATCAGCTTCCTCAGCCGGCAGCTAGCCTCTAAGAAGAGGGGCCCGAAAGGCAAAACGCAAATGGTTGTCCTGGGACAGGCACTCTAATGATACATCATCCAAAACTCAACAGAGCCCCTGAGCTGGTAGTTCAGAATCTTTCGAAATCATGAAACGGCCCCCTATCATCTTAGATTCCATGTATATTTTGTCCGGTATCAGTTCCCCATTTGTTTACGGCTTGCTATCCAATGTTTGAAGCCCAGCATCACCACCGTCTGCAGCACAGTGGGCATCATACTCCAGCCGCGTCTTCCCAGCCAGGTCGTCTTTACGAGCATCACCTGAGACAGCATCTGGAGCCAGGCGTTGAAGATTCTGTTTGGATGATTTGGCTAGTGACGTGTATATTATATATACATGATTATAAATGCATGTATATATATAAGACGATTCTTATGATTAAAAGCTTTGAAGATTCTGTCTTTGGGTTGTCTCTATTCTATGATATTCTATGTTTATGTGTATTTGCTGTTTTATAGCTTTCATTAAGCTGTTTGGGGGTCCATTTCAAGTATATAAATCCATTTCACGGCGAATTACAGCAATCCCCAACAAAAATAGAAACAATTACCCTCCAGTAAATTAACATAGACCCTGCCAGATAGGGGTTGGAAGATTAGTTTCCATTAAAAAAATGTTATTTTCAGGGTCTATGTTTATTTGCTAGAGGGTAGAAACATAGAATCCTGCTATATAAAAATACTGGAAAATCAACCTCTTTAAATCTCTTAGGTGGTTACTATACGACACTTAAGGCTTCCACATCTACGATTTCCGGCGCCCCACAACCTGCACAGCTGTGGCCAAATATTGCAGCACGAAGAAGACCAAGACCTGGCGATATATGGCACATCTAATATCAACAGTAATGCACTGTAGATATCTGTATAAATGGAAATGGAAAATATATAATCAAGATGGGAATAATGGAAATTACTAAGTTTCGAGATCAACTCAACAAGTACTGCGGTCTAGATTGTGGATCATCACTCATTTGTCACATCTTTCCAGCTGTTTCTTCAGCTCCAACTGACCCGTTTCTTCAGCTCCAACTGACCCAAGAGAGGGCATCCCTTGGCCTTGCCCGGAGAGTAGCGGCTCCCTTCGGGCCGGGCCAGGTGGAGCATCAACCACATGTATTCGTGGAAGACACCGGACCTCGGTCATGGCTGTTGCTGGAGCTATTGGGGTTCCGGTTGGGGGGTCCCAAACCACGATCTGGGAACAAACTCTGTTGCCACGGCTATAAACATATGTGGTTTCAGTATGGTGTTTACATGTGTCTACTAAATCATCAAATATTATTTTAAAAAAATAATGGTTGGATCATCTTGGGTCAAAATGGTTGGACCTATCCAATGCGTAGCTGGGTACCTTCCAAGCGGGCTGGAAGCCCGACCCCTAAATTGGATGACTTCTTGGCTTGAAACTGTTTGCGGGTCAGCCTGCTGTGGAGCCCGAGACAGAAAGTTAAGGAAAATCCAACTTGGACTGTGAATCACGAACGCTGACACTAAGGTGCTGAAGCCTCCTTCGGTTGCTCATCCCAGCAAAAGTGATGATATCCACTGTTCAGCTCAGTGATTGGTTGGTCATAGATCTTGCACACAAATCTCCCCATTTTTTTGTTGGCTTAATGGCAAGAATGGCAAGAGGCATTTTTAGGGATCCAAATGGATCCAAGAAGAAAACGCAGTCCACTGAGGAACAAAAGGCCCCCACCTGTTGTATCCAAGTGACATGAGAAAAGACACAAAGCCTGCAATGTTCTTCTTCACAGGTCCACCATGCTGAAACGGCATAAAGAAGCACCGCTTCATCAAATTGTGTACCTGGAGTTCTGCCCGAGGTCGGCCCATCACTGCAAAAGGGGCACTCAGAAACAGAAACCGTAGAGACCTTTATGCCTCCATATACCCTCTGGTAATTTAACATAGCTATTGAAAATGGCCATTTATAGTGGATTTTCCCATTAAAAATGGTGATTTTCCATAGCTATGTTAGTTTACCAGAGGGTACCTCCTATGCCCAACCAAATAGAGTTTTTAGACTCCAAAACCACAGGTCTCAGGTCCTCAGCACCCTCCATCCGCCGAGAGGCGATGAGATTCCACCTCCGACCCCAGAAGTCCCGAATCGACGTGGATTGCGTCAGGGGGGCCTTCATGGTGACCTGGCTTTGGCCAAATGTCACCAGGGACCCGGGACCGATGGTGACTTAAAGTGGCAGTCAGGACACAAAAAAAATGGCGGCCACAGAAGTCAGCTTCATTCAGATTCAAACCTGTTTTTTTCCCATATGTTCAGCGGTTTGACCCTAACTTATCCTAGTTTATTTTCGATTCCAAATTCCAGGTGTCTAGAAACCTCCGAAAAAGAAGAGAAAAGCAAGTTTGCCAGTATTTTAGTGTAGAGATGTGTAGAGGTATATTCATGCCAACTTTTTGGGGGTTACCATTTACGGCACCAAAAACAACAGGCACACCCGACCCAAGTTCAAATCAGGCAACCAAAGTCTCGAGGCCAAAGAGCGTGGCCATGATGCGATGGTACAGCATGGGCAAGGTCAAACAGCAGTAGACCCAAACGGTTTGTAAATACCTGGGCTGAAACTTGGGCAGGATCACATGGGATCACATGGGATCACATGGGTATCTAACGGTATCTATATCTATCTGTCTGTCTGTCTGCCTGGCTGTCTGTCTGTCTGTCCTTTTGTCTGTTTATCGGCTCATCTATTTATTGATCCATTCTCGATCTGCTGTATCTATCTCCCTCCCTATCTATTTAATTCATTTTAATTCTATTTATTCATCTGCATACATGGCAGAAACTTGACATGTTGGCGATTCTGGTGATATGTAAGGGATGACGCCTGTCGGCACCTGTATGGTGAGGTCGGGCTAGTGAGGATAAAAGCCTGTTGGGTGTCACAAAGGTTAGTGGAGACAGGGCGGGGGGTTCACAATGACATGCCCTACAACATCCAACTTCAGATTGGTTGTAGTTGAGATTACCCTCTGGTAATTTAACATAGCTATGGAAAATCACCATTCTTAATGGGAAAACTCACTATAAATGGCCATTTTCAATAGCTATGTTAAATTACCAGAGGGTAGCTTGGGACATTCAGAGTCATCCATGGTCCATCCAAACACTTGGAAGGTGAGTATCACCCGAGGACGCCGAGGTGCAGGGCAGGTAGCGACCAGGGGAGCCCATAGAAGGGCAATTTCGCGGGAATCTCCTCACTCCGACTGAAGCGACATATCTGGCCGCAAAAATGGACCCGGTGAAAGGAACAATTTTTGTTGGTGGATTCTCAACATCCCAAACCACAAACAAACACAATGCTACTTACTTGAATGGATCCCACCTCGAGAAACAAAGAGAAGAACATAGAAGAACAACATTTTCCTTATGAATTCCCAAGACCAGGACCAGATTTTTATAAGCACAGCAATCACAAAACGTCACCAAATTTCTCCCAAAAATCACCACACATCCCAAGCCGTCCTCCAAGAAGGGTTGAAACCTGGTGGCCTTGCCCACGCTCAGAGCTATTAACCTCAGCACCAGCTGACAGGAAGCCAGCAATGGGAAATCCACATCCCAAATGGAAGTTTATGGGAAAAATCCACTATATCTGTAGGCTTCAATGGGAAAATCCACCCAAAAACGGAAGTTTGAGGTGGGAAAATCCATGAAAATCCACTATAAATATGGGATTTTCCAGCCGTGTTTGATTAATGGAAGGTAAGGCCAATGGCCAGCCATCCAATTGAGGTCACCCGAAATCATGGGCCCTTGCCATGCCATTCTTTCACGTAAATTCAGGCCCATATGCTCCATGTATGGTATATTTACCTACATTTGGGTGATTTTTAGGGAAAATGTTGGTAAATATTCCATACATGGAGCATATGGGATATGTTTATGTATATATGATAGTCTGGTTGGTGGTATACCTACCCCTCTGAACAATATGAGTTCGTCAGTTGGGCTGATGAAATTCCCAATATATAGAAAAATAAAAAATGTTCCAAAGCACCAATCAGTAATTGTATCTAAGAATCTAACACAAAATCACACAACATCAAAGCCACTGCCACCCACCCAAGGTTCGGATTCTCCTTGTCCCAGTGGCATGATGGAGCTATGAAATGCTAAGCGCAGAAGTAAATCCAGAGCCCTGCGCCACCTTTCGCCGCTGAGGAATTTCAACTTGCCATCCTCGAACTGAAGCTCTGCCGGCAGGCCTTGCATCTTGGCCACCAGGAGCAGGACGATTGTCCCAGGATTGTCTTTTTAGGGTATGTCTGAAAGTGGGGTAGCCCCAAATAGCAATTCTAAGTGGAATAATGATGATAATTTATGGATTTCAGGGGCCCATGTTCAGACAAACCCGTCTGTTAGTTTTCAAGCAATGAGGTCCAGTGGGATTGCTAAACCCCACTGGTCCTGCGTTTATTTCGGTGAACCCACCAGCCCAGCGGGCCCAGCGACTGAAGTAGAGCGCAAAGGTGGTGGCAGTGGCATCGAATCCCTTGGGTCCCAAAGAGGCCGCTAACCTTAGCATAGTCCCTAGCAGGGCGCAACTTCTTCTGCTCTAACTGTATCCAATATTGTACCCCCCACAATTTTTATGGCCTGGTTCCATGCCATGGAAATTCGGATCTTCCCCGGGATATCAGGCCAGGGCGGTTGTTAGGATGAAAAGCTATGAATTTTGTGCCCACAAATGCCCATCATCCACCGTGCGCACCGTGCGTCGGGGAGCTCTAACCATCGAAAGGTCGATAAGACTCCCAAATATGCCAAGATGAAAAATGACATCCGCGACCTGATCCAAGAATGCGATTAGTGGTTGCGGCTTGCTAGGCTGGATATATGACGTTTTTTGTTGTTCTTTCCCAAGTATGTGACCATCCATTTTTATTCATGATTTCTTGATATTTTTGGGGGGTATATATGGCTATATATGATTTTGATATATGTTGATCCAGCCACCTGTCTTAAATCGCACCTCTGCAGTCCCATCCCCCATTTTCCGTAGCCCATGGTGTACTACGGTGATCTCTGCAGGGATCTTGCAGGGCGTCGCCTCAAGCTACCCAACAGCATGGGCAAAACAAAGGGATGGGCTGCCCAGGCGGCACCGATGCCCATGGCCAAGAGAGGTTTCAGCTCCTGCCATGGGCGAAATGTGCACCTTGGGCCGGTTTCTATGACAGCTTGGTTTAAAATAGGTATATACACATATAATACATATATATATATAATTCTTGGATGATTCCATTCTACCATTTGAAATCTCTCTGAATATCTTTCGCTAGGAGCTCAGAACTGCAAAGGGCCAGGGGGACCGTTTAAGCTTATATATTTCCCATGTATGTTCTTGATGTTTAAGTTAAATCCAACATAGAACCTGACATGAACTGACTAAGGACGGACTATCTTTGCAATGCTACCAGGGCATAGGGATTCATCCGGATGCTGGGGCAAGTGGCCAGCCACTTGTTGAACACATCAGCAGTCTCTTTAAGAGGTTTCTTGCTGATTCAACTGCAAATGGTGGAACAGAACTGAACGCCTCCTAATCTCAACGTTCATAGGTCTTGTTTGCCTTTCAACGATAACCTCATTTCATATTCTGTCAACTTGAGGACGGGTAAGTGTCCTTAAGACTCCATGGCTTCCAGGATTCCAAACTTGCTTCAGGGGAAAGTTGCGAGGGTTATCCCATTGGATTTTGGCAGGCAAATAATGGTAAATCTACAGTTTACTGTAGGTTTTCGCATTCAATAAATCACCTTTTGTGGTGTTTAGAAACCGGTCAGCCACCCAAAGTAATCTTACAATTTCCCAAAACCTCTGCTGGATGAGTCCTGGAGGTAGAGATATGGCAGCAACAATGCTCTCGAAGACTCAGAGCTTTCCAGTTTTGCCTGCTGCGTTGGCCCATTTGGGCTTCCAACCAGGGAAGGACGAGTTCAGGTTGCGTTGATGGGTGTGGAAACTGTGGAAGCATGTGGAAGCCTAAAAATCCTAAAAATTGATGTTAGGGTCAGCTAGGGTCGGAATATTCAAGGTGTGGAAGCTGACATTGAGCGGCTCTGCAGATGGGGAGCCCTTTGTCCTTTGTGATCTGTTCACGTCCACGCGATTGAACTCGTGGATTCCGATTGTCAGATTGCCATTTAATTTCTTGAAGCCCCTGACTCACAAGCGTTGTGGATTCTGTACAAGTATGCTAACCGGATCTAGAAGGGCACTACCAGGTTAAAGCTACTGTAATCATGGCCCTTCCGTCTCAGGTGTTGCCTCCTGGCACCTGTCTGCGCAGCGATAAAGTTTGAAGGCAGCATAGCCGAAGATGAAGCGGAACGGTATGCACAACACAAGGTCCAAGAAGAGAACTTCCTCAGCAGGTTGAGGGCAGGGATTTCGGGAAAATGGGCAGAAATCCCATAACTACTGGGTTTGCAACAATCCCAACTAAACCAAATAGCATAACCATAATTTGAACATGTATGACCATCAAGCAGCAAGGCTTCTAGATATTTCTCATCCCTTGCGAGACGAACCTGTAGTGACTCTCTGGGATCCCCCTTGCAATCGCCAATGGCCAATGGCCAAAATGGGAGTTCAAAATGTTCAATAATTTGCACCCATAACATCCCATACCCTTTTGGTTGAGTCTGGTCTTGAATTCACCTAGGTTCGCCCTCTGGCTCTGGACCAAAAAAAGCTATTTGTGGATCTATCCACCCACGCCCAAACGCCTGCTGGACAGCATCAGGGAATGCTGAATTCAGAAGGATATGTGTCCTTTCAACTTTTGGGAGGGTACCTAGTTCAACAAGTTTCGCACATCTCCTGCATAACCAATCAGTAGCCTACAGATTTTTTCAGGAAGTTCTCCTCTCCAATCAGCCTTGAACGTCCTGCCTCGGTGCATCGGTCCATCTCAGCCGAGCATCGGTCAAAGCTAAAAGATCCCCAGAGTAGACTTGGAGACCCAGAGACGGCAGCCTCAGGATAGGGCTCAACTGCCGCTGGCAGTGTCTAGATATGTTCCAACGTGATTTCTTCATGACACAATATGACATCCATGGCTCTTAGGATGCTCTTAGGTTACATGGGTGGTGTGGGATATGAATCTCAATAGTCCTACCAACACAATTGTCCAACAGCAATGATTTTGGCGGAAGCCGGGGGGACAAAGCAATTGGGGTAGAGCAATGCTCCTGATCTTTTCACAAGTGTCACTGGTTGATAGCTTCAACCAATCCCAAAAAAATATGCCGGTCAACTTGCGATGAAACATCTCCGGAAACTGAGCAAGGTTCTATAATGCTCAATATTCAATATGTTTGAGCATAGCTCCGATCATATAATATATTAACCAAATATTATCATATCAATTCATATCATCCAGCAGCTGACAGCCCAAAAGGTTTTTTTCTGCCAAGGCTCTGCAAGTGCCAAGCTGTGAGGCCCGGAACTGGCGCCAACAGATCGTGGAATGGAATTTGGCCCGTTTTCACCATGTTCATCAATTTTCTTCATCAGGCCCAGGTAGATCTAGGATGATCTGGGTATATCATGGTATATCCAAGTAGTAAAAGTATCATACATAGCCAGCACAGGGGTTGAACACAGCATCTCTGTCACCCTCAACCGATAGGTGAGTCCTTCCTGCCTGGCACTGCTGCAATGCCACTCATCACGGGCGCGCAACCCGCGGCGCAACCCACAGCACTTTGCGGTGCCGCCAGCGAGGTAAGCCAATGACTTCAGCCACCACAACCCGATGTGGGCGAAGCGATGCAAGATATGCAGGGTGGATGTTGGTCATGGTGGATGGTGGTGCGGATTTTGTGTACTTGTATTGTATGCCCCTATTTTAATAAATATGTACAGTTTAATATGTATATGATTATGTGTATATATATATATATATATCATGATGTGTCAATTCATCTAATTATAGTTGTTTATCTATTTGTCTAATTATCATTATTTATCCTTAATTGGCCCACCAAAGCCAACCGGAACATTATAAGGAATGATAAACAATATATCAAAATTGCATGAATGATGAGGTTGTTCGGGACTTTGGGGGTCTATTGTGCGATCCCTGGATATGTCCACCCCCCAAAACCCACCAGTCGAGCCTGCAGTGGCTCATGGCCATTAAGATGGGAAAATATCATGTGGCATGGCTTGGGAACAAGCCAAATCGAGGCCGCAAAGTGGAATTCATCATGGGTTGGATTGAATGGCAAAGCCAACCTAGCAGAGAGGAGACCTGATGTTATAAAATATATGTGTTCTTGTTGCACAATGTTGCACACATGTGTCAATGTGTCAATTGATTTGTTGTGAACATTTACTGTACCAGTATCATTGTTATCATGCCAATTTTGGGAATATTGAATAAAAACCGTGAATATTAATAATTTTTCCGCCTCTACAATTGTGGTCCTGTTTCATTCAGCACCCGGTGCAAAACCTGGAGCCAGGAAAGGGGTGTTCACCGGGGATCATCACCCCACTGATTGGGCAACGTCTGGGTAATGTCAATCGTGGCGTCTGGACCCGCGTTGAACACAGCAATGACCAGCTTTGATTCGCTATATAACATGTTATACAAATCGGTTTGGAAGCCACCAACAAGCCATGGTGAATAGAATAAATAATTTATTGTTAGATATTCAGCACACAAACACACAAACACACATACAAAAAAAAGTATTGTTCTTAGCTGCTTCCCCTAGTTTCCCATCAAAATATACCAAAATCACCTTCAGAATCAGTCCATCAACCTGCTCACATCGACCATTTGGGTGGCTGACATGTTGCCTGTCTGTGATATCACCATGAACTGGTCCATGCCAGGCGGACTTTCAGGAAGGTCAAACTAAAAAATAACCACCGCAATCAGATTGAATAAGGCATATGGGCACACCATGGTAAACCAACATTTACATACATTTACATACATTTACTAGAATAGTATTCATAGACCATTCAAGTTATTTAATTGTATTTGATTGGCACCTGAGGTCACCTGGTCCCCGTTTTCACCGCCCTGCCATGCCATGAAGGGAGGAGCCGAAATCAACGTGGATTCCCCACGGTGTTCGACCATCTTCCCGGCTGGTGCATGCTATGGTACCATGCCTTTGTACATAACGAAATCACGAATTCAGAGCTCAAAGCGAGCGAGGAAACACTGGCCGAACTTCGCACATGGGTGTCTCAAGATTTTTAGTGCCCCCAATCAAGTGATATCAAGTGCCTTAGGTATATATTACATAGTGCTTGTTGGAATCCAATGTAATATGTTGGGATCTTTTCAAATTAAATTTGTCCTTAAGATTGGAACACCCCAGTCCCCTTTGGGCGCTTTTGCGCCAGTGTTAAGGTGATGGCCTCGGACTGGTGGCCGGTGAACGGCTGTTGAATGGATGGTGAATGGTGATTCCCCCAAGCATGATGGATCCATGATAGATCCATAGGTTTTGACCCATCCCCAAATCATCATCCGTTTGCAGTAAGCATATTAATTAATATTACTGATTGAGCATTTACTGCAAGTAATTGTCTCTAGTTAACTGTAGTGTGCTTGGTAGATCTTGGTAGTATGTGATTGACATGGGTCCTCATGGGTCTGGTAGTTTACGCCGATGGTGGTGGGATATGCCGATCGATAGCCACGGCTGGTGATTTGACCCCTTGATGTCCGGGGGCTAAATCGTGAGGCCACCGATTGTCGTTGCTTATGTTGCACATGTTGATGGCGAAAAATACCATGGGTAACCACAAGAACACCATATTTTGATGGTTACCATCTGCAAAACATCCTTATTTGAATCTTATTTGATGGTAACCACAAGAATACCATGGGGGTTCTGTCGATTTTCCCTTCACTTAACCCACTCCCTGCAGGGGCCAACTGCCGGACTTCCCGCCCATCTTATAGACAAGACAGGACGTCCCAAAAATCTAAGCTTCCCACTTCTGTTGTAAGGCCTTCCCTGCACGGCAATGGACCCGCTTAAGAATTTGCAAAGAACCATTGGGGTACAACTCAGCTGTGAAGGGGACCCTAATTGAGGGACTGACCAAAATTGCCAGGGTGCGTGACTACTTGCTCACTGGGTTGCATGTCAAAAAACAGGAGGCGTCCAAGCATTTCCCATTAAATAAACCGCCTCGCGGTGTAGAAAATGGTGCTTCCAAAAAAAAGGCATTCCTCGAATATATCTCATACCTTGATACTTCATTCATATACCATACCAATCATATGAAGTTTGAAGAGAGGAAAATGCAAATCATATTTGGGGCCCTAACATATCCCTAGCACATTTAGGACAGGCCAACACCCAACATGTTTAATTGTGCACTTGTCTTTATTAATGTCTACGTTGTTGACAAACCGCCCTGGTGCAACACACCGCCTGCGCGACGGCCAACGATTCCTTGATCTTTTGCGAAACGCCAAAAGGACTCGGGCACATGGCTCGCATCCTGGATCCCAGGGATTCCGACCAGTGATCCCCAAATATCCCCAGAGATGGCCAGGTTGGTAAAGATTAGTATGATATGTAGCTTGAAGATTTGGTGAAGATAACCATGGGTGAAGCATGGTGAAACAACTGCAGTCCCGAACAATCAGTGATGATTTGCTCATTTTCCCGCTGATCGCAACAAGTTGGGGGTTGAGGGTTGCAGCACAACAAAGGCAAAACGTTGCAAGCCCTGTCCAGAACACCATCTGAACCATCCCAAAGCAAGCAGTAGAGAACCGTGCAAGCAGTACCTGGCAAAGTGACGAAACCACCAAGTTCAGATGAGACATGCCACATGGACGGACCTGACTAGACGATCATCCAGCCATTCTGGGAAGAGAGGCGCACAACTGTCACAACTAGCCCTATTTCCCTCCATTTCCTCAGCTATGGGAGGTCTATGATGGGGTGCATTCCACAGTGACCAGGACGGCTTGATTCACCAGGAGCATCAGTCCGGCTGTCAACAGTCCTTAGTGACTTGGTGTCGTCAAATTCTACAATGACAGCAACCAGTTGCTTGCCAACAAAGCCGTGCACAAAACCCCTGCCATACATACATATTGTTTGTATATATATATATGTGTGTGTGTGTGAATGATTATTAATCATTATATATATAATATTTCTCTCCACAGTCAAAGGCCATGTTGATGGCCATCTATCTCTCTTAGTGGTACCCCTGATTAATCTATCAGGGAGTGATCAATTCGGGGTTGATAGGGGACATGATCAAATCTGGAAAATATTACATATATATATATTTCTCTTGTAATTCTTTTATTTACAGTAAGTTTGACTGGACACCTGTCCTTTTATGAAAACATCAAGCACATGGTTTCCTCTCAGTCGTGCCACATGTCTTCAAAACCTACTGAATCGCGAGAAACTCTTCCATCAGCCTATCTTTTGATTGACGTTTGTTCCAGAAATCATCAGGTAAAGATGGGTGAAAACTATCGACCCCAAAAATGGCTGATTTAGCCTCAACCCCCTCAAAATCGGTATTCAAATGGGAAAATCATCCATATCTATATCTAGACCCATCTATCCATCCATCTATCTATCTATCTATCTATATATTGGGTGATATTGGGTGATTTTCCAGCAAAAGATTGTTTGATTACCAAATGGTAATGCTAAAATTAACCAAAAACGCCAGGACCCATACATAGCCACGTCACCAGCACCAGCTTCAGCCAAGATACCCAGGACTTCGGGGCTTACGGCCTGACATAAGAAGATGGTAGCGATGTTAATGAAAAAAGGGGAATTTAACCAGCAACAGTTGCGACTTAAGCTGCAAACATATGGATTTCAACTCTCCAAAATTGTGGTTTACCCTCTAGTAGTCGAAGATTGCTATGGAAACTACCATTCTTGTATAGATAAATGATCTACAAACATGCCATGTTCCTTTGCTATGTTAGATTGCCAAAGGGTAATTGCAAGACGCAGGTTTAGGGTTCAACAATTCTGGGCAGCCAAATGCACATGAAACATCGACACGGGATTAATTGACGGTCTGGATGTAAACTCCAAATACCCCTAGACCCTCACACTGAGCGTCTAAAACTTGCTTTGTACCAATTTGTTTTTTATTGCACTTTTACCCATGCCATAACTATACATAGTAATCCCCAAAAAAGACAAAGCAGTTTAACTCTACCAGTATTTTACTATAGATAAATCTACAAATAGATAAGCATGTATAATTTTATAATAGACTTATATAACTTCCAGTAATCAAAGCTGACAATTTCCCCATTGATGCCTTTCCCAGCTACAAAGCTTGCTTCCCGACCTGCAGCTCCGTCAGAAGCAGCATCAGCTGTTCCTGTAGAGTCGGAAATCCAGACACCTCCAGTGCCACGGAGATCCATGGGGAACAAAAAAAAAGATGTGGGGGAAGAACATAAGGATGTACCCCCTGGTTATTGAACATAGACCCCGAAAATAGATCATGTTTAGTGCTTCTACTCCCTATTTGGCAGGGTTTCTGTTCATTTGGGGGAGGGTTTCTGTCCCTATGTCAACATATGAGACCGTACCCTGGGGATCCAATCATCTCCTTTTGAATGGGATTGGATCTCTAGGGCATATAATGACCAAAGATAAAGGATATGTTTGTTGGTCTGTAAACCCCTCTAGCGTTCAACTACATAAGTGTATATCATTGCATATAATTCATATCCACCATAAAGCCAACAGTTCTTGAAGGAATATACACCAACTTTCCTATTCAGGGGTCTCCTCCTGTGGAACAAATCAAAAAAAAACGTTCCACCAGGATTTTGATGGGGGGTATTATTTAAGATCTGCCAGAATCGCACCTGTGAAATCCAAGTCAATCCCATGATTGAGCTGTCAAAAAAAAAAAACATGGTATTTAAAGGTCCTATTAATAGTTTGTTTTTCATCCCACAACTTCAATCCCATTAAAATTGTTAAATCCAGTTTATGGTCATCCATGGTTCAATTCCATTCCATTCATGGTTAACGCCCATTAATGTTAGTAAAGCAATTACAAATCATCCCCAAAAGAAGTACCGGTGGTTTATACTTACTTTACTAACATCAAATCCCATCCCATTAAAATGCAGAAATCCCATTAAAATTGTGAAATCCTCTTATAAATCCCACCGTCATGTCATATCATATGCCTTGGAAGGGAAGAATCGTTAAATCATGTTAAATCCCAGCGTCATAGCCAGCTATCCGAGGACCCCGCCTCCAACTGTCGATGAATCTCCATGGCCGCGGGCATCAGCCACTCACGCCTTCGTGCAGAGTAGATGCCTATAGATGTACCAAGAGTTACCCAGAAAAATTGCACGAAACGTTGGAAAAATATGGAAAAATAGCATGGTAAAAAAGAGGTGAATACAGATCCATGATATGATACATTGATGAGATTTAGACAACTTATTTATATATGTACTGATAAAAAGCTACCCTGGAACAACTTAGGGTTCGTTCGTTTATGATCAGATACCTATACATGGTATGAAGTGAGCAATCAGTTCGTTTTTTTTTGCCCAGATCCTCCCTGGTGATGCCTCATGTGGTTGGGAAATTCTGAGCTCCTTGGGCCCCCATTCCCACCGGATAGCACCATCCTTGCTGCCACAAACCATGCAGTTGACCCAGCGATGACGGCCAGAATGGAACTTCCAACCAGTCGCCTTTGTTGAAACCGGGGCTGGTGGGTCGCCCTTGCCGTGAGTTATGAGATGTTGAGCGGAGCATCCTCTAGGTTCCATGGATATGACTCTGGCTGTGGAATATTTGCATATCTACATGGCGTATGTATATATGTGATGTACATTGGTTTATATATGTATATATCATATATACAGTGTAATGTGTATATATATATATATTACAATTTGTTGTTTGATACGCCCCACTACAAGTGAAGATAAACCACTCCGTGGCAGAAATCATTGTTGCCCAACATTGGAAGATTCATTGAATATCCAAGATATCCAAGAGTGGCACCAGCAACAAGTTGCCACTCTAATACTCAAAGGGAATCTGGGGCTTGTACAGTAAGACTTCAGGCGATTCCCTGAAGGCCCGAAGCTGCCCTCTCATGGTCCAGTCAGCCTCTTTGCCAAACGAAGAAAAAGCAACCAACGTGGTGAAATTGTTTCTTGAAGAAACGTATGGGACGATTTGGGTTCCAGAACGTGATGGTAGAAAACAATGAGATAGATGCTACCCGCCAGTAAATTAACATAGACCCTGGCAGATAGGGGTTGGAAGATTAGTTTCCACTAAAAATTGGTCATTTTCAGGGTCTATGTTTATTTACCATAGGGTACTTGAGGCTATTTTTCGGTACCAAAGTTCTTGATCAACTCATCTCGCAATCCCAACTTCTTCCAGAAAAAATTGGCCGAAACTTGGCCCTTGCGGCAAGGCGCAGGAACCACGACACCAGCGAAAGGATGGAGACCAAGGCCATGTGGCTCCCAAGGATTTCGGAGGCCTCCAGGTGGTAAATATGGGACCCCCGGTGGATGGGATTGGAAAAAGCGCATCGCTTTTCCCCCGGAAACGTCAGGGCCAAATAAGGACGGATCCACGTTTTGGACGAGTTTTTAGTTCGGACACGTTCGAGAAAAATCTGGAAAGCTGGGATTGGAGATGATGAAATGTCTGATTTAGTGAATTCCACGGATCCAAAAAGGAACCTCAGCCTCAAGCACAAGCGACACATGTTTTCTCCATGAAGTTAGGTACAACATCAAATGTTCGTGAAGGAACCTGCCACACAGCATCTCTCATCAACAAAAATCACCAGCATTGACACCCTTTGGGCCTCCCTGGCTGCAGCTGAAAAGGATTGGGAGCTCAAAGCGATGTCCACCTCGTAGAATTTGCGGGCACACGCATCTATCTATATATATGTGTGTATCTATATCTATATCTATCTATATCTATATTATATATTATATATATGCACGCCATTCCATAACCTACGTCAGACAATAGGTTTTCAAAACTGCAAATATGCACATCCATTATCATCCTGTCCATATCGCTGTAGAGACATCATGCAACATCTATATATATATATACACCATTCTAATTCTTTCTATACATTGATTCAGAATAGATGAATAGACTATGCTCCTTCAAAGCAAATAAGAAACGCCCACGGAGCCCATCTCGTGGTTTGAAAACACCAAGAAACATATGCGTGGGCACTGAGGAATTCTGTCCAGGTTTGCAGAGTCGCGAGCAGCGCATCGCAAAAGACCTTGAGACGTTGCCATGAGCCCCGTTGTGTTGTTGTGGGAAATGTGGAGGGAATGGTTCAATCATAGCTGTCCCAAGTATAACCGATATCATCAATGATAACTAGTTGAGATTATAAATCAGTGATCATCACTACAGCTATCATAACAATCACGAATCAATGATAATCAATGTACTTGACTTTAATGTCCAATTCATTGAGCTTCATGGGGCCAGGCTAGGAGAGACTTGGCATTAATGATGTCACGGTGCCTCCATTTGAGCAGCTCATTCTGCGAATTGGTTCACCGCAACAAGATCTAGGAATCTAGGCAAGCAACAGCGAAGCATTGGCAACACCGCCGCCGCTTTCGCTTTGCATCTTGTGCATCATCCTGAAGCGGGGGATGTCAATTGCCTTCTGCTTAGGTGTACCATGCTCAAAAACAGCATTGGACTGACCTTCATACAATATGTACAATGTACTGTATAGATAATTAAGCAAATATCAAAGAATTATCAAAGCCCCTGTTTTGACCCAGCACACGTCGTCCTGCCTTCCTACTACCAGGTAGCAGTCACATTCAACGCAGTTTAACCTGCAAAACAATGTGTATCGAAATAAATAAAGTGTCCCAGTATCATCCCAGCTTTCATCTCCCGTCTCCCATCAGATTCCGGTCCGATTCCATCAAAATTCTGTCTTTTCACAAATTTGAGCTTTCAAATGGACCATTCTACCCCAGTTTTATAGCGTTTTATATGGAAGATCACCACTTTATCACCACTTTATCTCAGGTTTTCTATCTGTTTCCATGGTTTCTTCATGGCTCCACCACTTCCCCATTGTCGCCCCGGGATCCACCTCGGCCGCCGCGGCGTGCGCCAGGTACAGCAGCCAGCGCAGCAGCCGCAGCAGCGCCAGGGCGCTGGCGCCTTTGGCCAGCGAGCCCAGGTGCCAGAGGAAGGCAACCACCAGGCCTGGGTCTGGGGGGTTTGGTTGGAACATTGAGGGCATCATAGTTGGAAAGGTCTCAGAATATGACCAGGAATACTCAGAATACATTTTTAAGAAGATTGGTTTAGTGATCAAATACTCAGAATATCACCATGGTATAGTTGGCATAATATGGCATAATTGGTTAGGTACAATATAACGATGGTTAAGAACTCTGTAGGTAATAGAATCTGAATTGATATAGTTAGAGTTACCTGGGACCATCAAATGATGAATAGTCGTCCTGGCAGTGAAATTGCTGATGGAATTGTTCAATGGATTGTTTTTTTTGTTGGGGAAATGTACGGGAAACCATGCAAAAATTCACCCAAATTTGCAGGTTTCCTACAGGTGCTCCCTTAAATTAAACCAATTCCGTAATATGGATCGAATTGGTTCTACTAGATATGCATTCCGTAATGGATCTAAGGTGCTCTAATAAATCAATCTCTATGGGTCGAACTAGCTTCTGAGGGAGCATTTGGGTTATGCTTCCCAGCTCAGTATATTGCACCCTATGAGATCCATAACACGTGAGAAATGAAGTGGTAGGATTCCGGTGGCTAAGAAGCAAGAAAGAAGGCGAAACTCTCTCTCTCTCTCTCTTCATTGCCTTCACAGTTGAGGTTGTTAATGCAAGTACAACGACGGTAATAACCTCCATAAATTGGGATATGACCCCCACAACAAAAGTTACATAACCCACTTATTGGCGGAACTATGCCCCCAATAACATGCTACGGAATCTGCTACGGATCTTCCCTCCCCCCAAAAAAATATGGATAGGTTTGACCCATCTCAATATCACTGGCATCATTGGATTGAAGGGAAAAAGATGGAACATATACAGGAAACATCGGAAACACCCATAGTTCATCGGCAAAACATGGAAACAACCTTATGATACCCTCTGGAAAACTAACATAAACCATCACCATGTTTTACCAGTTTTCATGGGTAAATCAACTATCAATCACCCCATGTTCCATAGCTTTTTGTATGTTTACCAGGCCGGGTATAACCCACCGAGCGCCGCCCGCCGCTCCTTGCAGAGCCGGCGCCCATGGCAGGTGTTTGGCCTTGGCTCGGCCGCAAGTGCCGGGCGCGAAGTACCACAGTGCCACCGAGTAGGCCGTGGCCAGGGTGCAAGCGGCACCGATGACCTCCTGGGTGAGAAATCATCGATTTTTATGGAGTTCTTTTTTGGGATCATATAAATAGATGGTAAATATTAGGATAGATATCTGTGAATCATCTTATTTTGTGGATCATCATCGATGAATCAATGGATTGGTTCAAGGGAAAATCGGAAAAAAACTAGATGTTCCCATGAATTTAATGGGGCTTTCCTGTAAATGTTCCCTTAAACAAATCCATTGAATAAATGGATATATGATGGGATCAAATAGGGGATAAATCATTATGAATCCCTTTCTCCCCATTCTTTCCCATATTCTTGAACACCCCGAGACACCATGGTGTAGTAGAGAATTTCCACATATATACAGTAATTGGAAACATATATGGGGTGTTGAATATTCGGGGGATGAGACTATTGTTATTGTTATTAGCCCCGGGTAATCAAACATGGCAAGCTGGGAAATACCCGAAAAAAAAACGGAGGTGTTGACAGCTGGGAAAATCATCGAACTAAATGGAGGAAGTTCTATTAAAATGATAATGATAATGATAGTGATAGCGACAACTGTGAGGAGTATACTATTAAAATCTGGTAGACTTAGGATGATGATGGTGATGGTGATGGTGATGATGATGATGATGATGATGATGATGATGGGGGGGTGATGGGGTTTGGTATGGTTTGGTGACATTTTGGAGGATTCGGATGATTTGAGGTCAAAAAGGGTGCTGCTTGACCTTTTGGCTCTGTATCGTACCCAGTGCTTTTTGAAGAAAAAAATACGCTTGAAGTTGAAGCGCATTTTTTTCCAAAAGGGCTATGTGTTTTTTTTGGATGTGAAATGCGGGCCTTGACCAAGAAAAAGTATAGAAATTCAGAGCAATATTATATGGGCAGCCCATGAGTACATTTGGTTGGTATTTATTCCATGGATATTCAAACTGGAAAACATAGGCGCTTTACAAGGTTAAGGAAGTTATTCTGAACATTTGAAGAGGTGGAATCATTTGGGGCTACTGGAAATAACACAGTCCATGGGTTTTCCGCGCAACGATCAGCTGGCATCACCATGTCTCTGCGGCGCCTGCACCCAGAAACAGGAGAAGACCAGCGCGGTCAGACGCCCATAATCCGCCACACTCAAGTGAAACTGTCGGAAAACGCCTGGTGGTTCAGCAGAAGTGGGGTAGAACCCGGGAAGAGACAGACATCACGGGCCTTGTGCTCAAGTTGGGGGCGACTTAACCCCCTTCAACGGATGCCAAAGGAGGATCGACACTGTTGATACTGTTGATTGAGTTGGAACCCTGTGGAATAACATATGGAATCCCAAACGGAGTGGAACATCAAACATCATTACTGTAACACAAAAAGCATCTTAACACACTGTAACTAATACATAAGACATCATAAAACATTCTAAAACATGCCTGAAACCACCAGGACCCCCACCTTTCTCCACCCCGGTGCCTGTGATGCCCAACACCGTTACCGAGGACACCTCCGTGGTGGACAGCATCAGTGGCAGGGACACCAGCAGGGCAGCCGAGAGTAGCAGGTAACACAGGCTGTCGAGGACGGGGAGCAGCAGCAGTGATGGCATGGCCAACATCACCTCAGATGGATAGGATGTCTATGGGATGCCATGGGTGGGTGGGGACGTGCCACTCATGGAATTAATGCATGTTAAATGCAGAGTCCAAGCTTTAAATCCTTTTACAAAAACATGTTCTATCTTTAAGATTCCTGCAATAGAGTTGGAGTTAGATGAAGGGAAAGCATGTGCAGGAAGACCATGAATGCTGCAGGCTTTCTTTAGGCGTTCCCTGACAACCAAGCCAGTTACCCTCCAGTAATTCTTGAACATAGCTTTGAAAAATGGATGATAATGGTCCAGTATGGTCCATATTTACGGATTATTTACCCATATTTATCGCAAATTGTGATTTTCCATGGCACACTGTTACTTATGTATATATATATAATTGTATATATATAATTTTATATATATATATATATATAATTATATAATTGTATATATATATATATAATTGTATATATATATATAATTGTATATATATATATATAATTATATAATTGTATATATATATAATTATATAATTGTATATATATATGTATAACCCATATATGGATGATTATGTGGCATAATTTACTACTGATTTACCCATATTTACCCATATATAACTCTAGGTTCAAAACGAACTTCACTGGTGGTATCACTGCTTGGTGAAAGCCAAGCCGCTGCACAAGACTCGCGGATGCAATCCGAAGCCACGTCCAAGCGTCGCCGCGCGCAGAGGCAGCCTGCGCCCCGTGACAGATGTTGTGCTCTGGGTTTCTACGGTTTCTGCGGTTTCTACTGTGGTCAAATATGTCCCACCATGTCCCACCACTTTTTCCAATTTGGACAAGTTTCTTCAAAATGGACAACATGGGGACTGGCCCTGGTCAAACAACTGCATGGAAAAACATGAAGAAAATCCCTCTAGTTTTGCCTGACGAGAAAGCAACTAGGAAGGCGAGATGTGGTGAGCATTGGTGAGCACTTTCCACAAAAGGAACGGGCCCCAAGAATGTACACTCACTTGCACCAATCACCTTCAAGTACTGGACTCAAAACAAGGAAATTTGTGATCCGGGGAGCTCCGCCCATTTCCCGCGTTTTTCCGCCCATTTCCTGGGCAGTTCCGCCCATTTCAATTGCACTAAAGAACCAGATAGTTTGCAGATTTCGGAGTTGACTGTTGAATTTTAGCCACGCAGGCAATTCCGGCTAGCAATCCAGATAATCCAGGGTCAATAGGCGGTGGAGAGCGGGGGCTGGCATTCATTCAAGGTTTTCGAGGATTTGCAATGCTGCGCTTGTTTTCTAGCTGACAGGCAATCACAGGTTCCCAGGATGAAAGATAAGATCCATCTTGCTGAGTCAATGAAGGCGAAGGACCACAAAAAAATCCATCAAAACCATTCAACCAGGTTCTGTCAAGATCGTTTGGTTTCCGCCATTGTGTGCAAGTTCAGCACAATTGTCCATTCTGAGCTAGTTGTCAGAAAAAATGCTATATTATAGTGAAATATCCAGTGATGTGTCTGTGTGTGTGCGTGGGTACTGTAATGGGCTTGATGTAGGGTGTAGACACCAGTGAACCATACCTCGGCAAAGTGCAAATACCAAGTGGCTATGTCAATAATAGTTGCGGGAACTAGGCAACCTCTGAGGCCAAAACCCCCATCCGCAAGGCCTATCAGGGAAACAGCAGCCACGAAGAACAGCGCAGATATGCCGGTAGCCACAGCAGCAGGGACTCAGTTGGAAGCGCTCCGGCACACAGATGTAATACGATTCGGTATCACCAACAGCTTGCCATGCATGGAAGATATTGTGATTTTGGACCTTTCTTGGCAAGTCTCCTGGTGATATTTTCCTATCATTTGTGGCCACTGGAGCTCTGAACTCATCCCCACTTGGCTGGTTCCAAGTCCCCCTTCAAGACGATCAATCATATCAAGACCTCTTCAAGACGCCTTTCATTGGTTTCAGAAAATACTCCAGACCCCCTCCCAGATCAATGCTCTAGGACGGAATCACCACCAAAGTTGACCCAGGTGCTCCAAGCACCAAGAGCGTGGACGCTCTCCAAGGCCGCAGGGTAGCCTTCAGCTGGTGGGCAATGAATTGTGGGCATTCAACCACCGCCCCCAGTTCGGGGACCCCAACAATCGGAAGAGTTGGTTTTGGTGGATTAATTCACCACCAAGAACCATGTTCATAAGAGAGCCTATTCATAACTTGGGGGGTCAGCTTCGTGGGGTTGGTTGAATCCCCATGGAAAAAAGATGGAGATGGTATGATGCAAAGGCATGTACTTGCAAGAAGTAACCCAAACTGTCTGTATTTTGGGGGGAAACCATCCCTCCACGAGCATGGATTCTTGTCTCAACTGATTGATTGTTGCGGTATATTACAATTTTGGAATGTACAGGTGGTATGCCATAATGTATGCCTTACATTGGCCAATTACATGTTGTGATTACTTCGAAAAATTAGACAAAGTTCCTTTCTTTTCTAGCAGTTCCTAGTCGAAGAAAGTAATCCCGTCTCCTTAAATTAAACAAACCCATTTTATGGCACCCAATGTGCTGATTTCATCCCCTACATCCATCTACATCCACCATGGTTTCTGGGTGGAGGGGGCAGTAACCCTGAACCAACCATCCATCTGGCCTGCCAGCAGCGCCGGTTTGGAAACCGCCAGAAATCCCAGGCCACCCGCCAGACAGAGGATGACCGTTGTCAGCATGGCTGCGTGGACGAAGAACAGGGCCTCGGTTGGACGGTTGGACACTGCAAAATCAAAGCGGAAACCAAGCATGGCCACAATCCAACAGGAAAACATAGGAAAAATTAGGAAAACCTTCTTTCCAAGCCATCTCTTAGGATTTCGGAGCGTCTACCTTCATGATTCACCTGTTCTTGGCGCATTTTTGGCTCGCACCCCTCAAAAGAGTGGTTTGTCTCAGAAAAAGGGGTATCCATGATTATCCCAATTCCAAAGGGTTATCATCATTCATTTCCCCATTGAAGCAGCCCAAACACTCCGGGCACACGTCTACCAGGATCTACCATGGTACCCCTCCCGTTGCACCACCAAACTCAATCCCCAGCAGCAAACTGCCGCAAGCACCGCAGATACGCCACGCTCAGCGCCAAGGTCCACAGCGTCGCCAGCAGCAGCAGCCGCGGCATCGACGCCAGGGACAACAACTGCTCCAGGACTACGAGAGCTTGGGCAACAGCTCCTTCGAAGCAAGGAAATCTGATTAGGTTCTGGGGCTGGGTGAAATACCCAAGAGTTACGGTTTTTTTTCTTTAGGGTGCCCAATTGGCGCCCGAAGGGTATGGCACCCACCAATGCACCATGGTGCGCATGTTCAATACAAAACGATCCCACTTGGGGATGACGACGCCAAGATCAACATGAAAATAACAAGATCGCCATGACGAATGGTGAGAACTGATACAGTATCAACCAAGCAATTTGTTTTAATTGACAAGAGGAATGAAGCACTTCTGACAGCTCATCATACGCCTGATACCCGTCTCCCTGATGTTGATGATGATCCCCAGGGGATGTGTGAGGCAGGGTGTGAGGGCAAAATGAATCAAAATGACCCATCCCACAAATGATTGGTCATTTTGGTTGGGCGCTGGAATTGTACAAAAAAAGCATTACCCCCAGAGTGGCATAATCCCCGAAAATCACCACTTTTCCAACTCCTAATATTTGGCAGGGTCCATGTTATATAAGAGGAAGCGTATCCCAACCCATGGGATGCTTCTCCACGGATAAGCCTATTGGCACCCCCTTCCCGTGTCCCAACATGTCCCAACCTTCCCAAACGACCAAAAGCAAAGCATTTCCTTAGATTAATGCGGAGTTTCTGAGACGCAAGATTTCCGTTATCTCTACTAGCAACTGATTTTAAAATAGATTTCAGCTCCGCTGTCCCTATCAACCAACCTCATCTTGGCGGGCCGTCGTTGTCGGCGCCTGATGTTGTCCAACGTCTCCAAATCTCAAAGGGTTGGTCAGCTGCGGGCACGCAGTAGCGCTCCATCCACGGCTTTGTGTCCAGATTCACCTTGCGAAAATGGTATCAACATACTGGGCATGGTCCCATGGAGGATTCCAAGCATATTTTCGTAAATGAACCCCTATGGTGTGAATGGGTGTGACCATCCAAGTGCACCAAATCTTAGACGTCGCAATCCCCACAAGCCTTGAGAGGCGCGAGCATTTGCTTCTCAGTTCTCACCAGCAACCTGCGGCCACCTGGCTTGAGCAGTTTGTAGCTATGTTTTTTGGGGTGAAATCTGGGACTACCCGGCTACACCACACCTAAGGTGGTGCCCGCTGCCCCTGTAGTGAGCTCAGTTGGTTTACACCATTTTATAACTAGAGGACGTTAATAAAGGCAAAACATGTGGGTCACCTCTGGGGACTTTCCACACTTCACCAGGTGAAACCAACAAACATAACTCGTACCCTAAGACCTAAGATATCCCCATAGGTCTGTAATGGTCTGCATTAAAAAAGATGATGATTAAAAAAACCTAAAAAAAAACCCTCAGTTCACCCAGATCGTAAGCCCCAACTGCCATCCATCGCCTTCCCGCCTTCCCGCAGTTCTTCCTCTGTCACCTCCAGCCCCTCCGGGCAGAAGACGCTGGTGCCACGCTGTGGACATTGCTCCACGCAGATGGGCGAGGACCAGTTGAGGACGAGGCCGTGCTCCGTCCTGGACGTGGACGATCGTGGACGTGGGGCGGTGGGGGGTCTAGGTGGATGGTATGAAGGAAAAAAGTGGGGAATTCATTTTTTCATATTTATGTTTCCTGGTTTTTGAGGAGAACAACTTGATAAATTGATTTGTCTAACCTCTGACCGCTGTCCAAAAACATGATGATCACTTGAGGATTCATAATCAGTCGCAGTTTGTCGCGTCCGCAGCCGTTTGTCAGGCAGCCCTAGATCATGGATTCTGATGAATTTTGGCACGCAGAGTGCAAACGTGAGACTCCACATTGACTCATGTGTTGAGTTGGAATCAGTTGATATATCATGATCACCAGTGACCTTCGCCATACCCAGTGAAAACTTGCCCTAAAACCCCCATTAAAAGAAGTGGCTCCCTTCCCCAGCCTGGCACTGCACCAATGCAGCAGTGTGAGATCTGCGGTGCCTCAGTTGAAGGGGATGATCCCAAGTTTCAGAGGCATTCGTTGAACCCCTTGAAGACCTGGATGAGCAGGGCTCAAAGGTCCTCCCGAAGGTCAAGTTCCCATGTTATATATATATATATATATATGGATTAAACTATAAGTGAACAAACAACAAATTATAATTGAACAGATAATTATAGATATAATCATCAGATAATAATAACTACCATAGATTATCTCTATATTAGATATCCTCTGGTTATTTAACATAGCCATGGAAAATGGCCCATTTATAGATGATTTTCCCATTAAAACCTCCATTTATAAGGGATTTTCCATGGCTATGTTAAATAACCAGAGGGTAAATGATAAATGTGAACCAACATGGGCCAATTTCTACCTTTATCGGGGCTTGCTTCGCCGGCACCGTCGCTCCAGCCGCAGATTCGGCTGCGGTGATCGATGCCCCTGGAGAGCTTCTGAAGATCAGCTCGTTGCACGGCAGAAAAACCTGCCGTAGCAAGGGGACACCGGTGGCGAGGCAACGGCTGCGCCAAAAAATCCCGAGGTTCAGAAAAGTCGTAAAACCCCATTAAAAAAAGGCCAGAAATTGGAGTATCCTATAGTATCCTATTCTTTCACCAGTTGGCTTACCGCACTTACCCAAATCTCCTCACCTTGGTAGGTTAAATCAAATAGTTTGACTGGATTTGATTGGTGAATATTCTATATGTGGTTTCATCATGTTTCATCAACCTAAGGTCTGGCCGATTGAATCCTTACTTCTTGTGTGTTGTTTTTTTCCCTGCACCTTGAGCTGAGCTATAGCCAAACAAAAGCCTAGTATATAAGTATATATATATATATATAACCTACCCCAGCTATGTTGACCCAGTAAAAATGATGGTTCACCATAGGTCCAAGTGTTTGATGATGCAAGCACCGTTATTGTGGTAAATCATTGTGAATTTCATCTTACTTTATAGCCAAATATCCTCAACATTCCTCAAGCCAATCCAAGCTTTACCCAGAAAACGTGCTGGTTTGCTCTGCCGGGCGACAGCTCTGCCCTGTCAGCAAGAGAAAGGTGGCAAAGGTCAAACACCATCCTGGGATCACTAGCAGCTCACTGGGGCCCTTTTGAAAGTTTGTCCAGGTTCTATGTTGGATTTCAGGTGGAAGATAAGATCTTCCTAAGGATGCAACTTCGAGGGGGATCAGATCTGCAAGCAAAGAGTAAAATCCATAAGTCCTTTTCATCCGCGGCGATCATTCAGGAGTGCCTGTACAAACATTCGTGACCGCTGGCCGTGCTGGGACGCATAACGGTTGTTGCCGACTGAAGCGGTTGTTCGCTTCCCAAATGATGGCACCTTTCGCCCAGCTGATGTTGCCCTGCGGCACGAAAATGATCTGTTGACTTTTCTTGTCAAAACCTAGGCCGTGATGAAGCAGCACTACCACATATGCGGCAGAAAAACAGAGAGTTTGCAAGGCTTGTTCGCCCAACTGCCAGCGTTCGTGCAGGAGGGCCCAATCCATTTTGCACACATACCTGGCTACTGGTCGGCTCATCATGAAATCCTCCCCGGTTTTCACTTTTACGTCCCCAAAATCATTGAACCAGTAGTAAATAGAACAAGACATAACAAGACCCATTTTGGACGTTGTCCCATAGTCACAAATGATACAAATGTTTGTTTGATATGTTCACCACTTTTACCTACCAAATACCCTCTGGTAAACTAACATAGCTATTGAAAATGACCATTTATAGTGGATTTTCCCATTAAACATGGTGATTTTCCATAGTTATGTTAGTTTACCAGAGGGTAAGCTTCTTGCCAGGTGGAACATGGTTCTGCTCCCCCACCTCGCCGCATTCTCAATATCCTCCAGCGCCGTAGTCTCTGCCGGCAAGCCCAGCACATCCACCACCCAACTGAAGGCGGAAAATGCCACGAAACGTCGGGCGCCCAAAGTTGGTTGGTATCGGCCATTGAAGGTGCACGCGGGCAAGTAACAGGGTGCATTCTTATCAAAGAGTTCCGTGAGCTTCTCCACGCAATCATCCTGAAAAAGGCAGGCACCCGGGCTGTCATTGAAAGATGATCATCCCGTGGCAAATTTTGAAATCCCAGGGATGAAAGAGAATGTGGATTGGCACAAGAATACCAAGAATACAGGGTCCCAACATATATCGAAGAATGATCAAGGAAAAACACAGACATGATCTACTTCAGTAGGGGACGACAATGATAGCTTATGATTTTCGGCTGGAATCCCCCCATTTTTGAACAAACCAATGCACTGATGAAACTCAACATTGAACGTTCCAAAAAAAAAAAACTGCACATATGTTGCTGTTTTACTCCCTGAAACGGCCGCACACATTCAAGTACATTAAAAAAATACGTCCAAACTCTACTCTTGAAAAATTGAGAAAAAAGGAGATAAACACGAAAGCACTGGCCACAAAAAAACAAATGGTCTCTCAAAGAAAGAAAGCACAACTAATACCAATCACCGCACAGACAAAAAATAACTAAAACCAATGGCTTTTGGAAAAAAAGTAAAAGGCAAAAATAATTACGAAAGCACCCAACCACTGAAACCCTAAACTCATCAAAAAAGGAGCGCTTTAAACCATTTAACGCCACCGGCCTTTAAGAGGATTCCCAGTCAAACAACCCCGCTCCTATCATAATAACCTATCGGCTCCCGAGATGGATGCTTCACTAATTCGACACTCTACCAGGGTTTCTGGGTAGGGTTAAGTCATTATATTACTAGGAAGGGACCAGTGGTGAATTGACAAACGGTCAAACAATTTTGGGGAAGCAAATAACACCCAGTGAAAACCAGAAACTTGATGAGCCGCATGCAATTGCAAAGAAAACCAATGAACAACAAAACAAAACAAAACACCGCAAAGACCGCTAAGAAATCCCAGAGGGTATTCAGAGCAAGGTTTGAAACCAGCTGGCATCATTCCGAGAAAAAAACGTGTCAAACACCAATGGTTAAAAGGATACATGCGACAAATATTCTTTCAACATTCAAACCTTACTATTATACAATATCAATACTATATAACACAAGAATAACAATAATATCAACATACATAAACCTTAAAACCAAAACAAGAATAATCCACCCCTTATATCACCTATTTATGGTGATTTGGGGGATGGTTTATTATTGTTTTACCCAAATTAAACTATATAAAAATCATCCTTAAAGTCATCCAAGCATCGTATTGTCCCTTGCCATGCCACGTGGCGCTCAGTGGCGGAAAGGCATTGGCCCCAGCCGCTGCGGCATCCGCCTGCGCGTCGGCATCGCCGATGAGGAGTTCCGTGGAGTTGCTGCCACGCGGAAGACACGGATGTTCCAAGACTTCCTGCAGGATGCCCCCAGTGGCCCCAGTGATGTTGGCCTATGACCATAGATAAAACCCCATAGTATAACTGAACTATGGTTTATGGTTGATAAACCCCACGAATACTATAGTTGTATCAGTTATATATATATATATATATCTACCATAAACCATAGTTAAGTCACAACATGTCACAACCATAAGGCAACTTAGCTATTTTGGAGGTTTATGACTATAATAAGAATAGTGTATGATACTTATTATATTTGGATGGGCTTATAAGCCAACAAAAAAATCTGGAAAACACCATCCTGAGGGCATTGTTTACCATAAACATCCGTAAATCATAGTTCAGTCACAACCATAAGGCAACTGAACGTTATTTTTTGAAGGTGAAGACCGGTGAAGATGGTACTACAAGATCTTGAGAAAAGGTGGGATCATCATGGATGATCCAAGTTGAACGAACAAATTGGGACGACATTAATGGGATGTATATAGTTTTTAATGAGACTATATGCTATGGCTATAGATGGGAATGTTTATATACGGCAATAAGTGTATGTATATATATATATATTTGAAAAAACTAAAAACACATTATATATATATATATTATAATGTATATAGTATATATATATATACATGTATATATTAAGGAATGCAATCATATGGTAAAATGCCTTGAACAGAATTGAACATACCTCTTGGAGCATATCCCAAGTTCCTCACCCCAAGTTTGCTCTGGAAATTGTTACCATCTTTAAGTGGCAACGGGGTATGCAATGGGGGTGTGTTGGAAGATATGATGGGTACTATTCATGGTATATTTAAGGTATGTTTATGTGGTAGTATATGGTGTGGTTACCATGAAAATCAGTTGAAGCTATATCAACAATATTCATCAGCATTCTATATATACAGTAATTAATGATTGAGAAGAAGTATGTTTTTTTCCTTTACTTTTTGATGAGTGTACAGTCACCAGGATACCTCCTAAATTGGGATGAAAAAAAAAGCAACCTACGATGTAGCTGGTATCCTGGTATCCTTTGATTGACATGACTGATCTTGTTAGAAATCAATTCTGTACTGGTAACAAGACTGGTGGTGGCACTGCGGGTCCAGACTTGGCAAGCCAAGCCACTGGGATATCACGTTAAGCCAATGGTTAATTCTATGCTACCACGGGCGTTAAGTAACATTGCAACGAAGCAGGATTTTGTGTTGGGTAATGTTGGGTATACCCTCCCAAGAATTTCCTTCTGAAGCTCAAGGCCGGTGTCAACCGACCATAGATCCCCAAATTCAATGGCGTGTGGTGGATATTCCCCTGCAAATCAAAGACAAACCAATACCATAAGCACAAAACATTAAAATTGGTCTTGCAATGTCTTGCAAATAGTGCGTAGTCCCCATTCGTTCTCCTCCACATTTGCAGATGAAATTCCCAATTTTTCCCATAGGAAACTCCATTTTCCAGATTGAATTTTCCATATTTTCCCATAGGAAACCCCATATTTTCCCATAGTTCCCATATAAATCTCTATTTTCCATATTTTCCCATATTTTCCCATAGGAAACCCCATATTTTCCCATATCAATCTCTATTTTTCATCAGTGATTCCCCCCAGGACTCGACAATTCCGTCGGAGTTTCCGTCGTCTCTGCCACCAGCGCTTTGCCAATCAGCTGTCGTTGCAGTAGACGCTGGGCCTCCCGCAAGCCGAATTGTAGGTAGCTGGCCTTGGCTACGAAAATGACCCTCCGGTAGAAAATGGCCATAGAAATCGTTGATTTAGCCATTTAGCCATTCAAAATGGTAATGCTCATTGATTTTCCATAGTTATGTTAGTTTACCAGAGAATAATGGGAATCAAACATGGTATATATATATATATAATGGAGGGTAATGGGGGTGTCAATGTGGAGATGTCAATGGTAACTATGGTGATTGTTGAATATTGTGTATATACATATAATTATATATATATGGGTAAATTAAAATATTTCACCAACCTGAATTAAGGCCATTTGGGGATGATTTCCAATACTAACCATTATTCCAGTGAGGTCGCAGTGAGGTCGTTATAATTTACCCAGATATATACATGGTCCCATAGAAAATCCCCTAGCAATGGAGGTGTCAAAGCATCGACTATGATGAAATGGAGGAATCTACATTGCCATGCTTGACTACCAGAAGGCAAGATGTTTCCAACAGAAATGGTGATGATACCACCAACAAGAAGGATTTTACCAGGTTACCACCAAACATTTTGATTGAACTGATTTGAACCTACACTAATTGAACCAAGTTGGAATTAGTGACTATCTGGTACCTATGGAGTGTACAAGGCTCTAGATTCCGCTAACTAAAGCACAAAGGGTCCAAGAAATCTATCTGAAACTGATGCCAAGCAAGTGGTCCAAAAATCCGAATCACAAGCTCCGCAGTAATATTAGTAATAAGTTGGTTTATAATCAATCCCATCTAGGTATAGATAATCATCAATATATCCAGCCTAAACCTAACAGTTAGTCTAGCATAAACCAATCTATACCTATTTAGGGTGCCCCTTCCAAATCTTCGAGGGATTGAGTAGAAAAAACTGAGACCAGCTGCCGAATACAAATTGCTCTGCCGGCCCTGCAGGAACAGCGGGAAGGAGTGCTGCAACACACTCCGATCTGCTTCAGGGACGAAGGTGATCTGCATGGATGCCCCACCCAAGTCCAGAACCCCAACGGAATCCGTGCCGGGATCCGTTAAGCTTCCCATTTCCTTAAAAAATCTGCCATGGAAACGGGCCATATGGAGCCATGGTACCGTAAAGAAAAGTCCCAACTTTTCCCCAAATGGTGAATGAACCAATTTAATGGGAAAATAATGGAACATAAAGACATAAAGTAAATTCACAAAAAATACTGTATCTTCAGAAAATCCCAAGTTTCTGAGTTGACGGCCAGCCAGCCATAAGCTCCCTCTTCTTCCCCACTCAGAATTCGAACAAAGTCTGGTTCCAGATGGAAATGGCTCTCGCCCAGGATATGTCTGACAGTCATTAACCTCGTTTCTGGTGTGAAGCCAACCATCCCCAGGGAACCGGGAGATCAACATTCCTTGAAATTAATAAGACATACCTCCAGAAATCTAACATAGCTAGGGAAAATGGTCCGTTTATAGATGATATTATAATATTATATATTAAAAAGTGCTGGGTTTCCAAAAATTATATGGAGGTGTCCTAAACTGGGGCCTAAATAATCAATTTTCATAATTTTCATAGGGTTATAAAGTATTAAACTATATCCATAAATTGGGGATCCCCCATTTATGGAAACCCCCGTGTTTTTCTGCACACTGACCCCCCAGGCAACACGTTTTCTCGGTGTTCCGGACGCAAGCGTCGGAAGCCCGCAGTGGCCAGGAGGTACACGGGAAAGCGGTGCCAGTCCTCCAGGGACTCGGCGCCATAAAGGATACCACTTCACCATTTCAACATGGTTAATAGTGGTTCATAATGGTAGTTAATATGGTAATAGTGGTTAGTAGTGGTAGTATAGTGGTTAATATAGTGGTAATAGTGGTAAAGTGTCTGTAATAGTTTTCACCATTGGTTAATAGTGGTTAATATAGTGGTTAATATCGTGCGGTTAATAGTGGTTATAAGTATTGTAAATGACTAGTGGTGCCAATAATGATTAATGGATTTGCCCTCTGGTAAACTAACAGGTTGCGAACTGGAAAATAACCATCTTTCATAGGTATATATATATTAACGAACTAAATGTGCCATTTTCAATAGCTATGTTAAATTACCAGAGGCTAGACTCAGATAGATCAAACATGATCAAACCATATTCGGCAAATGCCTGTCCTCCTTCCTATCCTTCAAGATGTCTTCTGCAAAGTTCAGCAGCTCTGTCAGAGTGTCGTTTAACTTGGCTGATGCTGATGACAGTCCACCTGGGGATGGGTCAAAACCCTGGTACCGTGCCGTGAACCCCAAGTCATAGCTGGGATTTATGGATGTTCATCCCACTAAAAATGTTATCTATAGCTATTGACCCATAGCCACCTTTCACTTGATAAGAGGCCACAACAGTTGGTGTCACCATCGAGGGCAGTGCATCGTGTTGACACGGCCCAGGTGACCATGCGAAAATCCACACGCGCGAGCCGGTGGAGCCCGCGTCGATGATCATCCCTCGATATCGCCTGGGTGAACAAAACAACACAAAAACCATGGCTATTTAGTACCCATAGGATCCATGGTGCTGCTATATATGGTATCATAGGATCCATATTTTACCATCAATATACCCCAGTCATGTTAGCATATATATACCAGCACCATGGATCCTATGGGGTATGATGTAGTAACCCTAGAGTGAAGACTGGAAAGTGAATCATCACTATTTTAATGGGGATTACTTGTCTATCTTGTTGGTGATGACTCTATATATATATAATTTAATTATTGTGGACGCCCTAATAATAAAAACATGCTTACTAAACTGGTTAGTATCTCCTGTCATTTCTGGTTCAAGTCCAAACCAAACCTACTCATCCAATGATTCCCTCAGTAAAACATGGGGTCATCCATTGCTGGTCAGGCTGTGGTTTTTTTCACCTGTTACAACATGTTGGCTCCGCCGGGGGGGTTTGCCCGGCTTGGAACAAGGTCGACTGGGACAACATGTCAGGAGTGTCCGCAGCCGTTTGTTGTTCTTGTAGTCATGGTGTTGATTTGACTGTGTTTTTTCATATAAAATGTGGTTGTTCACAAGAAGACTTCATATCATGTTTTCAGATGCAATTGATCATTGAATGTTTTGACAATGTCCAAACTTGAGTTTTTTTCGCCAAATCTGGCGGAAAAATCAACAATCACCTGTAATTTACAGCGTTTCCATTTGACACGATTTGCCATGAATGCTGTTTGGTGGAGTTTGACTTCGTGCATCGTGTTGCGGATCGGTGGACAATCAAACATGACACTGCGATTGCGTGAAACGTTTGCACATGACACACCAGCAGCGTACCATGTTTACATATAAAAACGACGTTAACACACCCCACCCCACCCCACCCCACACATGCACATGAACACACCAGCAGCGTACCATGTGTACACATGAACACACCAGCAGCGCACCATGTGTACACATGAACACACCAGCAGCGTACCATGTGTACACATCAACACACCAGCAGCGTACCATGTGTACACATGAACACCAACGTTGACACACCCCACCCCACCCCACCCCACCCCACATGTTAAAATTCCGGGCAAACCCCCCCGGTAGACCCAACATGGTGTAACCTCTATGTGGTAGAAGGATAGAGTGGAGGCTCCCCTTTTTGTATGAAATGATAGTTTCATGTTTTATCACGTTCCCCAAACTCTTGATGGCACTAGTTACTAGTTTTCCACCATGTAAAAGCCTCTGCTTGATGGTGAAATCTCCATTCTTGATGCCTAAATATGGCTAAATCCCAACTTTCACCCACTTAACCTCTCTTTATTCAGTAGGATTTTGAACGTCTTGATGGCTAATGTATGGCTAAATCATGCTAAAATCCCAACTTTTGATGGTTAGCCCCTCATCCACCCAGCAGCTGCTCGCTCTGCTCCGGCTCATCCGACTCCAGCTCCAGCTCCGGAGTCGGAGAAGGATCCGACGTCGCATGGAGCCACAGATGGCAAAGGCAGAGGCGGGCGAAGCTGCGCATGGCAACGAGGGCGAAAATGATGGGAAAATGGAGATGAAAATATGAAAATGGTGTGAGCTGTTCAGATACAAACTTTGTTGAGGTTGACTTTAAGGAGCCAATAAAAACAAGGGGATGCATAGTGGGGATAATGGTGCGAGGTTCTTAACATGGGTTGACTGCAACAGAACGCTGCGATGCAAGTATACAAGGGGAATGTCATGAAGAAAAAAGGAGTACCAACAACCAGCCTACAAATAGCACTGGAATATGCCCGCCTCTAAACTCTAAACTTGAAGAACACCACAATCCTTGTTCTGTTGCGTTTCGAAAATGGCAACTCATCATTATGCAACATTCTCCGTGGCTGGACCTGGATTTTTGGGCGCTGACCACAAGGCTGTGATATGCTGTGATGATGTCTGCTGTCTCTTGTTTTACGACCTAACGTCTGACTTCAAGCCAAGGATAGCAGCCTAGCATGAGGTCGCATCTCTGGCAGGTTCGAGAAAGACTATGCAAGAATTATTCAAGCAGCTGCATTAATAACTTAACTAGCAGAGCATGGGGTTTATCAACCCAACTCTTCAAGCTGCTCTGTTTCAAAATTCTTCACCCAGCTGCATTTGGGTCTCTTTGGCCTTCAGGGTGGACATAAAAGCCAGAAATCAGTCCCAGAGCCCCAGGCTCAGCAAATTAGGATAGCCTTTTTTTGACCACGCTCTCTTGGGAAAGTTGATTGAACCATTAAACATACCCCCAAACGTCAGGGTCAAACCACCAAACCACCTGCAGGGGCCCGAAGTGCGTCGAGATCCAGTGGGTTTCCAGTTTCACAACATCACCCCATAACAACATGGGAAAACCATCGGGGTGCCAATTCATTATGTGAAGCTGTGCAGGAGTTTTAGAGCGGTCTAACTTTTGTGCATAGGCCTCAGGCTTTAAAATGCACAAAAACAATGAAACTGGCTCTGCAATAAAATGCCTTGCCACCAAATTCATGCTTGAATGTGCATCCAACATCATCCAATTTCATCCAATTTCGAAGACCCTCAGAAACGCCTCTTTAAAAAGAGGTCAGGAAATCCATTTTAGATAGGGGTATTTTAGAGTGAAGGTGCCCAAATATTTAGTGTTTTTCTTTTTTTATAGCACTTTATAGCAACAAAATACGGTGGCATTCTTTCGTGGCAATTCCTTAAAATTCCTTAAAAATCATTTAAATTCCTTAAAATTCCAAAAAAAACTCCTTAAAATTCCTTAAATATCCCTTTAAAATCTAAAAACATTAAAGATCCTTTAAAATCCTCCAAATTCCTTGAAATTCCGTCAAATTCCTTTAAATTCCTTAAAATTCCTCTGAGATTCCTTAAAATTCCTTAAAACTCTCTAAATTCCTTAAATTTCCGCATAATTCCTTTAAAATTCCTTAATATTCCTTATAATTCCTTCAAATTCCTTAAAATTCGCTGATCTAAAATGACATGCCCAATAAAATCGATATAAAAAGATCCTGGAAAAACACTGGTTCCATTCTGCAATAAAATGCTCCAAGCAAACATTTTTTTGCAATAAAATGAGAATGGAATTTTAACATGTTAAAAATCATCAGGATTTACCTTTACAATAAAATGCTTAGCCCAACCCCCCAACAATAAAATGACTAGCCTGACATCAATTTTAAAATTCCAATACATTGAGAATTTCGTTTAAACTATGCACAGGTTCACCAGTTCTAGAGTGGAAATTGCCACGGGGATGGAAAACCATCGTTTCCTGTAGATGTTCCGACATTGAACTAGATATAGAACCTGGAATTCATATGAATTCATCGGGTTGCCATGCTTCTGCTGAACAGGTATGGTGGGCTTATCCTTGAAGCCAGCGCACATGGACTGCAAAATAAGGGGCATGGGTGGATGCTCTCTTTTTTGACCAGTTCCCAGCATCAGGGTTCATCCTCCCAAGTGGTGGCTTGCTCCTTACCAATATAAACGAGATAAAGTAAACATGACAGCATGACCCCTTTCGAACCATGAACGACCGTGAATTGGACAGTGCTGGCTATAAAATAAAATAGGAATAGATCGTCTCAAAGTGAACGACTCGTTTCCAAAACCATTGGTTTGATGGCAATTTATTGGCAAAACCCACAGTTTGGGGAAAGATCTTCAACAATAAAAACATGTCCAACCTCGATTTTGATGGTCTGGGAAACTTGACGCCATCATGTGTTTTCACTTTCCCGTAAGGCACAGAGCTGAGCTGGCTCCAAAAAATCGACCCATTGAAATCCAGCATCTGTCTGTCCAAAAAAAACAGCAAGCAATGCAATCAGTAGTATAATATATTTGGACAGTCGGATTATATAGATTAATAAATCCAAATACAAATCCAAATATAAATCCAAATATAAATCAGTAGTATAATATTCTAGTTTAATATAGTTTATATGTGGATTTCGCCAACATTTGGTCGGTCAGTGCATCCCATCCATTTCTTGCCCTTCAGGACTGAAACATCTCCCGGTGACGGCCGCGGGATGATCTCCCAGTCAGTCCCAGTCAGTCCCCATGGACTCCCAATGTATGGGACATGGCAATGAAAAAAAGTATACTGCATATGATTATATTATATGTATATATGTATATATATATATCTATCTATATATATATAATATATATATATGTTTATATATATATATGTTTATATATATATATATACTGTATAGATCTGTATATGTACTGTATAGAAGTCCCAAACTTAAACCTGGTCCAGAAAAAAAATGTTAACATTTATTATTGAATATCATAAATCCAGCACGCCCTCCGGAAATCATGTCAATTGAAAATCCCCATGAATTCAATGCTGGTTAGCTGGGAAAATCCATGATGGAAATCCGTTATTGTTAAAGTTAACCATTATTAACTCTCTCTCTCTCATTATTATATAACTCTCTCTCTCTGTCTCTCTTCTCTCTCTCTCTCCTAATTTTGATTGCCATTACAGTACCCCGTTATTATTAAATATTATTAACCACTATAAACCACTACTAAAATCTCTATAGGTTCAACTCCATCAATTACCATTATCACTATATAATCTCTTTAAACATGATGAACCACTCTTAACCACCATTTTTCATGGGCATTTCCCACCAACTCCCACCTTAAAACCGAGCATCCCATGTCGCTGCAGCACTTCCTCCGCGCCACACCATCGGTGCGCTGGCCACCAGCCGCCCTGGCCTTGGCCGCCCGTGGCGAGGCGCAGGAGGGGGAGCGGCTGGGCGGTGTGGCATCGCGACGCCTGGCCGGGTTTGGAGGGGGGAACACCCTGAAACCATGGCCCATTTAGCCTAGAAATATATAATTATAGAATTTTTAATAGGTATAGAAATATACAATTATAGAATTTTTTACCTCTGGTAAACTAACATGACTATATGATTAATTATAGAAAATCACCATTTTTAATAGGTAAACCATCTATAAATGGGCCATTTTCCATAGCTCACTGTAGTTAACCAAAGGGTATCTGATTTGTTGGTGATGATGTGTTTTTGGAGATGGTGATTTTCCACGCCTATGTTAAATATTACCAAAGGGTAACTTGGGAAGTGTTTTTTTTGACTTCATGAGCTGAGCATGTGTCAAATAGATATGAAAATGCATGAACATCATGTATTTTGTTGTATGTTGATGTGTTGTGTTTGGTTTTAAAACCTGTTTGGCAGTTAAACTCTGACCTTTTTTGGTTGCTTTGGTGGAACCAGGAATTTTGGTGGGGGTTTCAAGGTAAGGTTGCTTAGAGTCACACATGAATAACATGGATATCTGGATATCACGCAAGTTTGTTTCAGAGAAAGACGAGAAAGCCTGCAAAAACATCTGGACATCAGCAATCGATTGGGGGTTCAAACTAGTGAATGACGCTGGGAGGAGGTAAGGCAGGTTCTTCATGCTGCCCTTCGACGAGTTTCTATACGGATAAATATATAGTATAAATAAATACATATAAATATATAGTTTTATTATAAATAATATTAAATATAACTATGTTATATATTATATATATTATATGTATTACATATATATATATATATATGTGTGTGTGATTATATGTGTATGTGATTGTGTGTGTGTGTATGGCAAGGTGCTCTACCTCCCCACATCGTTAGGGTCTGTGTGACCCCTGCGCCCACATTTTTGTCAACCGTTGAGCTCGTTGCAGGATGGTGATGCCATCCCTCACGGGCAACATGGTCACATGCCAGCGGCCACTCTGCAAGACGTGCTCGTTGAACTGGACCACAGCTGCGGTGGACGTGTCATGTCGATGGCTGGGTCTCAGTACCCTGGAGTACCAAAGGGTGTTGTCCACCACGATCAACCTGAGTGTCAGTAGAGGCTGCCCAAGTAAGCTGAGACCCGAATGCTGGAGACCCCGATGCATACTAAATAAACGCGGAAGAAAGAACACATAATTCCTGGATGTTCAAGAGGCAAGTCACCTATGAATTGTACATCAAACTAAGCATTTGGTTCTGATCGACGTCATCACTTTGTACAAACTCTGACCCAAAGCAACGACTTCACAACACTTTCACTGCACAATTAAACACCTACCATAAAGAACCCACCAAAAAATTGGTGTTGAAAACCTGGATTTCCCCTTCAAATCCCAACTGCTTTTTGGGGGTTCAAATATGGTTTGCTGACCAGGCGGCCCATCATCCGCCAGCAGGGGCCTGGACCTCTGAGCCCCAAAGAGTTCCTCCACGTATGCCACCTGATTCTCCTGAATAGCCATGCCCCGTGTTTTTCATCATGGTAGCCATGGGTTTCCTGCAACATGTCCCCCACAACTTCCCGAAAAAGGGCCAAAACTATATCCAAAACTCATCCAAATCCCACCAAAGCCAATCCCAACAATCCATAAAACTCCAAACTAAACAGATCAATTATGTTTGTCAAGGCCATATTCTGACCCAAAGGCGTCCAACTCAGTCCTTATCCGCATCGATGAAGCACAGGTCAAACGGCTCCTCCCCGGCCTCCACCGCCTCCGACAGTTCCCGCAAGCCCTGCAGCGCGGCTTGCCGGCGCAGCTGGATGCGGGCGCCAGCCGCGCCGCCGGCGGAGAGCATCTGGTGACACAGCGCTTCGGCTTGCCTCGGAGGGCCCAAGGGCTGCGTGAAAAGTGACCCCTTGGGCTGTTTCATTTGGGCCACCACCGGGGGCTGATCCGGGAGATATCAATGGTCATCATATGTGGGGGTCAAACTTTGAAAACTTTAGATTCTGACAAAATGGCAACACACACACACACACAACGTCTGGATGTGTTTGGAAGATTGTGATTTGGATGTCTTCTGCGCCCTGATGAATCGTACAAAAACTTCACAGACTTCAATCCCACCACAGCACGTCCAAAGATTGAGGAACTATGGAACCCCAAATCCACCAAACCGGCCTGCGACAGACGAAGAAAAGCGCCTATGTACCACAACCTTCCCAACTTTTTTCCAACTCAACTCGCCAAGTCACGCTTCATCCGAAAAATCATCCAGGCACACCACCTCCATCCCCTCCTTGAGAATCTCCGCCATGCCCAGGGCCGTGAAGCCCGTGTAGGTGCCAATCTCCAAGATCCGCCTGGCCCCTGAGGCCCGGATCAAGGTCTGTAGCAACTGCACTGTCAGGGGGCTGCTGAGCATCTGCGGCAAACGCAGCTGACGCTGCGTTTCCTGCGCCACCGTCTGAAGCAGCGGCGAGAGTGGAGATGAATGGGACACGCCTCAGGTGCGGATGGAAATCCACCAATTTCTGATCCCGGTTCATAGGGGAAAAGTTGTGGTTTAAACGATGGAAACTCATTGGTGCAGTTTCACACGGTTTCCCCAACCCCAAAAAACAGGTGGCGTTTCAAACCATGCAGGGGATTGCAGGGGGCTTCACCATACTACCTTGAAGCGCCATGCCACCAGGATGCAGTAATCATGTCGCAAGGTGGCTAAGGCTGTGCCCTCATAGGCGTCAGGAATCACCTGGCTTTGCTCATCAAGGACCAGTGGTCACCCTTGAGTAGAGTCTTCAAAGATTATATATATATTTGCCTAACTTGATGGCGCTTGACATATGCATCTTTTCGGGATACCCAGGCATTATCAATGGCATTTGGGTCAAACTCTGACTTAAGATATCTTAAGATATCTTACGATTATCTTCAAGCAATGCTGGAAGCTTCCACCCCATGGCTGCCAAGGTGCTCCTTTAACCACCTCTGCATCCTTCGCAGCATCGATGGAGCTGTACCCCTTGCGTCCGCGGCGCACCCGCGCCGTGGCCCGCGCCCAGAGCCACTGGAGGCTCAAGGTGGTGGCGACCGCGGCGCCAGCCACTGCCAGGCTGCCCATAAGGGAGCTCGGCGGCATGGCACCAAGAGATACCAAGGGGATACCAAGGGATCCACAAAGCATCAAGGGATTCAAAGGGGAATCCCCATCCAAGATCATCCAACTGGATAGTGATGCAGCTGATCCAAGTGGATGATACTGCATGACGATGATTGATGGGGTCCTCAAGGACTGCGAGATGCAAATGCGTCATTTTCTACCTAGGATTGGAATGGGTATGAGGAAAATCGGGATCTGGGGGGTCAAATCAAACTGACATGATGACTTTAGATGACTTTAGGACTAGTTGTGGGGGGAACGCTGAAGATCTTACCATTCTGTCTGGCAAGTCCGTTTCGATGCTGAGCCTGAAGACCAACTGGAAATCACATGAAATGCAGGAGATATCGCGGACACACCAAACCGCTTGGAGTACTGGGTTTGTTCCCCACTTATTTGGTTGTTGGCAGCCACAGGTATGTATCTTACCTGACCTATTTTTCAATTGTTGATACATGTCAAAAAGGGTCATAGCAGCAGCATCAATCATGCTGAATCAATCCTGCAAATGCTGTTGTCATGGCTAGTCCATCCCAGTCCTAGATACCTACCCCAAAGTATGTTTTTTTTTTTGCTTGCCGGTCCTTGGTCATTTTTTTCAGTATGGCTAACACTTGGCATCACTTGGCCCACTAAGCTTTCCGAAAAAAAAAAAAGGAACCCCCAGTTGCATGAGTCCGTCGGAGAACAGGGCCCACAACCCGAACCCCCACCATGATTGAAAAAAACATCTCCATTGTGAGTACTGTGGGATATCCTGGTACCATCCATTTTTGGGCAAACCCATGTGGCTAATTCACATCCCATTATGCACTAATCCCATCCCATCCCCCAAATAGCAAATACCATATGGGTCTCAAAAATGCATCCATTACTGTACGAATTCAAGGTTTATAGGGGGTGCAATCTGGTAGTTTTTCATGTAGCTATTGATAGCAGCTATCATGGCCCGTTGATAGATGATTTGCCTGTAACAAATGAAGATGTTCCATTGATTTTCCATCGCTATGTTAGTTTACCAGGTTACCAGGAGGTACTTCATTTATATATATATATATATTATATATATATATATGTTCCATGATTTTCCATATATTTCCATAGCTAGATCCTCCAAGCCCTTTGGCACTTTGCCAAGCCTTGGCATGGAGCCGGTTCGTGTCAGCAAGCCACGTGGATTTTGATATCTTTCATACACTTTTAGGTGCCGGCAGCCATGTGTGTAGCCTATAATTGCGTTACATGCATATTAAATATACATAGATATAAATTATACATATATATATATATATATACACATGCCTCCAGTTTGCATGACATATCACTGTATTCAAGCAAATGCATAAAGAAACATATTAGGAAATGGCATGCACTACATAGTGGCTATATATTATATATTCGTCAACAAAACGTTGATGTAAATCTCTTAATTAATAATCTTCATGGGATGTCAGTCTGCAGCCTGTATTGACCATGAACACGGGCTGCTTCATAGCTAGCCCTACATGTTTGAATCATGATCCGAGATGCAGCTGCAGCCTAGACTCAGCAGGTAGCAAAGGTGCCATGAACAAACTGCGATATTCCATGCCGTTGGCTTAGCGGCTAACCCCATCTTCTCCTAAATTTGTGGATTTCTAGGAGAGCTGCTGACTTTTCAGGCCTTAAGTAACCCAATCGAATGTCCAAGAACAAATCCGGTGATGGACATGTTCACTGTCCACTGTTGCTTCCCGTTCTTTCATTGTCTTTCACCAGGTCATTTCGATCTCTCAGTGCAGCAGCCAGGCGTTTTTTGAGGCTGGGCTGGTGTGCTAGGCTGGAAAAAATTGTCCATTCAGCAGGAGGGGTTTCTCCAAGGACTTTCTTGGGGAACATGCAGGTTGATCATTCAGCTATCGCTTAACCGGTGAAGCGCCTGGCAGGAGAAAGGAAACCTAGAAATCCTATAATATAAAAAGGCATTATGTGGCGATGCATCTCGCGCTGGAACGTGCCAGAAAAGCACCAAAACCTCCAAAAATCACGACGATATCAGATTGGTGGGAACAAGGACGTCCATCAAATATCCCAAACCAATAGATTCCAATGGTTAGTGGTTTTCCTCCCAGCTAGCTACAATCCCAATGAGACACCAGAACAATTCAAGACGGAAGCCAACACTCTACAATTTCCAAGAGGAATACATTTGACATACATCTTCTGGGCCCAACTCAGGGGTTCCATGGTTGCTATCGGCCTAATATCAGAGCTATGGATGCTACCACCAGTGGGACAGCGGAGATGCCACGCCGGGAGGGAACTCATGCAGCGAGGCCCTGCAAGCGTTTCTCGCATCGCTCCTGGCGGAGGGAAACATGGCTGCAAATCCACCAGTTGTAGATGTTTGATGTTTGATTCCAGATGATAAATCATATATAGACGAGAATTGATTGTGTTAGTTGATGATGATGATGATGATGAGGAGGAGGAGGAGGATGGAAAACAATGAAAAGGAAGATGAAAAGGAATATGGAAGTAAATGGAAAAGGAAGATGAACAGGAACATGAAAAGGGAACCTGATTAAAAGATATTAAAAGCAATATTATGAAACCGCACATGATGAAAAGGCGCATAATGAAAAGGAAAGAAGGAGAATGAAGAAAAGCAGGAAAGTGATGAAAAGGAAAATGGTGAAAAGGAAAACAAAGAAAAGGAAAATGAAGAAAAGGGAGATGATGATAAGGAAGATGATGAAAAGGATTAATTATAAAAAGAAGATGATGAACAACAATGAAAAACAAAGTGATGAAAAGGAAAATGTTGGGAAAGAAGATGACGAACAAGAATATATTCCCCATTGGAGTTGCAAAAACAAGAGGCTTCATCATATTGATACTATTTCCATCCGCAGAAGAAGTTTCCATCTATAGTTTTGATATGTAGCCAGATGCAGCCAACAGGATACCATCTGGTTATTTAACATAGCCATGGAAAATCACAATTTTTAATAGGTAAACCATCTATAAATGGGCCATTTTTCATGGCTATGTTAAATAACCAGAGGGTACACTCCGGAAATGGAAAGAACCCCAGATGCTCAGAGCATTTCCCAGAGCTTCTGGGATCCTCATCGGTGCCCGGTGCCTTCAAAGCTGGATCGTTGCTCTCGTCGAAGAACTTCTTGCACCTGGAAAAAACGTCCCCCTGCTGGGTCCTGCTTCGTGAAATTTGCATGTGGCATAGCACGACATGATACAACAAATGTTTAAAACTAATTTTAGATGTGCTAAAAACCACCATTTCAAGATGGCTAACATTGTTCAAAATTTGCAAAGATGGCATGAGTTCAAACCTTCACCTTCATGTGTGTCAGTAGGAATCTGTGACCCCAAAGCTTCAGGGGCCAAGGCACTCTTCGACATCCTCTGCAGATCCCAAAATCACCGGCACGCGCTGGTGAACCCCGACCTGCAGCATGGCCAGTGCAGTGCGTGTGATGAAAACATACAGCCCCCATACGCTGCTCACAACATATTGGAATCATGACATTGCTCTTTGCATCCCACTACCCATGCCATCTCAGGCGGTTATTCAGAGGTTGGTTAGGGTCAATGATCCTCATCCTCATCCTCCTCCTCCTCCTCCTGATCATCATCATCATCATCATCATCATCATCATCATCACCGTACCTTCTAGCAGCTAGGATCGTCTGAAACAAATCAAACGCCTCTGACCTTTGACGTGCACTCTGAAATCTTCAGATTGAGGGTTTCACCATACTGAGCGACCCCCCAATCATAAACCATCTAACCATCCCCCATTTAACCAAGGTCCTCCCGTGGTAGCATGCTAGTAAGATAAAGGAAACAAATTACTACATATACGAGCATATGATAAACTATTGTAACATATTATATAGTGTGATTTAACTAATATATTTAATAATTTAGAAACTGTGATCAGACATTCTAATACTACAAACTGGATCATCCACCCATTGGTGGTTTCTTATGGCTTCTTGACAACCAGAACACCAACAAATGGATCCTCCAAAACTCCTCGCCAAGTGAACGCCAAGCGACAGGGGGAATGTCCAGAACCCGGCTGTGTCCCGTAATTGCCTGGCGAATGGAAGACATCTGGAAGGATGAATGTGGATGCCCATACATGGGGATACTAAGAAAATAAACGTAGGGATACTCTGATATTCATCTGTATAATCGCTGATTAAAAGGAACACATTCGCATTGCAGCTTTAAAAAGTGAAGCTGATGTGTATATATATGTGTGTGTGCGCGTGTATATAATACACACATATATATATATATATACAAGAGAAACAAAGATTGAACCAACAGCAACAAAAAATAAGGCAAACCTCAAACCAAAAATATATGTACAAGAGAAACAAAGATTGAACCAACAGCAACAAAAAATAAGGCAAACCTCAAACCAAAAATTTGGTCATGCCATGCTCAGACCGTCCCCTGCATCTCTAACATGCCCAGGAGAAGAGGAGTGTCCTGTTTCAAATGCCAAAGATCAAGCCATGCACCGACCAATCAATGCTTTATCCACGGTTCTGGTTTTCTTTGCATAGACACTATTTCATACTATGTCTATTCATTTTGGAATTTTTACCATTCCATTCTTTGAACATATCCTTTGGGGTTCCATCTATAAGGGGGCCATCCTCACTACGACCTCCTAGCCCAGGCCTAACCCCAGCCCCGCGCCTTGCCACCAGCCTGCTCCATGATGAAGGACATAGGGGCGCCCTCGTAGAGCAGTCGCAGCTTGCCGTCCTGACGACGAGTCGACGACACTCGACGACGAGCAAGGGGATGTCATATGGTGACTTGAAACGGCCACATGGCATTCTTATATGGGATATGAATATCATATGAAAGGGATATTAATAGGATTTAATGGGATTATAATGGGGACTAGCATGAAATAACCAACAATATAGGGGATACAACCAACAAGTCGGGGATCCAGCCACCATGGCTGTTTCAATACTAAGTCATGGTCATCCATGGCTGTTTCGGGCACCCCCATTTTGGGAACCACCTAGTCATAGATAGAAAAGTTGGAAACTGACCTAGAAGTTATGGAAGTGATGGGGAAAACCATCATCTACCCTCTGGTTATTTAACATAGCTATGGAAAGATCCACAATTTTTAATGGGAAAATCCACTATAAATAGCCATTTTCAATAGCTATATGTTAAATTACCAGAGGGTATACCATCCTGGAAAGATTTTTCTCTATCTTTGTGGGTTGCTGTACTTATTTAATCTTATTTATAAAGATCCCTCCCCAGGCTTACACCAGGGGAACTTTGCCCTTTGACAAAAGGTACCTTTGCCTTTTTGACAAGAGTTGCGTTTGTTTCTCAAGTGTGTGGCACATATATAGTAAGCCATAAGAGAAATGTAGAAACCTATTTCCAAGTGTATGCAAGGACAGAAGGATATGATTATTACCGTATCCTTTTTAAAGGTTGCTCTAGCGATCTATAGCGGCTATAGCATAAATTTAGGTACCAGTAAATGCCTGGTCTAGGCAGGGTCGTCGCCTTCCAGGAGGACGAAACATCGCTTTGGAAGGGCTGGGTTTTGAAGCAGGAAATCCTCAATGTTTGAAGCCCCCCAGTTTTGAGAAACCACTTAAACCCAGGAGGGTACGAAACCAGTACTCACCATGCATCCCATGCCAGCGTGTGATCACCGCTACACCCTGCAGCGCCATCTCCTGATTTTTGTTGTCCGCAGGGTACGCAAAAATGCCACCGTAAAGAAGGGTTCGGTGGATGTCTCCGACCTCGGTGAAACGGCCAAAGCCAGCCTCCAAGAGTCAGTTCCCAAACAAAACCAGACAAAAAATCACAATAGAAAACGATGGCTATATTGAGAAAACAGTTCAAACAGTTCAAACAGTTCAAACAATCATCATTCTCATTATTTGATTGTTAACCAATGATGAGATGTGTCAACTAATATGATTGTTTTAAAGTTAATTTTCATTTAACATGACATATCTCAAATCATCCACTGATCCACTGCCTTTGAGCTGAGGCCGAGGTGCCATGGAACCGATGTAACGCAAGGAGTAGGGCGTGTCAGTCTCGCCTGGATGGATGGCTGGCTCGTTGGCTCACCCTCTGGTAAACGTTTACATAGCGAACTGGAAAGATCCACCATTTTATAGCTGGGCAAATCCACTATTTCGGCTGGGCCATGTTCAATAGCGAACTGTTAGTTTACCAGAGGGTATATTTCATAGAATCAATGGGTACAACACAACTACTAAGAAGATCTAATGAGCCTTTTTCACTATTGGTTTCTCCTTCATGTCAACCCCGGATGAATAAACCACGGCTATTCATTGGGACTTACCCCCAGCATAGTGATGTACAAATTACAATTGAACTTGGTACCCCCCTATGAATAACCTGGTGGTCTATGAATTAGGGCTTAACATTTCCTACAGTAGTGCCAGCTTCTAAAGTGTTTGGACCCAAAAAACCAACTCCAAAGACAGTCTCAGAAGGTGTTTGGAGCAGCAGGGATGATCAAAAATGCGCCAAACATATGAATCAATATTTCAAGAGTTGTGACCCCCTTATCAATCTTATCAATTAAAAAAAAAAAATCATCCAACTTGTTTATAGTCCCAAAAGTCCAACTTATCAAAACTTACTCAAATAACTTGGATAAGTTGGTGTCCCTCACCTTTTCCAGCTCGGATAGTCTGGATGTACTCGCGCATGGGCTGGTCCCATTCCTGTGAGGCCAAGCAAGCCACGAGACGGTGCAGGAAGGTTAAGTTTGATCATCAAAGCCTCAAAGTACCTCCAAAGATTGGCTGCATATATATATATATACATATAATATACATATATTATATATATACATATATAGAAGAAAAACATAGAAAAACATAGAAAAGGCAAACACCAGTTTCTTGCGGGATTCGTGAGGGTCAACCAAACATTGATTTATCAATGAACTTTGAGATGCAACCAACAACAGTAGCTACCCAGGTCAGGATACTCCGATGTTGCCGGTGTTGGCAGAGTAGATCTTGCCCCTGGGCGGAATCTGAATCCTCAGCTCTGACATCAGTCTGGCGATTTCCAATGGATTTCCCAATGGGGGTTGGATAAAATGGTTGGGATCCTTGACCAAGAAATTGGAAATGCTGGAACTATATGCCCCTTATTCACGACTTGAAAGGCAGTTGCCTGAAGGGGGAATGATGACCAGCATTGACCAGCCATGCTTGGCTGTGGCATCCCGCCGACCTATCAATTTTCGGAGTGTAGCTCAGATCTTGAAAGTATTCAAACATCATGTCCATCAAAATCATACCCGACATAAGGTATCTAACGTCATTTTCCATAACCAATATCCAAAAGAAACGGGGTTTATGAATGTTTATCTGGTTGGTGCTTGACCTACCCCTCTGAAAAATGATGGAGTGAGTGAGTCAGTTGGGATCATGTTCCATTCCCAATTAATATGGAAACATCCATTAAAATCCATTAAAATCCATTAAAATCCATTTAAAATCCATTAAAATCCATTAAAATCCATTAAAATCCATTAAAAAAACCATTAAAAAAACCATTAAAAAATCCATTAAAAAATCCATTAAAAAATCCATTAAAATCCATTAAAATCCATTAAAATCCATTGAAATCCATTGAAATCCATTAAAATCCATTGAAATCCATTAAAATCCATTAAAAAATCCATTAAAAAATCTATTCAAAACCATTAAAAACCATTAAAATCCATTAAAAAAATCCATTTAAAATCCATTAAAATCCATTAATCCACTATAATCCATTAAAATCCATTAAAAAATCCATTTAAAATCCATTAAAATCCATTAAAATCCATTAAAATCCATTAAAAACCATTAAAAACCATTAAAATTCATTAAAAACCATTAAAAACCATTGAAATCTATTAAAATCCATTAAAATCCATCAAAATCCATTGAAATCCATTGAAATCCATTGAAATCCATTGAAATCCATTGAAATCCATTGAAATCCATTAAAATCCATTAAAATCCATTAAAATCCATTAAAATCCATTAAAATCCATTAAAATCCATTAAAATCCATTAAAAACAATTAAAAACCATTAAAATCCATTAAAATCCATCAAAATCCATTGAAATCCATTGAAATCCATTAAAATCCATTGAAATCCATTAAAATCCATTAAAAAATCCATTAAAAAATCTATTCAAAACCATTAAAAACCATTAAAATCCATTCAAATCCATTAAAAACCATTAAAATCCATTAAAATCCATTAAAATCCATTAAAAATCCATTAAAATCCATTAAAAATCCATTAAAAATCCATTAAAAATCCATTAAAATCCATTAAAAATCCATTAAAATCCATTAAAATCAATTAATATCCATTAAAATCCATTAAAATCCATTAAAAATCCATTAAAAATCCATTAAAAATCCATTAAAATCCATTAAAATCCATTAAAATCCATTAAAAACCATTAAAATCCATTAAAATCCATTAAAAATCCATTAAAAATCCATTAAAATCCATTAAAAATCCATTAAAAATCCATTAAAATCCATTAAAAATCCATTAAAATCCATTAAAATCCATTAAAAATCCATTAAAATCCATTAAAAATCCATTAAAAATCCATTAAAAATCCATTAAAATCCATTAAAAATCCATTAAAATCCATTAAAATCAATTAAAATCCATTAAAATCCATTAAAATCCATTAAAAATCCATTAAAAATCCATTAAAAATCCATTAAAATCCATTAAAAATCCATTAAAATCCATTAAAATCCATTAAAATCCATTAAAATCCATTAAAATCCATTAAAATCCATTAAAATCCATTAAAAAATCCATTAAAATCCATTAATCTATTATAATCCATTAAAATCCATTAAAATCCATTAAAAATCCATTAAAATCCATTAAAAATCCATTAAAATCCATTAATCCACAATCCATATAACATTCCCATATGGTTCCAGTCATTTTTTAAATTCCATGGTTCCAGTCACCAGCAACCAGTTCAACGCATCCGAGCCGCGAGGGTCGGGTCATCACGAACTCGCCAATGCCTCACGGGGTCGTCACGAACGATGGACGAGCCGCTGGACACCTTTCTTTAGATGATTTGTCCATCAAAGAAGATTAATACATAATATACTATTATACTATGTTAAATTGGATATATATATGTGTGTGTGTATCATTATATATATATGTGTATATATATATGTATATATATATATAAATGTGGGGAATCAGATTGTATACTCAGGTTCAGTGTCATAAGGAGATCAAAATAATTCATGGCGTTTCGAAACGGTGTTTTTTTTTTACGGTGATAAACCATGATAAACCCCCCAAATCCACTGGTTCATCATCATCATCATCATCATATTCATATTCATATTCATATGCATATTATATATTCATAATCATCTGGCATCAAACATCATAAACATCTATTAGAATCTATCATCTAGAATCTGCTATCAAATCCGTACCAATCTTCCATAGATTTTCACCTTCCAAAAACCCATGGCCCTTGGGGCGTCCCTCTCCACGCCAGGTCCGCCAGGTCCCAGGTGCTGGTGTCCAGCGTGAAGCCCACCACGCCCTGACCGAAGGTCAGCACCAACTCGGTGGAGGCGGAGTACAACACGTAGCCCGCGGCCACCAGGGACTGGCCACCGGAGACATTGGAGGTCCATGGACGTTTTTTGAGGCACCAAGAAATGGTGAAAAATGTGGGGTTTAACCCCCAAAAATGGTGGAAGATGTAGGGTTTAATATGTATTTTATATGTTTTTAAGGGAAATACTGATGAATTATGGTGAATTATGGATGTTGATCCCCACATATCCCAACCCAAATACGGTGTATATATATATTATAGATATATTACAGTTTCTTTGTTCTATCATGGACTTGTGGATGGTGATCCCTATGATCCCTGATGTTGCTGTTGCTGCTGGGTGATTGGCCATGGAGTTAGTTAGTCAAGTTGTGATCACAAGTGGGTGAACTGACCAAAGAAGTAATCCAGCTATTGGGAATATAAACAGGTTATGATTTTCAGTCAACTCACTGACCATGGTACATCTAAGCGCCAGTTGCCAGTGAGATTGATAAAGTCATCCAACCCTAGATATTATCCACCATAAGACAACTCTTCAAGAGTGGCGGATTTGACACAGGAAATGACCTTCCCATCCCCCCAGAAATGGCACCTTGCCAGGCTGCAGGGTGCCAGCCAAACACCTGTTTTTTCCATGGACAATCGCACTCCGGGGCATACATCCCCTGTTAAAACCCATGGTTTCTGGGGAGGTGTGGAATATTAGGGGGATGGGACCAATGACAATGTGGCAACGAAAATCGGTTGATTACGACCAAGATTCCCAGCCACTGCTGAATTTGATCTTTGAAGAGGATTAAGTCTCTGGCAGGGTCAGGATCAGGTTACCGAAGGCTAAACGGCTTAAACTCCACGCCTGCCTTGGCCACCTCTTTCACTTCGATCAGTGAAATTCACCATTTCCATGAGCTGTGCAATATCTATCCTTCTATCCGATTCTATCCATTCCTTTCCGTCTCTGCCTATCTACCTGTCTATAACCTAGTATCAATGGCCTATCTATCTGTTTATCTATCCATATTTCTTTCTTCCTATGAGTCCAGGCGTGTCAGAATGTAAACTTTGCCATTGTCAAAGTTGAGATGTGCTTTCTTTTGAACAAATACGGATACATCCATCAGCACTCAACATATTGCTATCACATGTGCATCTGCAATTGTCAAAACATGATATGGGTTATGGTCATCCCACTATCATTATGGATCCCTTATATCACTTACAGTTGGTATATCAACCCCTAATGGGAGGACGGCCGTCCCCAATCAGAAAAGACCCATGTAGCTGAAAAACAGCACATGTCACTCTGCCTGAATGAAGATAGATAATTCAATACCATCCCACTGATGTGTTCCGTTCTATCACCACAAACATCGCAAGAAATCCCATGAAATCACCATGTTCCCGATGGTTTTTTCGGCAAATCCCATGAAATCCCAAGAAATCCCAAGAAAAATCACTGTTGCACCGTGGTTTCCTTAGGAAATCCACCCAAAGTGGTGCATGTTTCACCTCCTGCCGGCCTTTGCTGCTCCTCGGAGAGACCTTTGGAGAGATCCGCGGGCAGCTCGCACTCTGCTGGGCTTGGCTCCTGGGGGACTGAATGGGTGGATTTCAATGGTGTTTACCTATTTGAATTGAATAAATTAAAACTAATTTCTGATTGAACCTATGTTTTTTCTTAACCTATTTTAACCTATCAATGGTTTTTACCTATAAGTCAATATTCTCATCAATACATGAAAAAATTACTTATGGCTTCATTTGCGTGCATCTCAATGGATTGGGTTGGTGAACATCTAAATTGAGTACAGAAACCATGAGAAACCAGTTGATGGAAGAAATTGCTTTATCATGGTTTATACATTTATACAGTATACACATTAACTTACATATAACATATGTCTCACCTATTCAAATTACCCATGCTTCAAGGGGGCACGTCAATCCGCAAGTCCTCCCAGGGACGCTCCTCAAAAACTCCGAAGATGGTGCCCACTGGAATGCCAGCATCCACGTTGCCTTGGGTAGCTGGAGAACATGACTTGCGTTGATTCCAAAGAGGTAAACATCTTTGACACATAGAGACATAATTAAGTGACATAGTGTGAAAATAGGGAATGCTTGCTGTCCATCACGTCATGATTTCCAGTCAGTCTGAAGGTTGTTTAAACTCTTGTATAACTCACCATGCAGCATACCAAAGGTCTGGGATCTCATTTATATTCCACTTTTCTTGGCGCCCTCTCAAGATTGATGTTTGTATCAGCAGTGTTATTCAACATAACATAACATAACAAAAACATGAAGTACAAGGGTTTTCTGCCAATGTTCCCTTAAACCCTATTCAAAGAAAACAGTGGAAAGAAACACACCAAAATCAGAAGAGTCAAACAAACCAACGCTGTTCCTTTTGATCAACTGTCGATTGGTTGTTAAAAGCGGGGCCTACCATGGCCTACCCCTCTCTCAATCATTCTACTAGTTGGACAAGGAGGTCGATGAAGTGAACAACACGCACCCATCATGCATTTACATGCATTTACTGAATATTCACATACTACATATAATATCATATAGTTGCCTGCCTCTATCCGGATATATCCGGATTATCCACCCCAGAAAAAATGCCATACAAGCACATCATCATGTACAAATCATTACAAATCTACCATCCATGGGTCTGAGATATGGCGGTCCCTGTTTTTTTGGGTGGCTAGGCATCCAGGATGCTGCTGCCATCCAAAGGGTCGAAGACGCAGATGTATTTTCCGGTGTCCGCAAACTCCTCGACCAAGGCTGTGCTTCTGAGATGGGCCATTTGGCACAATGAAAACTGAGGGTTCTATTGCCAATTGAGACGTTTCTACCTGCACATTGGAATAAAATGGAATAAAGACTATAGTCACAGTTTCAGTTTTAATTTTGGCAGACTCAAACTGTGAGTATTCATTCGGAATTGCCGCAATGCCTCAATGAATGGCAAAAACAAGGGAAACTCACTGTGTGTTTAATCCCTCCTGCGTGTCATATCTTTCGCACCAACAACTTCCAACTTTGGTGGATTCCTTCTTGCAAGTAAACAAAATATGGCACTATGTGAGTGTGTCTGAAAATCGGGCATATATACCCCCAATTATAGCTGGTTGGTGGTTTTAACCAGCTTCAAAAATATGAGTTCGTCAGTGGGGATGATGACATTCCCAATATATGGAAAAATAAAATTCATGTTCCAAACCACCAATCAGATAGCCATTTAATAAATCAATTGTGAAATAAACAATTTTCATTATCATTGAATAGCCATTTTCATTTAATAGCCATTTAATAGGCATAATTGGTGGTTTGATAATGATAAATCAACCATTGGGTTCGAGAACAGCTATGGCCCTGACATCGGAGAGCAAAGGGATGGCTTCGCTGCCGCCCCTGGCCGCAGAACCAAAGTTGGAACGCCTCACCCATCTATTAATATGGTACAATATGCTACCATGAAGTAGAATTGAATGAGTTTACTTAAGTCTATTAGTCTACTTCTTCGATTTGGCCAGACGCAGTCAGGGCTAGTCAACCAACGAAACTCTGCGACTTCTTACAAATTTCGGACACAGAACAAGATGGAGAGACCATATATTTATAGATTTACCAACAGAATCATGCCGCTGTTCGTACTGATCAAATGGGAGTTCCAAGACAAAGAGGGTAAGCTTGTAGAGTGGAAACCAAGCAGCATTGACATGTTTATATAAACGTTTTGTCATGCTGGATGCTTGTGGCAATACAAGACCGCGGAAAGCAATCGTGATAGAGAGTCGAGATACATGACATATCACATACAAAATGGCCCACCCAGTTCTAAATTGGTTTAGAAACCCCATTGACTACAGATGTGTCATGATAGACAGATAGACAGACAGACATACAGATAGACAGACAGATAGATAGACAAACAGATAAAGAGATAGAGACATAGAGAGACAGAGAGATAGAGATAGAGAGACAAAGAGATAGAGATATAGAGATAGATATAGATATCTATCATAAACTCTATTGAAGTTACACAGCAACTTAGCATTCTGGAGGGCCGGGCCCTACCTCGTAGCACATTCACAACACCCTGCCGAGGTCAGGACACAGATCCATCCACCGGCTCGTCTTCCTCCTCTGATGCCAGGGTGCCCAACTTGCCTGCATGATGCAGGCTGTCTCGAGTTCCCTTTTCAACGCATTAAAACAGAACAACTACAAAAATAAATAAAACATTGGTCTGAGTCTTATCAATGAATTTAAAGCTTCCTGTAAATCTTCCCATCTTCCAATTCTGGGATTTGTTCGAATGTTTTGTTGAGGCGTTCCTTGTTTGTGGAGTTTTTGGTGCTGGTGATTAATTACCCTCAAATGAAAAGAAAAGTTGCCCTTGTCGAGAATGGATTGAGCCGTTGGAATGAAGAAATTTAAAAGAACCTCACAAAGAGGAAGCATGACAGGAGGCACAAATCAATGATGAAGCAGTGTCAGTGTGCGAGGGTGCATCAAAAATCTGCATAAATCTGCACTATCTAATTCAGAAAGCTCGTGCATCTTGGAAGCTCGAGCGGAACTATTTTACAATGATAGGCCAGAAAATGAAACTTGACGCCATGGAATCTGGGCATGGATCACAATGGGGACAAAAATAAACCCACAAAATTGGTGATACTTAGCCATCCAGCTGTATATCCCGGTTGGGGCTTGAACATGTTGCCCCTAGGTCCATTTAGCATGGAAGCTCAAGGCGGCTCAATCTACTGCAGAAACTGGCAAAAAATCGTCCACGCCAGGCATGCGGCATGCCTGTGTATCGCAGGGCATTCTTGAAGACGTCGTTTGTGATGACCTGGGAAACCGCACGAGACAAATCGTCTTAGATACAACATCCATAGCAATGACTACAGCGAAAGTAGTGTGGCAAACCCAATGGCATATATGTAAATCATATACATCCCACTCCGTTAACCCGATAAGTTTACCATTGTTTTCTGATGATTTCTGATTTTTTCCCAATTCCACCACAAGCAAACACAAAATATCCCACAATCACTAGCCGATGAATTTTGGCCAGGACCGGCAACCTCAGGAAGAACATATCTTGGTGGTACCTTTTCCCGGCCTGCTGTCCAACAAACTGAGCATCCGCACATCCAACTTCTTTTGATCTTCGCCCTGCACGTTGATCTCGCCTTGAAGTCCCAAAAGCTCCGCCTGCACCGCAGTTTTCTTGCAGAAAGAGCTAGAAACCAGCTAGAACACTTCAAATGCAAAAGCATTCGCGAACCTGTGCTGATTCCAGACTCGATGGAACCCAAGGACCTATATAGAAAACTTGACCTCACATGTCATGGTGGGCCCTACCAGGTATGGGTATGCAGTGCCAACCGTCCAATTGGTGCTGTGTGATAAGAATTAGCCACACACACAGTACAACCCGCCGCACCCTAGCCGTGGAAAGCCTAGAAAAGTCGCCAACATCACGAGAACGAAACGAGTCTTCAATTGCCACCTTCGATACATCCCAAAAAAAATACCTCCGGTTTCCTTCCAAGGGCAGGTGGCCTGTTGCAGTGGTGCAGTGTTCACCAACTTGGCAATGACTTTGGCCGCCTGCGGGAAGCGGTGAGATGTGGTGGTGCAGTTGCAGTTAAGTGGAGATTTTATCATAGTTAAAGGATGTTATAGGGGAGTTAAGCCAAAATGGTTGTTAGCCATTTATAACCTCAACATACGTCAACTGCACAACTGCACCCCAAGTAGGGAGCCTGGTTATGGAAGTTTGGGAGTCAGAACCCCAAGATCCTTTCTGAGTGTTCACTCTACAACCTGTCCCATGTATACAAGCAGCGTCGCCTGGATCAGTTCCCCTACACTGAGGGTTGCCAAATTTGGACTAGCCCACCAACTTGTGGCCTCTACGAAGATGAAGGCCAAAAAGCATCCCTCTACTTGCGGACCCACATCTACTTTTCATCTGCAGAAGCATCCCCCTTCAAGCAGGCAGCACAACCCCCACAACTCACAAATCATCCATATCTTCAGCGATTTCAATAGCTCGAGAAATATGTTCATCAATTCGTCTATTGGTCGATCCCACTGCTCCCCAAAAACTTTCCAGGCCTCACGGATGGAGTTGAAGATGGAGTTCAGATCCTCATCGATCTTCCCGCGGTTCGCCAGCTCGATGCAGTAACCTCTGCGACCAGCTCGGTGGGCCGCTACAGCCCTACTGTTGGGGCCCCAAAATGATCAGATCCAATACCCCAAACAAACCAGGGCTTCAAGAAGCATCAGGATGCCGGGATTACTGTATACCGGCTGGAACAGAATCGCAGGAATGAACATCCATCATTGATTTGCAGATGATGTGCTTGTTCCAAGTGCGAATTTCGATGTTTAGGTTTTATGTTTTTTTCCACTATGTAATCCCAACAATCATGATATCAACTTCTTGGTTTGTTTGCCATATTTGTTTAATTTGGTTTAAGATTTGAAATGGACACCGCAAAACCACCTTCCAGGGTATAAATTCCATGAAGAAATGCCTGGTGAAGTCTTAAACACCCTGTGCTCCCAAACACTCACGCCCCAGGATGTTCGGAGTTTTATCACTGTTCCAATTGCCGTTCGGTGCACGGAGGTTCTCTTGGTCAACCAACACACCCACTGCAAGCAAAGGGCGGCTGAGGGTCACCCCGGTCTGCTCGCACACATCCTCAAACTCATCCACGACTCGAGTGGCGGTCCTGGCATTGCCATATGGAGCGGGTCTGAGATGAAGATCAAGTTGATGATGGACGGGCATGCCCGGGTGTAAGAAGAGAAAAAAAAGGTACCTGGCCAAACGGCTACAAGCCCAGTTGCAATTGGGGCAGGGTTTATCCAGTTATAACCCGGGTTCTATGAAATCCACCTAGCATATGGGGGCCGCATACTGGGAAGGACCAAAGGACCCCAGCATTCGCTGTGTCTCCAGCACTGCACATCATGCTGTTTCGCAACCATGATCTGGATGCCGGCGGGAGGGATCAAGAGTGCTAAAGTGCTTCTCAAAGATTACGCTGGGCTCACTTGACTGATCCTTTCAATACAACAATACTAAAGCTGAAATTGTGGCCGTCTGCGAGTCATGGTGATATCCAGTATAGGATTGCCCCTCAATTCCTTCCATCCCCGCTGCCATCGGCATCTCCTGGGTTTGGAGGTCTTAGCCTCGACAGTGTCATGGTACCCTGGATATTCAACTATGGACGGTTCCTGGGTTGCTAGCCCACCTCTTCTCGCTCCGGCAAATTCAGTTTTGCAGGTTAAAAACAACAATTAGTTGATCAGGTTCCTGGAGAAAGATCTCATGTTTTTGCCAAATCCCAAAAATAATCGCGCAATCTTCTGCAAAGAACAGAACATCAGCCATAATCACCCAACTTTTGACCTTCAATGGATTGATTGGATTGGCTTAAGGAAAATGTTAGAGGAAATCATGGTTTTCTCTAGGTAAAGGCAATGTTTTTTGTCCAGTTGAAGTGGGATTTTTGCATGGTCTTCTTCAGTTGAAATAGAGATGAATAGAGGTTTTCCATGTTCTTTTCAGTTAAAATAGTGCTCCAGGTTCTTTTCAGGTAAAACTTTGTTTCATGGTTTTCTCAAGTTAGAACAGATGTGTTCCATGGTTTTCTCCAGTTTAAAACATGTCAAAACAGTGATTTTCCATGATTTTCCAACGTGTTCCATGGTTTTCTCCTCTAATTTATCCCTTCCTCCAGCATTCCCCGTTGCCAGCCATGTGGCGCGCTGGCGTCGCGCGGCGCCAACTGCAGAGGCGCCCATGGCGGCAGCCAGGACCACCGGGGCGCTGCCACCAACCTGGCGATTTCATGGTGATTTCCTGAGGAAACCATGGGGAAAATGATGATTTAGTGGGGATTTACGAGTGATTTATTTAATAGGGATTTAATTCATGGTGATTTAATAGGCGATTTACTGGTGATTTATTAAGGATTTCATGGGAATCTATATGTTGTGATATGGGATTGAATTTGAGAACCATGCAGGAGTTGATTGGTTCCGATCCCACATTCACACATGGTACAGTCCCTACTGTCCCATTGTACTCCATTTGAACTTGTGAGTTATTCACCGGCGGAAGAGGTACCCTCTGGCAATTTAACATAGCTATGATAGCTATGGATGATTACGAAAGCCATGGCCAATTTATAGATGACTTTACCGGAAACTGCTGTCCAAATCTATGTAAAACATCGTTAAACTACCAAGGATGGTAGCTGCAGATGGCAAGGCTTGGTGCAGGCCTTCGTGGCCTTGGTGTTCGCGCTGTTTCCGCTGCTCGAAGTTCGAGCCACTGAAGAGCCAGGGGCCTGGGAAGAGACACTGCTCGAAACCACCGTCAAGTCACTGGCCATATATAAGGCCTATGTTTCAGGCCTATGTAAGGGAATATCCCAGCAAAATATGGCCAAAAATATGGTACAGTACCTCCATTTTAGGATCCTGGAATTCCCATTGATCAATGGCCGTAGGCGTCCCAGTTTGCAAGGAATTAGGTATGGCCGGTATGGCTCAAAATTAGTCAACCAACAAATTTGGATGATTTTGAAGGAGGAACCAACCCAGTGTGTGCGTCGGTGAAGAATTTGTGAGGCAAAATATTTGAACCCTGGGAAAATTGCCAATTGATAAGGTCTGCCAAAATCTTCAGGAGGCACCCCATGATAGAACCAGGAGTCCTTTTTTGCCAGCACTTCAACCCCCTCTTTTGGTCAAAATCCAATGTTTAAACGTCAAAACCCAAAATGCGAAGGTCAGATCCCAATTTGTGAAGGTCATGTCAAATCCCAGTTCTGATGGTTTATATAAATGACAAGTAAAAAATGTTTGCACTGCCAACTGCCCCTTTTGAGCCAAGCAGCAGTCCCAGGTGCCAAGAAAGCCAGGCTGCCTGCGGGGCGGCCCATAATTTCATTACAGATCCTAGTTGCCATCTGAAGCCTACGATAAGCACTGTGATGTTGTTGTGCATTGCTCAGATTGGAATCCAGCATCAAAGATTTCTACAGTCTCATTGGGTTCACGAATAGGGGCTCCCAACAAATACAGTACTTACAGTAGACTACGGCACTACATATCCCCTATAGATTCCCCCAAATGGTGGGCTTCCCATTGGGAAAATCACAAAAATCGCCATCTCACAACAGGGCTGGGGGGTGCCAATCCAGGCCTGCCATGGCTGTCCCTGCGACCAAGGCTTTGCAAGCTTGACCTGAAGAGGATCCCGAGATCCCCAAGGAGAATGGTCGTTATCCTATGGATTTTCCGGAAAAATAACCATGAAATCATCCCAATTTTGGAGTCCTCCCTGACAATCCAAAATTCTCGAATGTTACCTCCTGTGGAAAGAGTCCATCGCATACTCGAGGAGTGCAACTGAGCCATTTGGATTCTGGATGGGGCCATATGTGGCCATCAATCAACTCTCCTTTATCTCCTCAGGAATCTAGCCATATTTTCATGGATCTTGATTGACTCAATGTCTTGCTACTATGCTCTTACACAGTGTTTCATGTGTTTTTCTGTATCTGTGGTGCCGTATTTGGTGGAGCAACTCAGAACCATATCTTTTCTCAATGGTGAGACCAAAAGCCACCTCGGTCATTTTCAAGCAGAATTAAGCGATTCTCGAGCAGCACTTTGGCCGCAAATGCCATCCCGCATGTTCCATGGTGTCCCTCTCTATTCTCTCTATTCAGGTCCAAGCTATTTAGGAATTTAGGTTTGTCTGAAAATGGGGTACCTCTATAGATCCACTTGTTGTTCAAACAAGAGCTGGACAACCCTACTGGTTGTCAACCCCGGATTAATAAACCATGGTTTATTCTGGGGATACCATCCAAATAGTGATAATATGGTACTTAATGGGTACCTCCCTAATTTAGCACAGCCGTTTAGGGCTTATGAAAATTCACAGGCTTGACATTCAGCCCTCCGCCTCGCGGGTGGCCACCGAGTTGGCCAGGTAAGCTGCGCGCACCAGAGGGAAGTAGGTTTTGCCCAAGAAATTCCAGGTCACTGAGATACTATCGTCCAGGCATTCCACCTGCCCGTCTTGGCGAAGATTGGTTGAACTAACTAGAAAGGTTAACTAGGGCTTATGGTAGATATATATTATGATATATACATATTATATATATATATATATATCTGTGTGTGTGTGAATGTGTATGTGGTCAATAGGGGGTGTATATAATTACGTATGTAAATTAGGCAAAATTTATGGTATATATCTATATATCTATATATCTATATCTATATATATTTAGTCATGTACGAGTAATGGGGATTATAAACCAACAACTCTGGGGGACCACCTTGGCCCTTGGCTCGTCTCCCAAGGCCCAACATGGCAATGCTTAGTTGGTGGGCCTTTTTCTGTACTGCGCAAGTTCAGGAACACGACAATAATTTTCCGAGTTTTGTGGCAAGATGTGGCAAGATGTGGCAAGTGTCGTTCTATATGTTCTATGAAACTACCAAGTTGTCTCCCATCTTCACATTGACCTACAATCTCTCCAAAAGGGTCCTAATGATTACCTAATCTTGAACCATATCTATCTTCCTCTTCGTTCAGTTCTTTTGGCCATGTTTGGTTTGTCCAACCAGCTGCCATTTTTCAAATCACCCCAAAAAAGATGCTCATAATCCTGGAAATCTTGATGCCACCAGTGTCAACCCCAACATCTCCACCACAACCATCGCAACTGTCATTTGCTTGGGAAACTCAATTTCTAAGTCATTGTGCCTCCCGCTATGTATGTGATGTACTACATACTGTTGAAGAAATCCTGCACCAGTTGGTAGATGCTTTATCCCATTATACTCCCACTGTTTCCAATGTTGAATCATGTTACCCATATAGAGTTTCCATGAGTTTCCGGTGCAGGAATTTTGTCCATCCACAGCATCCCACTTGGTGGCTCATCCCACTTACTAGGTAGCTTATATCCATGTCTTTTTCATTTTTTTTCAGTGGAATAAGTTTTATCCTGGTTCAGGTTGGGCCTGAGGCTGTAAGTGCAGAATGGTGTGTCCAAGGTGCACTATGGTGCACTTCTTGCAAAATGGCAGAGCCCAAAGTTCACTGACGTAAGTTTCTATTTCAAAATGGCTAGGGTTATAACATGTACCCTCTGGTAAACTAACATAACTATGGAAAATCACAATTTTTAATGGGAAAACTCACTATAAATGGTCATTTTCAATAGCAAACTGTTAGTTTACCAGAGGGTAACTACAAGCTACTTCCGAATTCGTGGGATGAGCCGCCACCGATGTCGTCCGGCCTCATGCGGCCAGTGCGCCGGCACGAAGATCGTCTCGCCCGGCTCCAGGATCACATCCACCGCACGGCAGCCCACGGGAGCCGAGGCCCGGAACTCCGGCAGGGGCCGGAAGATGCCTCGGGATGTGGCGGGAATGGAGGAGAGGGTTGTTGTGTATATAGATTATAGATGGATTATGGATTTATATAATTTTATGTATATATGTGTATATTATTATTATTGATTATGGATGATATATGGACTGTATGTCTGGGTTCTATATATGGATTAGAGTCTATAATATGTATAAATATTATATATATATAGGATCTAATTGACCCAGATGTTGCCAGAATTAGCTTGGTTAGATCCTCTGGGCTATGTATATATATATATATATATGTATGTATATATTTTTATTAAAAAAATATACATCCAAGTTCTAAAGGCTAATTAACCCAACGCAGAGCGCTTGTGGGGATGGATTGATCCAGCTGTATCCAGCTGAGCCATTTCACTCCTCCCAAACTAAGAAATGATCAAAAATAAAGTAAACCATCCCCCATTATTAACATATATTAACATTATATAGCCATATATAGCCTATATAGCGGAATATTATGTTCTTATTATAGAAAACACAACAAACAGCTGTGCCAAATCTTCCGTTGAACGGTTCTGATCTTCACTCAGCAGTTCCGGAATATCGCTGGGCGCCCAAAGCGTGAAGCGCTTTCGCCCCGAGATCTGTGTGAGCCACGCGTGCGTCGTGGTGGGATCGATGTGCAGTGGAGTAACAGCACCGGCGCCGCCAATGAAGAGCCAGTGGAAATCCTTGGCGAAGTCAACGGTTGTGGAAATCGTCCGAAGATGTCCGAAGGAATTTGAGATTTTCAACATCTTGGATTGCAGTGATTTCAAGATACCCTAGAAAGGCCGCACTCGAGCTCATAAATGGGGATTGGAGCAGAAATGAAATCAAACCCGAATTTATGGGGATATCATCAACAAATCAACAAACAGTTTCTCCATGTTTCTCCCACCTCAACTTGAATGCAACACATAATCGAGAAAAAAAATGCAACAATTCCACGAGGTTCGGGATGATAGCGCGTTGGAAATCGCTTGAAGGAGTCCTGCAGGAGGGTGCACGAAGACAAGCAACACTTGGCAAGTTTTGTCCAAGATACACTCAAGAAATCAACACCAACCACCCAAATTGCTTGCTGCACTAGCGATGGTTGCCCGAAAACATTCTATTGTAGAGACAAGATGAGACAAGCTGAAAGCACATGAGTGACAGGTAGCGAATAGATCCCAAAAACTGAATAGATCTATATAATTGGATCAACTGTAACGAAACAACAATGGAAGTTGCATGAAGTTACCATCGTCCTTAAAAACCTCGTGAAAATCCCCCGCTTGCCAGATGTCGTCCGCCAACCAGGGGGCATCCCTTTCGTAGTACCAACCTCCATGGGGCACTGGCAGTAAAACGACAGCAGGAAGCTGGGTCAAGATAAGTCCCAAAATGGATGGTTTATAATGAAAAATCCCATTAAAATGGATGATGTGGGGGGTACCATGGGGTACCCCCATTTATGGAAACCCCCATATGTTTTTACAATGTTTAGTTTTTATTGCTATTCCTTCTTTACAAAAACACTTCAACGCCTGTGTTTCCATTGCGCCACGGAACCCCATCCCGCCCAGCAGCCAGCCTCGCAAGTACGGCAACTGATCACCAGGCTTCTTCCGGCGCAAGCACTGCAGGTAGCGCGCCAGCGGCTGAACTTCGCGCTGACCTGGCAGGTCAACTCTTTTGCATGCTCAGTAATAGCTATAGCAGCTACCAAGCTCCCCCAAAACACAAAACAAATAAATAGGTTACTGTAATATATTTGTTGATATTCTACAGTGAAAACAGATATACATTAATTTGTAATAATTGCTTTATTTATAGGTTGACATTCTACAAATAATATGATGATATATGACACAGTATAATTATGTCGATATATGTTGATATCAAATTGTCAATTCCCTCATTGACACATTGATGAAATGGAGTTGGTAGTCTACCCGTCTACCCGACCAAAGGTTCCCCTGAGAGGGATCAACCCCCAAGTCCTGCAACATGTGATTCAGTGATTCGCAACCTCACTGCATTTTGCTTGTCACCATGGCGAACCTTACCCCGGAAGTCCGGAAGAAAACAATGTTTTTCGCTGGTGAGTCTGGTGAGTCTGATTATTTGAAGATTTCTCCCCATGAAAACCATACAACCCCCAAGGGGGTTGACCCAATCACCTGGCCTTTGGGTAAGGTCACCTCCACTTTGATGTTCCCACAAGTCCTTTCGAAGAAGTCGAAGTCCCACCTCGGGGGTTGTCATCATGGCCATGGCTGGAAAGTCCGCGAACTAAATGGATGATTGGGCACAGATTTAATATGGACATCTTCTACAAATCTGGAAGATGTTCCAACAACCCACTGGCTGATCCGAATCACAACCGGCTGGGTAGCCTGGGTAGCCAAGGGAAACCCTCAACTTCCTGGGAGGAAGTTCCATGCCACGTTTGGCCCAAAAAACAGCTTGCGATCTGGATCCAAAACCTGCCCAAACCTGCCGGTGAACATGGCATGGGAAACGTCATACGATTTTCCGAAAAGCCAGTTTACCCGACCAAACATGGCTGGAGATTTTTGATTTTTTTGAATGGAAATTGGTCTTTGATGGCTTTGGAATCATTGGTACGACTATGTCACTATGTCCCTTTACAAACGGGAACCAACAGATCTGCATGGGTGCTACAAATAAAAATTGGCTAACCAGCTGGGATGCACAACCAAGTATATAGCTGCATATTATAATATAACCTGGGGGATTGTGCATTCCCAGATCATGCATTACCAAATTAAGCCTTGATTGCTGTTGGTAAAACCTTGAACTCATTTTGACAAGAAACAACATGTTGGCCGAACATTTGATAATTAGACGCCCCCTGGTATTGATGGCCAAACCCGGCCAAACCCACATGTGTTCATTCTTAAATCATTTTGTCCAGTTCAATTGTTGAATATGGTTGAAACCCCATGTATCATGATCATATCATACATACCGTACACCATTAGTAATGCTCAAATACCAGTTGATTGATTTGATCAAACCATCTGAAAAGAATGGTCAAATATAATCCCAGGTAGGCTGGAATATAAGACCTATTTCAAACCACCGAGCAGCCAATTGTTGACGGCTGAATCCGCATTTTTTTCACAGGATGCTATAGGTACAAATTGATGCCCCACAGTAACGAGTGAAGTTTTAAACCCATCCACCTAACTAGATTAGATATGTCTGCCAGAAACCATAGCTAACCCACTTACAAACCAACTTAGCCAACGATTTGGGGCACCACCTGGTCTCAGAATCGACTTAAGGGAATATCTAGAGCAAAGGTTTATTTGATGATAAAACCGTACTTTCTTGCAGGGTTTCTCCTAAACCAATCAATTGAAAGTGGAGTGATCCTCCAAACCAAGTTCATCCATGGAATTTCCATTGTACTCTCATGGCATTCCCATTGTAATCTCCATTCTTGACGGCTAGTCTCAGTATGTAATACCTAATGTTCACAGTCAAACCCAAATTTCATGCTAAATCACTGAAACCCCCACGACTTTCATAGCTTAAATCACAATTTTCCATCCCTTGTTGCCCTATTTTCCCATAATTTTCATAGTTTAAATCACTATGTCTCACTATGTTCCATCCTATTTTTTCCATACTTCTCAGGGTTTTTCCACCATGTTCCATCATTTTTCCATACTTTTCAGGGTTTTTCCACCATGTTCCATCATTTTTTCCATACTTTTCAGGGTTTTTCCACCATGTTCCATCATTTTTTTCATAAGTTCAGGGTGTTTCCACCATTTTTTCCATCATTTTTTCCATCATTTTTTCCAGGTGAACTCTCCCATCCCCCGGATTCCCCCGGTGCATCCACGGCGCTTCTGCAGCGCCGCCCAGTGTTCCGTGGCCCAGCGCCCCAGCACCGCCGGCCGCGGCGGCAACGCCTCCAGGTGCTGCGCCGCGAAGCGCGCCACGTCCGTGGCGCGGGCGAAGCGCGACACGCGGGGCGCGTGGCCGCAAGGCTGGAAGACCTCCTGGGAAGGCCGTTTTTTGGGGGTGAAAGATGATAGAAATGATCAATCAGCACTATACTTGTAACAAATTATAGAAATTGAGTGGTTTCTTGGTGAAAGATGATTAGATCTTAATCATCAACAGTCAACAGGTAAAATATGTTAAAACTAGATCTTAATCATCAATAGTTGAAATTACTGGTGTTATTGATCATCAATCATAGTTATGTTATAGTCATCAATGATTATAGATCATTTTTGGTGAAAATGATAGTGTGAATGATCATCAAACAGCACTATATTTTTGGGGTTTTTGGGTGGTGAAAGATGATTAGGTCTTAATCATCAACAGTCAACAGGTAAAATATGTTAAAACTAGATCTTAATCATCAATAGTAGAAATTACTGGTGTTATTGATCATCAATCATAGTTATGTTATAGCCATCAATGATTATAGATCATTTTTGGTGAAAATGATAGTGTGAATGATCATCAAACAGCACTATATTTTTGGGGGTTTTGGGGGGTGAAAGATGATTAGGTCTTAATCATCAACAGTCAACAGGTAAAATATGTTAAAACTAGATCTTAATCATTAATAAATCATTAATAGTTCAAATTACTGGTGTTATTGATCATCAATCATAGTTATGTTATAGTCATCAATGATTATAGGTCATTTTTGGTGAAAATGATAGTGTGAATGATCATCAAACAGCACTATATTTTTGGGGTTTTTGGGGGGTGAAAGATGATTAGGTCTTAATCATCAACAGTCAACAGGTAAAATATGTTAAAACTAGATCTTAATCATTAATAAATCATTAATAGTTGAAATTACTGGTGTTATTGATCATCAATCATAGTTATGTTATAGTCATCAATGATTATAGATCATTTTTGGTGAAAATGATAGTGTGAATGATCATCAATCAGCACTATATTTTAGGTTTTTGGGTGGTGAAAGATGATTAGATCTTAATCATCAACAGTCAACAGGTAAAATATGTTAAAACTAGATCTTGATCATTAATAGTTTAAATTACTGGTGTTATTGATCATCAATCATAGTTATGTTATAGTCATCAATGATTATAGATCATTTTTGGTGAAAATGGTAGTGTGAATGATCATCAATCAGCACTATATTTTTAGGGTTTTTGGGGGGTGAAAGATGATTAGATCTTAATCATCAACAGTCAACAGGTAAAATATGTTAAAACTAGATCTTGATCATCAATAGTTTAAATTACTGGTGTTATTGATCATCAATCATAGTTATGTTATAGTCATCAATGATTATAGATCATTTTTGGTGAAAATGATAGTGTGAATGATCATCAATCAGCACTATATTTTTAGGTTTTTGGGGGGTGAAAGATGATTAGATCTTAATCATCAACAGTCAACAGGTAAAATATGTTAAAACTAGATCTTAATCATTAATAAATCATTAATAGTTTAAATTACTGGTGTTATTGATCATCAATCATAGTTATGTTATAGTCATCAATGATTATAGATCATTTTTGGTGAAAATGATAGTGTGAATGATCATCAATCAGCACTATATTTTTAGGTTTTTGGGGGTTGAAAGATGATTAGATCGTAATCATCAACCGTCAACAGGTAAAATATGTTAAAACTAGATCTTAATCATTAATAAATCATTAATAGTTTAAATTACTGATGTTATTGATCATCAATCATAGTTATGTTATAGTCATCAATGATTATAGATCATTTTTGGTGAAAATGATAGTGTGAATGATCATCAATCAGCACTATATTTTTAGGTTTTTGGGTGGTGAAAGATGATTAGATCTTAATCATCAACAGTCAACAGGTAAAATATGTTAAAACTAGATCTTAATCATCCATAGTTGAAATTACTGGTGTTATTGATCATCAATCATAGTTATGTTATAGTCATCAATGATTATAGATCATTTTTGGTGAAAATGATAGTGTGAATGATCATCAAACAGCACTATATTTTTGGGGTTTTTGGGGGGTGAAAGATGATTAGGTCTTAATCATCAACAGTCAACAGGTAAAATATGTTAAAACTAGATCTTAATCATTAATAAATCATTAATAGTTCAAATTACTGGTGTTATTGATCATCAATCATAGTTATGTTATAGTCATCAATGATTATAGGTCATTTTTGGTGAAAATGATAGTGTGAATGATCATCAAACAGCACTATACTTGTAACAAATTATAGAAATTGAGTGGTTTCTTGGTGAAAAATGATAAAGATCTTAATCAGCAACAGGTAAAATATGTTAGAATTAGAGTATTCATAACCATCAATCATCATAGTTATGTTATAGTCTTCAACGATTATATATATATAGGTCGTTTTTTGGGTGAAAGATGACTAGATCTTAATCATCAACAGTCAACAGGTAAAATATGTTAAAACTAGATCTTAATCATTAATAGTTTAAATTACTGGTGTTATTGATCATCAATCATAGTTATGTTATAGTCATCAATGATTGTAGGTCATTTTTGGTGAAAATGATAGTGTGAATGATCATCAATCAGCACTATACTTGTAACAGATTATAGAAATTGAGTGGTTGTTTGGTGAAAAATGGTAAGGTCTTAATCAGCAACAGGTAAAATATGTTAGAATTAGAGTGTTAATAACCATCAATCATCATAGTTATGTTATAGTCATCAATGATTATAGGTCGTTTTTTTGGTGAAACATGATAGTGTGACTGTGAATGATCATCAGCACTATACTTTTAACAGATTATAGAAATTAAATGAAATTAAGTTTGTTCTTGATGAAACATGATTTGATTAGATCTTAATCATGAATAGTTGAAATTATTGATAATCAATAATCGTAGGTATGTTATAATCACCAATCATTATCGTTGTTTGGGTGAAAATAATGATTAGATTAGATCTTAATCATCAAGAGTTGAATTTATTGTCAATGTTAATTAATGATCATCAATCATAATCATAATAAAGCTATGTTATAGTCAATGATAGTGTGAATGATCATCCATCAGCACTATAATTTTAACTAGTGAAAATAGTTAATCACCAAATAAATATTAGATCTTCATCATCAAGAGTCGAAATTATTATTAGTGTTGATAATCATCAATCATCGTAGTTATGCTACAGTCATCAATCATTCTAGATATGATTGGTTTAAATTACAATATTCATTACAAATAGTTGACATAACACTTATTAAAGTAATAATCATTATAAATTATAGTTATAGTACTTATGATAATTACAGCAAAAATAACAGATAACAGCTATAAGAACAGAAACAATAATGACAATAGCAATTTGATATAGTTAATATTGCATTTAATCATCAATCATTAATAGATCTTACAAGCATCACTAATCAAATACTGTACCAGTTAATTGATATATCTAACGAATATGCGGCCGAATTGCTAGATCTTAATCATCAGCGATTTTCAATCTTTCATTCTTAATATATGTAACAACTGATTAGTCATTAGACCTGGAATCTCAACTTTCTAAAAACATTATTGTAGATCATTATTGATGACTAACTAAAGTGGACTAAATTGGATTATGGCAACCTCCGAAAAAAGCGAAAGCGCTCCACATATTTTTCAACTCTCCAAGTTTCCCACTGTTCGATCTATTCTGAGGCTGCTACAATTCTTAGACATTTATCATCATCAATTGTTTTAGACTAGAACTGGATTGATGAATGGTACTAGTAATCAAAATGTTTCGGTGTCCCTTTTTTGTTGTTTTTCTGGATGGTTGCAGCTGGATCTAGAAAAACCTAGTCAGGTAGTTAGATTAAGCAAGCTTCTTATGTTTTCTTCATGCTTTTGTGCTTGGTGACTTGGTGGAAACTGTTGCTTCGAGTTTTTGAAGCTACGGTTGTCGACCTGGGATGCTTTATGAATCATAAAACATGTATGGTCTATAGTCAGTCCCCAAAAAATTGTTAGTTGAAAGGCTGGGTGAGTGAATATAGAATACAGGTGAATGCAGATGAATATACCCTCTGGCTATTTAACATAGCCATGGAAAATTGCCCATTTATAGATGGCTTACCTATTAAAAATGGTGATTTTCCATGGCTATGTTAAATAACCAGATGGTAAACATAAAATCCCAAAATATATTTATATAGATTGACTTGAACAGCAGTTTCACCTTCAAACATATGTATTTATTCTCATTTTCGCAGCACTTTGCTCCTTACCGGTTACCACCTGTCTATCAAAAAATGATAAAAAATGTACATTTTTTCTGGGTGCACAGACAAGTTGTTTTGTCTCCTTGGGAATGCTCTCCCGCAAGAGCACCCTGCGGTCAGCATCGATTCCCACCACGTCTCCGTTGGCATAGGCGTACAGAACCATCCTGGGACCCACCAAGACTTAAAGTCCAAAGGATAGCTCCTATATATCCCTTCGAGATTACAGATTCTCTATGTGGTGAATGTGCTGGCTGTTAGGGAGCTATGAGCGTGTTCCATTCTTTTTCGCTACAGTATGGCAGTCCCAACGAAAAGATAGAAATGGAAAAAAAACTAAACGAATGGTAAATGACTTTTGTAGCTTCTTGGAGGTTGCTTTTTAGAAAAGGACAATCAAAGCCAACATCCCTTGATGCAAATGAAGGCTTCTGCCCGTTGAACAGTGGCAAGGCCGTCACTGGCTCCGCAGTGGGACATTTTGCAGGTGCGCTGTTGCCCAGGATGGGCGTCAGCTTGCCCAGGAGCTGATGAAGCTGGGAGGAAAGGAAGCAGCCCAAGGATCGGAAGCAGTCCAGGGACTGTACCAAACCCATGGCACCCGCACACGTGTTTCTCTAAGGATCGTGGGAAATCTCTGTGGAAGATTGCAAAAACATTGAAAAAATGTGAGGAATCAGCTATGAATAGTGTCTTTATGGATCAAATGACCATAGCAAACATTTGGAGGATCATATTGCTCTGGAATGCCTGTAAAGTTCATTGTGGGTTTGACCAAAGGAGATGTTGGTGATATTTGGTGATGATATGTAGCCATGTGTTGCCTTCATCACATAATGTTTAACATAAATTACATATCATATATCATACATACTCATATATCATATAACAATATCTCATAACTATATCATATAGATTCATATACTATTAGATATATCAGTGTTTGTGCTTTGATTTCTTTGATCTGGCTGAATGACAATTCATCATTCACACACCTGAAGACGCCTTCTTGAATCCGTCGTTGCCCTTACCGCTCAGCATTCAATCGCGATTCACCCAGAAAAGTGGCTGCACCCCAGTCCTGAGCACCCGGACCGTGAGGCATTGTGAGATCCGGCCGTCCAAAGCACGACTAAGGTGGCTGTTCTAACTGTTTCGTCTTTGAGCCCAACTGGAGCCGTGGAGTCGTGGAAGCACTCAAAAGAAATGATAGCGGGGGGCGTGAAGGAAGATAACGACAATAGTTTCAGCCAACCCAGAGGGCGTTCATCTTCTAGGCCAATCATAATGAGGTAACTCTAACAACTCTATCAACATTCAGCTCAGTCTGTTGTCGAACACTTTGCTCAATATGACCAATTGGTCTGAACAATTAGGAAGCAGAACAGCGCTTAAAATACCCGACGATGCTGCATCGAGATCATCCCATTCCCCAATGGAATTCATCACTGCTTTATGGGCCAAAGAAATTCACTATACCCTCTGGTAAATTAACATAGACCCTGAAAATAGCCTAGTTTTAATGGAAACTAATCTTCCAACCCTATCTGCCAGGGTCGATGTTAATTTACCAGAGGGTAATTACTAAACCAAGGTGTTCTAATGGTTTTCTTGGGAGGGATTCTAGGGGGAAGGGACTAGTGACTAGCTTCCCTCGGGCCCCTTTGTGATCTTTGTGCCAGTCAGCCGTTCAGCTCCTCATTCGAAACGGTGATACGTTGTGAGTTTTGGCATCCGGCACCGAACTCACTCATGGAGCCTGAACAACAAACGGTCTGAGGCGAACATGCCCTGTGGATAAAGGACCTCTGGGTTCAGCCCCGTGGACTGACCGTCGTTGGTATCATTCAACTTCTGAATTTCCTTCACCGAAAAGTGATTTGCCCACAAATATCTCCAATCTAGGGTTTATGGGGAATGAAATATCACTATTATAATTATGAATATACATACATATATATATATATACTGTAGTGTACTTGTGTTATTGATGGGTTTATAAACTAACAGGACACTAATCGTTGATGTGTTGGTGTCAATGCGCGTCAGAAAAAACGCCCCCAACACCACTTAATTTCTCGGTGGAGCTCACGATTGTGCAACATCAAATGCAACAAATCTATACTATGATATCTACATACTATCATATATCAAATACATCAATCTTGGTATGATATTATGACTTCCCCAGGGGCCATCAATGGCCACTTCATTTGTGGCCCCTGCCTCTCCCAAGACTTCGTCATAGGGCGAACGGCTACGTCCAAGGAAAGCGAACCTGGCAGAGCTTGGGGTTGCTGCAACTTCCCTGGATCCAATATAAACAGCCAGACTACCGAGGCAGTTAATTAAGTTACACAGCACACAATATATATAATTATATATACAGTTATATACAGTAACAATGAGTAATATAGTACAGCCTTTGGTTAACATCAAAATTTCGATCAATCCACTCGACGAGTTTTAGTGGCCCCCTGGCCCCCTGGCCTAGCTGAAGCCAAGGTGACAGCAAAGATGCAGAAGAGCAAATTGGAGCCTGAGAAGACCTGGAGAGCTTGTCCGGAGCACAAGGACCCTACCAACCCCCATAAGGGGCATCCCCTCCAAATCATATCCAATAAGAAGAGCTGATTATATATATATAGGGATTATAAGGGCATATAAGGGCTATTCAAAACTACCAACAATTGATAAAAAGTATATGTATTAACCATCTATACCATTCTATCACCATCTACAATTATTGAATATTATTGAAGGGGGGGTCAACCGTCCCAAGGTCCATTCGGACAGGGAAGCTGGGCTGAAATTTTGGGGGAGACCATCAACCAAGTGTTGACCCGCCCATGCCTTCCCTTCACCTGGAATTTGACAATGGTGTTTTAAACCAACGATGCTGAGAGAGAATAGCCATGGATAACCGGCAATCAATTTAGCCGCCATTTGGATGACATGGCCATGGTTTCATTACTAAGGTAGCCACAATAAAGTTCGAAAAGCCTTTGATGTGCAAAGCCTTCACCTGGCACGGACGAAGGATTGGTTTTCCAGCCGGTTAAGCCCTTGGGGCCAGAAATGGGAAGCTCATAATTTACTGTATTCGAGGTTTGATAGCGTCAAAATGTGCTCATGTTTTGTTGCTTTGGCGTTGGTTTTAATGTTTTATTTCTGACTCCCGGAGCTAAAAAAATGTCAGGATCCAACACCGTCTGGATGGGTGAAACTCCCCCAAAAAAAAGTCAGGATCCCAGAAGATCCAGAAAACCACCCACATCTATCCAAAATCCTCCCACTTCCGCCCATTGCCAACTGATCTCATCCGAAAAATCACCAACGGGTGTCCAAGTTTCATGGCCTATCCTTAGACACACTGCACCAAAAAAGCCACAGTATTTCATGTCGAAGGTCCATGTTTACCATCTACGGCCATGTCCAATGAACCCACTAGTCACCTACCAAGCCAAGCTTGACCACGCTGACCCACCAAACAAAAATAACAAGAATGTTACACTTCCACATCTCAGAACAAATATCACAACTCAAAAATTCCAAAGAATTTACATATTTTCACCATATAAATCACCCGATGTTCATCGATGTTCCATATATTTCAATAGATTCCATCCATTTTTCCCAGCCATTTCTCCACAGGCGTTGCGCCTCCGGTGGTAGCGCATCCTGATGTGCCGCCAGGCCTCCCGATCCAAAGAAGCCCCGAGAGCTCAGGGAGCTGTAGCTGCTGCCGCCCTCGGTCCATTTCAGGAAGATGGGGTGAGGCCTCAGCTGTCCCAAGGATGGTCACTGTAGATGGTCACTGTAGATGGTCACTATAGATGGTCACTAAACATGCATTATATTCATGTAGATTCTATGGCTTTTTCGTACCTACCAGTTATGGATAGTAAATTATTGGTTATATGAAGCAACTTAGATACATATGCTCCATGGGCCTGCGATTTTTACCAAGCTTGGGACTTGGGAAGTCATTTTTTGGACGAATGGTGGTAAATGTTGGTAAGAAATTCCATGGAACCTATTAGGGATACTGAGGAGATCTGGATCCCCGGTTTCTTTCAAGGTGGTGACTTTCCCGTATTATATCCTATAATCTAAAACATCCAGTACCCTCTGGTAAATAAACATAGACCCTGAAAATCACCCATTTTTAATGGAAACTAGTCTTCCAACCCCTATCTGCCAGGGTCTATGTTAATTTACCAGAGGGTAACATCCTATAGGTGATACCGGATTCTGATTTCTAACATCTCAACGAAGTTCGGAGTGGCTGGTGATTTGGGTGGTTTGGATTCCTGGGTCACCCGGAAAGCCGCCATTAGCATCGCCAGGATCCAGTGGTCACCAACTGCAGGCAGGGCATTGCAAGCACCCCTTTTTCCCTCAACACATGCGGGGTCACTAGAAGCATCCCGAAAAGATGCTGCCTATGTCAGACATCTCAGTGTCTGTCAGGACCATCTGGGCAGCTTCAAGGTCTTGTTTCATGTGTTCAAGACTCCTAGGGATCAGGGGAAGCGGACCAAGACCACCAAAACAAGGGGAGAATTGAAGGAAACACATGGAAATGCATTGGCACATTGGTTAATCATTGACTTCTGTTTTTGATTCCGGATTGCAGCATCATCTCGCTCCTGTGGTGGCAAAATACCAGGTCAGAGGAGCGTTGCCAAAAACATGTGAGCTCATTGCGAACACATGTGCCATGTCCAATCTTGAGGGTTCATAGATCGCAGGAAATATTGACAAACAAAATTCTGACTAGCATGCCCCCCTAAGGCGCTACACTCACAATATCATCAGCATTGTGATCATCAATACAACCGAAATGTAAAACCCACAATACCAATATTATTTATCAATACCGATCGGTAATGATTGAAATACACAAATCAAATAATTAATCACGATGACAATAAAACATGATAAACGCAGTCATCACCATCATCATCATCATCATCATCATCATCATCATCATCATCCTCATCCTCATCCTCATCCTTGTCACCACCACCTGCCCCCACTTGTCAATCCCACCCCCATCATCCCCACACCTGGTCCCCGTCAGCGGCTGATGCCCCGAACGAATGAGCCACGCGAACAGCACCTGCGCGGGGCTGGCCTTGAGCCGCTCCGCCGCCTTGCGGATGGGGGGCAGCACCTTGGCAATCAAAGATTGGGATTTACCCTCTGCAGGATGGGGCCCCCAAGATAGCGTTCAGTTGCCTTCGGTTTTCTTATAAAGTGGTTTAACTATGGTGGTAGATATAACTATATATACATATAGAACAGTTAATGGGGGTTATAAACCAACTTATAACTGAAGGGCAACATCCTCCGGTAATGTAACAGTTTGCTATGTAAGAACACATGTCTTTTAGGAGGTAAAACATGTACAGAGGGGCCATTCGGCTGGGGTAGGTCACACTGTGCCCAGTAGCCAAGACGTGAGGGTTCGCCGTCAAAGTCCAGAAAGTCTGGTATTTGATGCCCTTTTCCTCGGTGACGCTGCAACTCCGCAAGATATTTAAACCAGACACACATAGGGTGCCGAAACTACTGTAGTTGTAATATGTTGTAATTATATCGGACCATCAAATGCTCTAACTCCTCAAGAATGACCCACCTACTTCTCCACCAGAAGTTTGAAGGAAAAACGTGCAATCACCGAGTTTCCAAGCAGAAGGCGCGCAATTCGCGGTCATAGCCGGAGTCTGCATAGAAACGATTCTGGAGCACTTTGGGTTTGATCCTGCGGCACGGGAAACAACCAAAAAGTATATGGTCGAAGAACTCTCGTGCCTGACATTCTTCCTTAAACATCCAAAATAACAAGAACATACAAGAACCACTATATCACTTAGTTTTTATCACTGAGTGTATCAACATACTGTTAACATACTCTTAACTTTCAGTTCCATCAGGCCTCCATCCCTCCCAGTTGGGGTCGTCCGCCGGTCGTCCTAACGGCCTCGTAGATCATCTGAAAGGCCCGGGGATCGTAGCAGTTGCTGATGCCCAGCTGACGCACCTGTCCAGCCTGCAAGGCCTGAGACGATGGTGACTTGGGGAGTGTTTATTGTTGAGTTTACCACGTGAGATATTATATATATGTATGTATGTATGTATGTATGTATGTATGTATGTGTTTATATATATATATATTTGTTGATTTATTAATTTATGTTTATAATGTTATTTATAATGTTATTTATATAATATGTTATACATAAATATGTTATATAATAAGTTACATATATATATATATATATCGTATTTTATGTATAGGTGTGTGCAATTATCTCCATATAATAACTATTATTATTATGGAACCAATTGTTCAAAGAAACTTGGAGTCTTCTATTCAAATTCAAAAATAATCCAAAAAATATCAAAAAATAGTTAGTGTTGTAGAGCGGAAGCAAAAGTCGGCAAACGTCAGAATGAGAATGATCAAGATGTTCAAATTGTAGCTTCAAAATCAGTCAAAATCGTCAAACAGATAGCTTCGGATAGAGTTTCGGAAGTTTTCAAAAGAATCCAGAAAATTAATCATTTTCTACAGTTATAAGGCATGTTCTGATTACAGAATGTTGATGTTCTAAGTATGGAGGGGGTGTGGATAAGGAGCCTTGTCTTCCTACAGCCCTGCAAAAATAGCTAACTGAGCGCTCCACGCGCTCGAACACACCCCACACCTGCATCAACGGAGCAAGTCAAGCACTCTGTCAGCAAACTGGGCTGATCAAGAAACTCATTCAATGGATCAATTGTGATTGAAGCTTGCAAGATCGAAGTCCCATTTCAGCATGTGACTCTCTCTCTCTCTCTCCGTGATCTCATTAGCACCTCTGCCAAGAAAAGCTACAAATTCCCACCTCCAAGTTCTCTTCCAAGGTGGGCATGGGCGAATGCATCACCAAGGAGTCAAGATAGGAGGTGCCCAGATTTTGCAAAGATCTTTGGATGGACTGTTCCACTTGAGTGGCCAATGGCGCCTGGAAACAGACCCCATGAGATGAACTCCAAGATTTTTGGCTGGCCATGGAAGGTATGGGTCAAACTCTGGGACCTCCAAATAATGAGAAAAAAATCGTCGTTGGGTCACGCATGGTCAGCCATGGGTCAGCCATGGTCCTGTGGTCGAACCCTGTCGCGCCTTGGGGTCGTAGGGTATCCTGCGGGGGTCTTGGCCCCGGAGAGCTGTGAACTTCGTCTGAAGCCACAATTTCTCTCTGGGCAGGTTGTCTTCCTTAGCACCAGGCAGTCCTGACAGCCTCACACCCCCGGGTCACTACCATGTGAAGGATGGTCATGTGAATTTTGGCTTTGCACCTACATCATAGATTTAAAGTCTAAGACTTCATGTCTCCAGCTTGAGTTCTTTGAGTCCATGCAGGATGGTTTCATATGGTTTCGCATTTGAGCCCATGAATATCATGAATGACCAAGAGGAATTTGCGCAACAACTCCATTTCAAGACCCCGCCAGCCAAGTCGCTACTGACAAGCGCTGCAGCGCCTTCCCCACCAGATCCTCTTGGTAGTGCTTCGGCTGACAGGCCGTATCGATGCCACGGAAACCGGCCCTGCAAAGGGGGAAAAGGAGGGGGACCTTGCCGTTCGCAAAAATCCAAAAACTCATGGCTAACATGATGTTATCTTGTATAGGTGAGCTAACTATAGATCCATTAGATGTATTCTATGTCTATATTCCTCAAAATCTTATAGAATCTATGTCTTATCTTGATGTTATATTCCTCAAAAGTCTCATCTTCGTGGGATATTGCATTCCTCATTCGTCCATACGTGGTTGGTCATACATCCCAAGAATATAAGACGGAAGAATGAGATTTCAAATCTTTAAGAACTTTAAATAATTACCCCAGACAAAAAGAATGGAGAGCCATTCATATACATCCCAATCCAATATGTCTTTCCAATTGGTACCTCAATTAACTTTCGAATGACCCCTCTGTAAGCTCCCAGCCCAATCCCAACTCAATTGATGTCGACCCCGGATTCTTATGGATTCTTGGCATACCTGGACTATTAATTGGTGGGGTTTACCCTCAAAAATAGTTTTCTACATAACTTACTATCACAAGTGGTGCCACCCACAATTACAACTGGATGTTTATGAATCATGGGCTTCATCTATGAATCTATAAAATCTGATTGGGAAACTCCTAGTAGCAGCTAGTTGTCCTGCGAATCTGGATACCCCCTGGTAAACTAACATAGCTATAGAAAATCACCATCTTTAATAGGTAAATCAACTATTTCTGCGGCCATTTTCAATAGCTATTTTGACATAACCAGAGGGTACCATCCTCCCATCGTGGCGCCTAATGGCCTGGACCACCAGCTCCGTGGTCTGTTGCTCCTTCCAGGCTGTTCCGTAGAGGAAGGGCAGCTGCGACAGGTCGGCACCTGGAGCGACAGTGCACCCGAGGCAGCTAACCCTTGGAGAAACGGGAAAAGAAAACGTGTTTGATATAATTGTTGGAAGATATGAGGATATATATATATATAATGTGTGTTTGTTTGCTATTTATTTATGTGTTTATGCATGTATGTATATATATATATGTATACACAGTCATGTATGTATGTTGACCTATACGGTATTTTATACATACATACATACATACATACATTACATTACATTACATTGCATTACATTACATTGTATTACATTACATTACATTACATTACATTACATACATACATACATTACATTACATTACATACATACATTACATTACATTACATTACATTACATTACATTACATTACATTAAATTACATTACATTACATTACATCACATTACATTACATTAATACATACATTCATTACATTACATTACATTACATTTCATTACATTACATACATACATACATATATATATATATGATATGATATATATGTATTTATATATATATATATATATTATTATATATCATTTATTTATCATATCATATCTCCAACCAAAACAGCTCTAAAGCACAAGCTCAGTCCATTTTTCTTGTTGCAAATGTCAGGCCTTCCACCAACTGACCGTGACCATCTGCGGTTACGCCATGAGATCTGCAGGCCACACCCATTGCACTGGCACCTCAGATGGCTGAAGCCTATTAGGTCATTACCCTCTGGTAAACTAACATAACTATGGAGGTAAGTCAACTATAAATGGGCCAATTTCAATAGCTATGTTAAATTACCAGATGGTACCCTCCGGTAATATCGGTAATCAAACCTGGCTAGCTGGAAAGATTGAAACTCAATGGAGGTTTTTTGTCGCTGGGCCCCATCTGAGAGCTAATGGGATGGCGCAATCTGGGGCAACCGATTCATAATATCCAATGATCATCCCACAATTTCCCATAAAAATGGGGGCTTTGGTTTTCACGCATCACGGTAGTCAAACCATCGTATCAAATATATAACCTAAGGAAACCATCACATCAAATAACATCAATAAACGGCAGTACTACTGAGTTAATCACCCATGTTGGTCAGCTTTACACTATTTGTCCTCTGGTAAACTAACATAACTATGGAACATCACCATGTTCAATAGGTAAATCAACTATTTCTATGGCCATTTTCAATAGCTATGTTAGTTTACCAGAGGGTGGCTGATTCCTATTACCAAAAGTGATCAAAATCTGCTTCTCTTCCGGCCTGCAGCAGCTGCCAACCACGGCCCAGTGCCGACGTGACTCGGCGGCCGAACATGGCCGCCAAAGGAGCCCATGGCAGCCTGCGAGGGAGGGATCTAGAACCCATCTAGAACTCACTTGGATCAAATTTCTTCACTTTTGCCAGTCATGGGTTGTAAAAATATGTAAAAATCATCCCCAAATAGTAACTGCATTGTTGGATTTACCATCGGATTTACCACATTGGGACGGTTTTTGCGCCATTGCACAGATTGGTTCATGCTGGACCCAACACCTTTTCAGGAAAAAATCGATACAAGAAAGGGCCGGCCATCTGTGAGTGTTGTGCCAAAATCTACAGTATATCTCTTTGCGAGCATCACCAAGAATATGTGTACAGATATAGATTACGTATGATATATGTATGATGATGTACAGTATATTGTATATTTGGAGATCATGCCATGATGCCTGCCCAAAGATGTTCGACGCCCGCGGCATTGCAGACCGCAGCGGAGCAGCCACCAGGGCGCAGTTTCGCATGGTCCCCGCGTCCAGTTGGGAACAGGACGTGTAGAATGTGTAGATATCCGTAACATCCCACATGAATATCCATAAATTGGGGTAATTGGGGTAATCAACCACAGTATAGTTCATCGGAATCTAAATACAGACCTTCCATCACATCAGATCGGCCAGGTGGTTCCCATCGTGGAGGTGATTGGGTATGGTACTGGTATGGTATGACATCTCAGAACAGTTGTGACCCAACTTCCATAGCTTTGGAACTTGGGAAGCGTTGTTCCACATGCCATGCAGTCCGGCACGGGGCTTTTTTAAGATCAAAAGCTCCAGGTGGGCAGCGAGCTAACGCTGATCATGAGCTGAGCTGATCCCTGCGGCTTCACAACAGATTCCAATTGAGGTCACCATAACCATACATAACCATACATACCACATGATACCCCATGATACCCCATGATACCCCATGAATCCCCATGATACCACAATGCATTGAATATCATTTAATGACTACAAAATTACCACTTTCAAGATTCAGGGCGCATCCCCATGGTTCCCCGGACGCCATGATGTCGTACAGCGATTCAGCCTGAAGCTTTGGCGTTTGAAACGAGTCTGCCGCACCGGGAAATTCAAAAATACCTGTTGGTAATCAAACGTGGCAATCTAAAATATCTAAAATCCTATAAATGTAGTTTTAATGGGAATGTAATCTATGAATGAGTGGTTTTCTATTGCCACGTTTCATTACCGGAGAGTATTCCAATTATACTGCTGGCCCCTGTTGAAAAGTGAAAATGCCAATGACAAACGTTGAAGAAAGCTGTGAAGGGCTTTGAGCCGCTTATTTGAACACCGTCTTCCAAGGAGGTGGCAATGCAGAAAAGAAAGTGCAACCTGCTTGCAGATCATACCCTCTGGTAAACTAACATAGCTATGGAAAATCATCATTTCTAATGGGTAAATCCACTATAAATGGCAATTTTCAATAGCTTTGTCTACCAGATCATAAACCCCAGTTTGCCCTGCAGCCCAGAGTGGTTCATATTGCTTGTATTCTGATCGCCCCAGTGCTGAGACATCTTGCCTGCTTGACTGCCAAGCGGTAAAACCTTCACAGTTGATGGCGCTGAAGGGTGGGTCAAGCAAGTGGGTACACCTGAATTTGGTCCGTTCATCAGGACTTAGCCGATAGTTTCAACCCATCTCTAGAAGATGAGCCAACAGCGGCTTTAATGATAATTCAATGCAGTCCAAATAAGGAAAAATCACGAATTGGAAAGCATTTTGGAAACAATTTTCAACGATAAGATACCAACAAACAGGTTTCTGGGAAAGGAGAGCTGGGCCAAACAGGGCTCAAAATCAATTCATGGAAGTTGGCGACAGGGAAAACATGAGGCAAATAGGACCTGGGACGCCCTCCAACACCCAAATGATTCACTGTGTTGCTGCGTCTGTTTTCTGAAATTCAAGTCATAGACATAACTGGACCCGTTGGGTACATGTTTTCAAGACCTGGTCGGCCCCATCAAGCTATACACCCATCTTATCAGTTATAAAATCCCCGGTGATGGCGGAGCAGGCCATCAACACCCGGTTCACCATGGCTCACCTATCCTCCACCAGCCGCTTGGCCCACTTATGCCCACTTACATCCCATGTTACATCCTTTAAAGTGTCGTGGTAACATTCAGAATCCCCCATTAACCATTAACCATCATTAACCACTATTATTGGATATTATTGGTATATAATCCCATTAACCATCATTAACCATCATTAACCAGTGAATCCCCGTATTGTTGTTTATAGAGGCGCCATAGGTTGATCCTGGATCAATCCCCATGGGTTTTTCTGGTTACATTTCCCGGAAATATGTTGCTTCGGTTGCCATCTTAAGGCCCAGCGGCTCCAGGTCTGCTTCATTGATCTCTCTAAGGCCTGTATGCGCCTGGCCAAGGCGCCAGCTGGCCGGAGGATGGATTATTCTCCATCCTGATGGGGAAAAATGGATTGGAAAAATGATCAAATAACATGAAATAACTTACATTACATAACTGTTATGAGTTGAACTTGTTGAGTCATTTGAGTCATGCCACTCATGAACAAAAATAGGAATTTTCGAACACACAAATGACGGTTTTTTGCATTTTTTTCAGCATGGTTCGTACCCTCTGGTAATTTAACATAGCTATTGAGAAAACGGCCATTTATAGATATTCATAGTGGATTTACCCATCAAACATGGTGGATCTTTCCATAGTTTTTTGTAAACGTTTACCAGAGGGTACATATTATAACCACCATTTTCAATGGGAAAACTCACTATAAATGGCCATTTTCAATAGCTATTTTGACATAACCAGAGGGTACCCCCCCCCCCTTTTTCTTCGTTGCCATCCACTCGGGACCCACTCTTCCGGCTGCGTCGGACACTCAGCTGTTCGCGTGCCGCTTGGGCGACGTGGCTCAGGGAGGCGGGCGAATGGACGCACTGGCGCAAGATGAAGCTTGCCACGTGCGGATTCCTTAAGGGAAAGACATAGGAAAACATGGAGGATTGACTGATTTACCATAGGAAAATATAGGAAAATATAGGAAAATGGGGATGTAGATGATGTTCTGCATGGAGGATTTTGGCCAATTTCTGAAACGCAGTACGAGACTTCAAGACATGCCATTGCCATTTAATCTCAAAGGATTCAAAAAGTAGAAAACAACTTCAGGATATTCCTCGTAGGCACTTTCAAGAATGAGGCCTGAAGTTAGCCATGGTTTTTTGGTGGTTGTCAATGAAACATTGATAATGCTGGGATATATATTGCAGGTGCTGGCCACTTCCTTACTTCATGTAATTGCCTCGATCGAGCAAAATCTGCATTGTATATCATTCAATTGATTTCAGACCATCAAGCCATGCCATTGCACAAATCGATCAATCTGTCCATTGGTAATGGTAATCTCAGGCTGAAATAATGGAACATGGAAGCTACAGTATTTGAACCGGTGGTCTGGGCTACTGGCTTGGCACTCCGGGGACATCCATTCCGGTGATGATTCTGGAGGGACATCCAATAGTGATTTTTTTCCGGTGATACCTCATTCAGCCATTCAGTGATCCCACTGAATTCAGGGATCATCCCTGTAAGACCCTTTTTGAACAAACAAACTCCCACGGAATCTATGGATTAATCACTCACACGACACAGTGTAAAAAAAAAAAAACTTTCAGACCACAATAATTATCACACTTCATCACACTTCCACCCAACTCAATCAAGGTGTCCTTGGATGTTTTTTGGTGCGGTTCCTCTTCCTGCATATGACGGTCATTTCTGGTGGCATCCGCCAAGCATCTGGTAGTAGGTAATGTGACTTGGCACAGCCTGGAGATTCTTGATGAAAATCCGTTGGTAAAATTGGGGCTTTATCATTGCTTATCATTGGCTTTGGCACAAAGTTGAAACCCTGGAACTGGAAACTAGAGACAAAATTGACATGCACTAGACAAAGCATGATCAAAACCATCCTGGGAGACATATTCTTGTATAAATAGGTGCGGTGTATATATATATATATATTATATATAAGCTATACATTATAGGGAAGTTTGATGAAGTTTGAGGGTTTGGAGTTCCGAGACACCCAATTTTGCTGGTCTCTCTGTTCCTGGCGTGGCTTTTCCTGTGCTCAGCCGTCTAGCCCATGGATATTGAAGGCGAACCCCATGGAATGCCTTCCTCTAGGACTGGAAGACCAATGGTTGGGAGGTGCCAATTCTGACTGTGCCATCTTTATAATGTGAACCTAATAACCTCCTATCGTGTTGAAAGCATTTGCAAAGTTTACAACCTGTTCAACCCAACAAAGCAATAACGTTCAGTCCCTCTAGCCATCCGTTACTGTTGAGTTTGCCATGTGTTTTCACTGGTTTATCATCATGTTTCCCAGTGTTTGATAAAGCCATTCTGGGGCTCCCACTGGATCTCTCAGAACCACAAACTCCAATGGTTTGTAAGTTGCATTTCCGTTAAACATGCCCTCTGGTAATCAAACGTGGCAATAGAAAATCTCCCATATATATATATATATATGTATGTATATAATTATATAATTATATATAATACTTGCTTTTCTCATTTCAACTTAAAGCCTCCATTCATGTAGGATTTTCCGTTGCCACCTTTGCTTTGCCAAAACTGGCCATTTTTCGAGGTCCCAAATCTCCCACCTGTAGCAGTTGCGCCGCCGAGCTCATCGCGACGCTCGGCAGCACCCAATCCATGCGCCGCCGCGCCGCGCCGTGCGGCTCCTCCACCGGCGCCGGTGGCTCCGCCGTGAGCTCCGGCAGCAGCAGGGGCTCCACGCGGTAGGCGACGGGGTCCAAGGGATGGAAGATGTTGAAGAAGGGGACCTGGCAAGGGAAAATTGTATGGGTATAATATGGTGTAATGATGTATGCCTTTATAATGCTTTTTATTTATCCCCATGATAGAATTTCTATGTGTTTGTTTGTTTATGTTTGTTTTTTTAAGGGCGGGCAGAACCTCTCAAGATGAAATTTTGGGAGAACATGGTTTTTTGAGGATATAACGGGCCACGTGTTCAGAAGAAGGACATCTGCCAAGAGTTATTGAGAAAAACCATATCCTTCAACATCTTCGCAGGTGGAAGAAATGCTTTTGGGCACAGTGGGATATATTATATTGGGATGCGACAATCCTTCTGGAGCAGATCTGCTGTCACTGCAGCAGCAGCACCCCAGTCATTTCAAGTATGATTGTGGTCCTAGATTGTCAGTAATGCACATGATGTTATGGCTCAAAAGAGCATTCCACTTGAAAATAGAAAGTGTCATGACACATGATTTCTCCATGTCCCTTATCTTTCTCATATATGTGTTGGGGACCCGTGAAACTGTGATATTCCTGCCTAACAACGACTTCTTTGGGTGGTTTTGGGGGGTCCCATAGGGGTCCCACTATTTTTTAAGGATTTTAAGGCAACCCACACATTCCAACCATCTTAACCATCTCCCCACCCCACCTTCCCCAGCTTTTCTCGCATGTTTTCGGCTCCCGCCACACCGTGCGCCGTGTGCAGGAAAACGCCCAGGGGCGAACCCAAGGTGAAGAGGGCGCTCGGAGTGAAGGACAGCCGTTTCTCGGTGACGATGTCCCACAGAATCACGCCTCACGAGGATCCAACTGCTCACAACCAGAGGGATGGTGGTGATGGGTGGTGATTTCGCCAAAATCATGGTGGTTCATGGGAATCAAACACCGGGATGAATGAACAGATTTTATCTTTACAGTAGCAGGTAGCATGAGGGAAAAGAAGGGGGTCCAAGTTATTGTTATATATATATTATATATATATGTGTGTGTGTGTGTTTATATTATATACCTTGTTATTATGTATTATTAAATGTCAATGTTATTATATACCTGGTTCCTTGGGCCGTTTGGACACCCAAAAGCTCCCACTTCATCCAGGGGATGTCACGCCTGGATGATTGGGGTTTTGGTAGCCCCCTATCAATCAACCAGTGACCAAAAATGATGGGTTACCAGTTACCATCACATTCCAACAATAGAATATGTTACATATGTTTGTACCCTCTGGTAATTTAACATAACTATGGAAAGATCCACCATTTTTCATGGGAAAATTCATTATAAATGCCTGAAAATGCATGAAACCTGAGGTGTCATTAAGAAAAACATCAAAGGTCATCCCCCCAATGGCCAATGGGCACCTCCAAGAGAGTGGCCGACCAAAAAGATCTGACCTCTGAAGTCGGGATTGCATTCCTGCGCTGTGTTTTGCTGGAACCCCTGATAGCTACCCTCTGGTAATTTGTTACATAGCTATTGAAAATGGCCATAGAAATAGTTGATTTTCCCATGAAAGATGGTGATTTTCCATAGCAAACTGTTAGTTTACCAGAGGGTAAGTTGCTTATAACCAGACCATGTTAGTAGCAAAGTTTCACCATCACCGTTTGGGAGCAACGGCCCTCATTTTTCAACTGGCGTTGACCGTCCATCGCTCAATCCCTGCGGGCTGAACCACCCTGGTCGGTCCTTGAATCTGCCTACACTTCTCTCAATGTTCGCAGCTGTGGCCGCCATAACCTTTTGCCGCTCCTGGCCAGAATGGAAGCAAGTGAGATCACAAATTTTAAAACATACGATACACATATTATGTCTAACAAACAGTCCTATTACAACATGATGCAAGTATTCATGAACTGCATCCATTCTATCGGTTCGGGTAAAAAGCTTACAGTATATGGCACACAAATGCACATCAAGCCTCTTCACCATGCAAGTAGTCACAAAATAAGTTCATTCACACGTGCCTCTTTGCATCGATGCAAAATCATGATTAATCTCACAAAAAGGCACACGAAACAGCTGCCGACCCGGACCCGACCCAACCCTTCCCCAACTGACAGTCAGCACCAAACAAATATGTTGGGAGAACAAAATCACATAAGGAAAAAACGACCATCCGTGACATCAATCCTTCGCTCCGCCCACTTACTACCATGAGACTCCAGCTAGCAGTATAACCAATGAGGTCTATTGTTTGGGAACCACCTGCTGCCAACTGGGCACTTAACCCAATGTTCAATCCCAAACCGTTTGGATTTAAATCTGCATATAGTTTATTCCAGGAGTTAAGCCTGAAATGATATCTCATATGTATCTATATATTCCATTAAATTCTATCCTTTATATATAGGTCTTCAATAGCCTTCACATAGCCTTCACTGGCCTTCGTCCAACTTTGATGCCACTTCCACCCTGCCTGGAAGAAGGCTAGGCCATCCACCAGAGACAGATTTGCAAAGTCGCGCACCGCGGAGAGGGATGGCAGGGTGATGCCTAGCCGCGAAGGCGAACTCAGCGACGTGATGCTGTGAGGAAAATTTCGTGGTAAATGGATGGTGTCCAACGATATAATGTGGTGCCAAGAATTCAGACACCATCCCCGAAATCACCATTTCTAAGGGTGGTATAAACCCCACATGATGGGTTTATTATTGGCTTGCCAATGGTTTTCAACACGATTCTGTGGGAGAATATTAAAATGATCAATCAGTGGGATAACACCAACTTTAAAAGCATCCGAGGATTTCAATGGGATATAAACCACTTGGGGATGCTTGGTGGGATGCTTGGTGGGAATTCTCTTAAAAATTAAAGCGTGAGATAGTTACCCTCTGGTAAATTAGCATAGCTATTGAAAATGGCCATAGAAATAGGTGATTTTCCCATTAAAAATGGTGATTTTCCATAGTTATGCACCCCCCATCTAAAGTAAAACAATGCAAGGTTTCCCCAGCGCCGGGACAATTCATTTGGCGTTTTGGCGCTTGTGAAAAGTTCAGAGGCACCGAGTGGCAAAATCTACTGGATATCCGCTCTTCAGCTAGGTTTTGGCCTGAGGTAAGGCAACAAAGCATCAAATCAAATACCTGCCGATAATCTACCATAGCCATGGAAAACCACCATGTTTAACCGGTAAATCATCTACTGACAGGTGATTTTCCTAAGAAAAATGTCAAATTTCCACAGAGTTGCATCTCCAAAGCGGAAATGGGTTGGAGAGGTGGGACATGCTCCGCTGCAGCAACCGCTTCCGAGCACCCTCTCCAGTCCAAGGGGCTGTCAAGCTGTCGGTCCATCTCCTAGAGCCGTTGTTCCGGAGCTTCAAAGTGTCCATTAATCATTCGATGAATGGTACCCTCTGGTAATTTAACGTAGCTATTGAAAATGACCATTAATAGTGGATTTTGCCATTAAAAATTGTGATTTTCTATAGCTATGTTAGTTTACCTGAGGGTAAGTAATAAGTGTCAAATAGTGTCAACAATTTGCCTAAGGTGTTCTTTTATTCTTGTTTTTTGAAATGATATTGATTCACCGCTCCTGGTATTCATGTAAGTTAGTGCATGTTAGTGCAAACTGTTCTTTTCAACCTGGACACCGGACATGGGGATGGCGGTGATGATGGATGCCAGTTCGATTAAAAAAACTTAATGCTCTTCAACAGGGTGCATCAGCGCAAGGATGGGAACATGTATTGTAAAAATGATTGAGATTTATTGAAACCTCTAGCCTAGCCAGCCAGTCTTTGAGCTCAATCCAGCCAAATCATCCCTCACTTCTACTCACAACTGATCACGATAACCACATCGACTAGTTGTGCCACGTCATTTGTGTCTTTTTTGCAGCCCATTTTCAGACACACCCAACTTGTTCAGTCCATACAGAGTGGGGCCCCATAGTCAGCTAAGTTGATTTATAACTCCAACAACTAGGGTTGATGAAGGCGATATCACTATGACTAATAGTTAAAGGGGATTATATATACATCAACAAACATGACTTGGGGGCAGCACCCCGTAGTCCCACGTCCCAAACCCCTGTCCCCGCCTCAGAATGAACGCCCTGCCACCACTCCGACACCAGCACCTCGATCCTCTGCCCCGGTTGTGCCCCCTCACCTTCCAATAGGCTTGCGGATCCAGCCCTGGGTTTCTGGGAGGTTGGACAGCTGGACCCAGCATTTTTGATGGGACGAATCATATGAGAATCCCCTGACCTGGGCAACTCCCTCAGGCCATTGCAGGCCGCTTTCCGTGCACCAAGTCTGTGAAATGGGGAATGCATATGGTACTGCTGTAATCACTGGAATCACTGGAATCATTGCCAATCCATCTGTATAATTTTGATATGCAAAACTGCATTGCAGTTTTGCGCCATTTCCGGAGCTTGGCAAAGCCCCCTAGGGTCAACATATGTCAAGTTGGCGGTTTCAACGCATCCACATAAACTCGTGGAGTGGGAATATCATGGGTTATCAGTCACATGTTTGATGGCCGCGTTGGCTGGTCACATGTGTTCAAAGTATAAGCACTAAAAATAATTCCGCAGCACCATCCAACCATCCTCACATGACGCCACTTCCACGCTGAGAGATGCCGCACATCCCGCTACCAATACCTACGCTGAGATGCGCGTAGTATATATGTAAATATATTGCTACGAATATTTGAACTCATCTCTGACGCTGGTGCTGTCGCCACCAAAGGCTGCATCGCCCGAGGTCACAACGCTGCCATCTGCCAAAAGTGCAGCAAAAGCGTATCTTGTGGCAACAATATGCTGAACATGCTTTAGCTGATCTTGGACCATCACGCTATTGCCTCCTTGATCTTCCTCTCCTTTGAGCTGCTGTGCCACGGCAGCAATGTTGTCTCCACTTCGAAACCCAGAAACTTGAAGCCCATCAGACTGCTGCGCATCCATTTTCAGATCCAAAACGGTGCCACCCAGCGGAAGCGATAGAGCCGCAGACCGTCCGCTGGGCAACGACAGGTTCAGTTGCACGGTGCTGACAGGTTCCCCAACTTCCTGGGCTTCGTCGCTACATTTGCGCCTTTTGCTGTCAGGCTCCATGGCCAAAATCTAACTATATAAGTGAACTAATCATGAACCAAAATCATGGCTGTGTCCTGCTGCATCTTGGAAACTATTCCACATCAATAAAGGTTCAAACAAACTTCAAACCGGAACTTCAACTTTGCATGCAGACTACTGAGGCTGCAATAATAGGAGAATAGAACATCTATCCAGTTGGTAGGCATCCCGGAAGAAATACCAACGATCAGTTTGTCTCTGTTATCATTGGCACAATTCCTGTTTTGGTTCTCTATAGTAATCCCAAATTCTAAGTGTGGCAGGATCAACGTGAGGAATTCTTGTGGTGTTTCAGCTTTCAAGGGGTTCTGCTGGTTGTGAATGTGTGGTTTCAAATTTCCCAGCTGGTTCGGGATCAAACACCTGCACTTGTTTTTTTGTCCCTTTGATCGGGATGGTCTGCATTCTTTAGAGGCAAAACTGGCATGTTTACCTTGTTTCCAGGAGTTTAGGTCCACGAGTCGGAAATGGGCATTGCTGGTGCCAGTTCTGTACGCTTGATATTGGATCTTGAGATGTTTGCAACACGCTTATATTTATATAGAACATCTTAGAACATGATATAAAGGTGAATTGAAATCAAAGTAAAAATATGTAAAAATAGTATTGCTACAATAAATGCACTGCTTGTAGTCTTCACCTCACTTGCTGCTGATTGATACTACTGGGTTCCTGTCTGAAGTACTGTTGTACTGATACGAATATCCTATGAAAAAACATGAATTACTCTTGGTGGTCCCAGTGGATCCTTCCATTGCCATCGCGCGACCCTCAGCTGGGTGAATGGTAGAGATATGGGTTCTGCTGGCTGCCTTGAAATACACAACCTTCACCATACCATCCATATCCATCCATTGCATATTTGCTTTTTGGGGGTGAATGTAAGAAAACAAATCAGCAGCATGGATGCTACGGGCTACTGTAGTCTCCATCAAAACCCTGGTTTATTATCTGATCGATTCATCTATGTGGGCCCCTGTTTGGGATAAATAGCGTTGGGGGATGGGAGAATATCCATCCACATTTGGCAATTCTACTGGAGTCTGACTTTTATTTTGCATTCAACTATAGATTTATATGTAATTACACTAATGTGGTATTTTTGAGTTGAGATGGCTTAACCCACCTCTATTTTTCATTCCTTTCCCAGGTGTCATAAGTACCTATATATATATGTGTGTGTGTGTGTCGTTAGATAGATGGATAGATAGAGATAGATGGATAGATGGATAGAAATGTATATACATCTTATATTGCAAACATTTTATAAATCATCCATCAGGTAGGTTTCCTACATGGTTTCCCAACCATCGCCTGCTTGCCATCGTCCCTCCTGCTGCACGAAGCCACAGCGCTTCAGCTGGCAGTGCAGCAGTGAGCTACGCAGCACACCGATGTCGTAGGCGAGGCCGCGGCCGTGACTGAAAAAACACGCGGTGTTTGATGGCTTGGTTTAAGCCCTAAGGATCCATGTATGGAATATTTACCTACATTGGGATTATTTTAAATTACTTTAGGGGTCAATGTAGGTAAATATTCCATACATGGATCCTCTGGGAAGGGTTTAATCACTGGCCATTTCAGGAATCGATTGATTGGAGGTACCGATTCCATATATAAGGCCTATAATATAAGGCCTATGTAAGGGAATATCCCCACAAAATATGGCCTTATATGGTACAGTACCTCCATTTTAGGATCCTGGAATTCCCATTGATTTAAGGGAAAACCAGCAAAAAAAGGATAGTTGGTGAAATCCAACTAAAATTGTGATGAATTGGGGGGTACCCCAATAGCTGGATATTTTTTGGAAAATCTTGTTAAAATTGATGATTTGCGGGTACCCCGGTTTTTGTTCATCTTTTCGGGGACAACTAGAAAGGACAACCTACAGGAAATCATAGGTTTTGCCACCAATTTTCCGGGAGTTCCTGGATGTTTTTCGCCTCAAGCAGTTCACGGATGCATGTGATGGCATTTTACCAGCAAAACTGGTCCGTCTTATGGCAGTTTATCAATTTTGTTCATAGAACATGAATCGTAACCGTAATCATGTTGCTGAATGGATGAAGGCAAAATGAATTGGGGCATGTCAACCAGCAAACATGGATGAACAATGATGAAGATAAATTAATTAATCAGTTAACCAACAGGGGGCCGGGGGTTAAGATCAGGATCAGAAAAAAACAACATGTAACCACCACAAACACACGCCGTTCAGATTTTGGATCAAAAATGATGCTTTAGCCGGCATAGATGAGGATTTGATCCATAAGCAGCAAGAATGTAGATTTGACCAACAAGACGGGGCTTCAACCAGCCAAAGACTGGGGGGTTGAGCAACATTTCACAGGACCACATCTGTTATCACCAATTTTAATCCAGATTTCCTCGAACTCAATGGGCCATGGCTTCCATATCTGTACAAGGACTGAGGAGCTAAGGCTATCTTTCCCCTCCAACCAACTCGGTCCGCGGCTCCTCTGTGCGAACTTCTCACCGATCCCATGAACCACCACAACTATCTGACCCACCTTGCAGCGATACTGCTGTTCACTGTGGTGGTTGCTGGCAAAGGTTGGTCAACTTTGGCAAATGTTGCTGCATAAATATGCTTGTAGATGTTGGCAAAGCCAGGTGAAGTCAGCCCTTTTCCGCAGTAAAACCAATGGCCCCGCATCACTAATTTCGGCTCAACAGGTCCACTGGGTTTGCCCAAGAACTGTGCCATGTTCATGGGGGAAACGCATGAACATTCCTGCTGAACCAAGATAAACCATGGGATTTGACAGGGATCCAACTTCCACGGCCAACCTCAGATACCCCTAGCATTAGCAGAAATCCCCACTGACGCTAGGAGATTTGAGTACTAAATAATCCCATGCCCCGTTCATATTAAAACCTACCAGAAACCATGGTTTAGCGCTTGAAACCACATAAGGTGGTAAAGCCAGTAACTAAACTATCCCAATTCAGGTTTATTACTGGGTATACCGCGTTCCTTTGATTCCCCAAGTCGTGTACTGTAAGTAGTGGATTTCCCATTGTTAAAATTCAAAAAATCATCCGCAAATCCAAGATAGTTGACTTTCCCAGACATAAATCCCCATTGATGCTGGTGTTTTTCCTTGATGAATTCTGGAACTCCACGTTTCACTTGGTGGATTAAAAACGATGATTTTTACATCATTTTCCATCATTTTCCATCATTTTCCATCATTTTCCATCATTTTCCCGACTCGTCGACTCAGCAATCCAGGCAAGTTGCTTGGCTGCGCCTTCTCCAAAAGCAGTTCCTCCTCCTCCTCCACCGGGACCTCGCAGCCCCGCTGCACTAACACATGGGACAGGCCCAACCAGGTGCGCATGGTGCCATCCTGAGCTTCAGAAAATGGGAGAAACACGGCGAAAACTGGGGGTTCCTACAATGGGGGTACCCCAATAGCTGGATGATTTACCCTTTGGTTATTTAACGTAGCTATGGAAAATGGCCCATTTATAGATGATTTATGATGATTTACCTATTAAAAATGATGATTTTCCATGGCTACGTTAAATAACCTAAGGGTATATCGAAACTCCATGAAAATCCCATGATTTTTTGAATGATTTTGGGGTACCCCTAGTATAGGAAACCAACAAATGGTGGGATCCTTGAAGTGAATCTTGTGAGATCTATCTGAATTTATGAGTTTTGTAAGGTATAGACATGGCGGGAGCTACACTCACGGGATCTGGATCTTGTAAGTGGTGAAATGATGTGAAATGATGGCAGGCAAGCTGATTCTAAATGAGAGATTAGAGCCAAACATTTGAGGATTGACATGTAGTACCATCAAGACATTATTGCATGTTTGTTCACACAAAAAAGAGCATCCACACACCTGTGAAATCTAGGATTGAACTCTGCCAAAATAGAATTTGGATAATAATATAAATGTGGCTATATATAATTATACAGTATTTGTTTACTAGATCAAGACTGCCACATGTGGGGTCCCAAGATCTTGTTGCGTTAATGAAGGTCAATGACGGGGTATAGCACCCAAAAAAAAAACTCCCAAACGGAGTGCGCGTTCGCGACAAGTTCAAGTTTCAGTCTCTTTTTCTGCAGCTTGAATCTTCCCCCAGGTGACGTACATTCGCACCACCTTTTTCCTGATCCAGCTGGGAAGGGTGCAACGAACTCATCGGGGTCCGTGGTCAGGCTGAAACCAATCAGATTGAAATCTTTAAAGTTTCGAATCCAACCCCCCAACTATCCCCAAATCATAAGTATGTCTATATATATATATATATGTGATTATGATTTCACAGCCCTTTTTAAATAAGATTGCAATAGAATCCTGAAACTTTGTTAGTGCAAAAATCAAGTCAATGCCACCCTAGGCCACAGGTTCACTGTGCACTGCCAAACCGCAATGACCCCAACTCTCTTTCCTGGCAAATTTGGCTACATGTGTATCATGATTCGCCTATACCTTTACCACGCCACCATGTAACCCAACAATATATAGAGTCTAAATACCATACCCTCCAGGGAAAATACATGAATCTACCATATACACCCGCTACAATAAATATTGAAACATATGGTCATATGGGTTTGTCTCAAAATAGCGCACCCTAAATCCACTGGCTAATCCATGTTGCTATTAAAATGACAATTTTGACACTCCACTTCACGACAAACCCATAATACAGCATCATCATACCATGATTATCAAGTTGGTGATATCATGATATTCCCCAGAAAATGGTCGCTTTACCCATTGAATCACCAGATATCACCAGTAAATCCTTCAAATCAAATGTCCAAGTCCAAGGTTCCCACATCTCACGATCTCACCTTTGGCCGAGGGTGATCCGCCGGAAGGCGAGGTCACATCATCGCTTCGTGGGCTTCCAGCCGAGGCTGGGGTGCACTCCTATGGGGAAACCCTGGTCTGATTTGATGGGAACTGATCGAAAATTTAGAAACGGTGGTTGTTTGGGAAACTCCAAAAGCCTATGTTTCAAGGTTTTGAGGTGGAAAAAAAGGCTAGATTTTACACAATGGCGCAGTTCGGCATTCTATACACAGTTTCGCTTTCCACATCTGCATGAATTATCCATCCAATGAAGCTGGAAAAAAACCTACAAGTCCGATGATCACCCACGGTTCCCCTAGGGAAAACGATCGACAAATGGTGGATTGTCCATCTCCTCCCAGTATCTCATAGTATCTCTAGTCTGGTACAAATCAACGACTCCTGTGCGGATGCCAGCTTCTCATACGCTGTATTCAGCTTCCTTGGATTTGCAGGGCTCTGGAGAAATATTCTTTTCGTCATATATAGATTCCTCCAATGGCGGATATCCTCAAAAGCACCATGAACGAGTGCACCCACAATGATGGGCCTCTGTGCTACAAACGGCATCCATTCACTCCGAAGTATGCTATATATTAGGGGCCTATCATGGAAAACATCATCAACAAATCACTTTAAAATACAAAGGTGGTTCAAAAATCCATGATAGTCCCGATGCTCTTGGTTGTTAGTCCCGATGCTCTTGGTTGTCAGGAAAAAACACTTCACGGATACTATCATAGCTCCTTAGCTCCTTCCCAACCACAGGATAGTCCCCCCCCAAAAAAGATAACAAGTTTCCGGTTCATCTTCTCCCCATATGGTTCCAGCTGCCCACTGGGCAGTCGGAACCATGTGGCACGCCGCACCGGGAAAGGCCCAAAGCGTTGCAGGCAGCCGCCACCGTAGCGCGCCACCAGCCAGGAGCTGCCACTGGTTCCGTGGCGTGGCAAATGCACGGCGGCGCGGCCGAAAAAAACCACCACCTGGATGGAGGATGATGGAGGTTGGGACAAGGCTCATTTGGAGCAATCTGGAAGAGAAAGTCTGGAATTTAGGACGGCACCACTGCACGTCCACCTGATAGGTACTGGCTCAGGGCCATGAGATGTTCATTTCCGCTCCCCCCACCTTTCCCACCACGCCTTCGGTAGATCATCGCTCAGTGTCTCATCGGAAAATTCCAGCACTTCGGTGCCTGAATTCCATCTCCACGGTGGCTGTTCCCCTCCCTCTCATGCGTAATATTCCCAATTTTTTGGGAAGCTGGGATATCTATGTACCTATTACCTTGCCATACCATACCCCAGTAGTTTACCGGTCACTATAGCAGCGCAGGCAAAAACTTGAAAAAAAAAGTGTTCATCGTCTGATGTGGCACGGCCAACGACAAACCTACCATGTCGGGGGATGGCCCGGTTTACCCTCTGGTAAACTAACATAACTATTGAAAATCACCATTTTTAATGGGTAAATCAACTATAAATTGTCATTTTCAATAGCTATTTTGACATAACCAGAGGGTATACCACCCAACGCTCCCCATCACCCGCCTTCCTCGTCCTCCTCCTCTTCCACCAGCTCCTCCGCCAACGGCGCATTCGCCTCCAAGCGCCGCTGATCTGCGGCGCCGAAGGCCTTCCAGCGGCGCACGGCGTCGACACCGCGCTCCAGGTAGACCCAGTAGCCATCCATGGCCGCAGGGCGCCATGGCTACGGATGGTTGGGGATGGTTGGGGATACGGTTAGGGATGGGGTGAGGAGACGTGTGAGGTGAAGTGAGGTTGGGAGGTGAGCTGGTTTGAGGCATGTTGGGGCTGATGTTTTCTGAGATATCTGAGATGTTTTGTCCAACATTTAGGTCTCAAGACAGATTCTTTGAAGGGGGGTCTAGACCACCGGGGAGGCATTGAGTGCTGAGAGATGCGAGAGTATCTCAAAGTGATCTGATGGTTCTGCCGTGCACATGGACAGGAGCTGCCTAAAAATCCTTGCAGACGCTGCGAAACATAAGGCCCATGTAGAGGAGATTTCCATTCCGTCAAACTGTGGCCTCGCCTATGGCACAATGTTATGTGTATATTATATAATTATATATAACAATGGGGAACGCCGTGGGTCAAGATTGGACAGCCTCATACCTAAAAAGTCCAGACGGTTTCCTATCAGGGAATATGGATACAACTATAGCTCAGCTCACCGCTCCCTCTTAACGGCTGGATGGCAACCGAGTTGCTTCTAATTAGATCTCATTGATATCCCATTATAATATGCCCATTACTACCCTATGCTTACTTGACCTGTATTGACTTATAGCTGTAGAAAATTGGTCATTTAATTTGATGATTAAAAATGTGGCGACTTTCCAGTTCGCAAAGCATTACATTACCAGAGGCTAACTTGATTCAACCATCATATATGATAGCCATTAAGCACATCCCATTACCCTCTGTTCATTTAACATAGCTATGGAGTTATTGCCCATGTAGTTCGATCATTGACCTATCACTAAATGGTAATCGTCCAGTTCGCTATGTTAAATTACGAAAGGGGTATACAACCCCCTTAAAAAACGCATCAAATCCCAACTTTTGATGGCTAATTCCCACCTGTTCTGGTTGAAATCTGCTTCAATCCTCATTTTTCATAGGTTTTCCTAGGTGACCTCGACCCATCCATACGGCTTACGGCACCGCACCAAAAACGCGGCCCAAAAAAACAAAGTCCGCCTGGGTGGAGCCCCAAGAGCCACAGCGGAAGTCCGAGGCCGTGATGCTACAGCAGTCCTTCCCTGGCGACATGGGTGACTTATGGAGATCGTAGAAACAAAACCATTAGATGAGATGATTATTCCATTGATTAACCATTAGATTATTCCATGACTGATCGTATCACCCATTATAGATTATTCCATGACTTTGATGTATCCCCAAGATAGCCATGACTTTCATCATATTTCAGGTGAGTGACTGATAGTACCCTCTGGTAATTTAACATTGGAAAATCAGCATTTATAGTGAATTTTCCCATGAAAAATGGTGGATCTTTCCATAGTTATGTTAAATTACCAGATGGTACAAATAAAACCAGGGAATGTGATGGTAACTGGTAACCCATCATTTTTGTAAAGTCACTGGTTGATTGATAGGGGGCTACCAAAATCTACCCTCTGGTAAACTAACATAACTATGAAAGATCCACCATGTTTCATGGGAAAATTCATGATAAATGGTGATTTTCCAATGTTAAATTACCAGAGGGTACAAATAAAACCATATATTTCACATATGATTGGTGTAATCCTAGAATAAAAATAGAAGTTGGCCAAATCCCGCAATAAACAAATAAATTATTGAATTCTTATCTTTTTGGGTGTGACTAGACCTTCAATTCAAGAGGTTTGAGTCAATGGAAGTAGGGATTCTCAATGATTCTTATAGATTTTTGATTTATCCAAACATGATTCAACCATGTAGCTGACGAAAGCAACAATGAGGCTTGACTAAACTTTAAACAGAAGCCCACAATATCCCTCAACAATGAGGTTTTGCCGTCAAGAAAGGAGATTCACGGCCACGTTATCCCTTGATATCTGGAACTATCTGGGACTACAGCATGTTCCAGGGCCGAAATTACAAAATCCCACTTTTAAAAGTGGTACATACAACTTTCATATCTGTTTTTCTCTATCTTTCGGAGGTTACATGAGGTTGCTATAACCATCTATACCCTCTGGTGAACTAACATAGCAATTGCAAATGGCCATTTAGAGTGGATTTTCCCATGAAAAATGGTGGATCTTTCCGTTGCTATTGCTATGTTAGTTCCCATATAATACCATCCGACTGTAGCTGCCTATGGCCCAGAAGTCATAGGTTTGTCGCATTGGCACCGACACGCCAGGACCAAGGATGGGCGCCACCTGAGGGGATTCAAACATCCCAATTTCGTGGGGATGTTGATGCAGGATGACCACACCCATATGCTCCATGTATGGTATATTTACCTACAAAACTGGGTGATTTTTAGGGCAAATGTTGGTAAATATTCCATACATGGAGCATATGGGACATATGACTGGTTGGTGCTTGACCTACCCCTCTGAAAAATATGACTTCGTCAGTTGGGATGATTTGCCATTCCAAAAAAAAATATGGAAAATGAAAAATGTTCCAAACCACCAACCAGCCATATATATATATATATCTATTCATAGATGACACGATGCATTTTTTCAACCATATTGGCAGTTGGCAGTGTTTTTTGAGGAGAATCATCCTAATATGGGATAGAATCATCCTAATTTTCTGAGAAACTTTTGACATGTCCATAATCTATCTGCTCCAGGATGAACGTATATCTATGCATACTAGCATGTCTGGTATATTACCCTCTGGTAATTTAACATAGCTATTGAAAATCACCTTTTTTAATGGGAAAACTCACTATATAAATGACCATTTTCAATAGCTATTTTGACATAACCAGAGGGTAGATAATTATATATATTTCTCTCCATCGCCATCTCCACGAGTTCAGCAAGAGCTGGGGGGGAGACAAAGTATGGTGTACAAATGCCAAGAAGGGGCGCGCAACAAATGGCATCAGGTATCTATGGCTGTGGGTTTTTCGCTGTCCGAGCATGTCATTCCGAGACCTGCTAGCCATCCCTCTGAACAAAGGAACCAGTTTTGCATGGTATGCATGCTGCAATTGAATTGTGCTGATTCAAAATAACTGCTTAAATTGTTCACCCCCTTGGGTGTGTCTGAAAATGGTATATTCACCCCGCAGTTCCGGTAATGTTCAAAGGGAAATGGTGGAATTATATATAACTATAACCATGGAATTAACCATGAAATCGAGGAAAGTTCCCCGAAATGTCCCAAATTTTCAGAGAAACCCATTCTCCACCATTCCAGGCATGGCATTGGGGCTCCTGGCACAGTACAAGGTCCCCTTCCTTGGTGCGGTCGTTGGGTTTGGTGTGTATATATATATGTGTGTGTGTGTAATTGATTAATTGAGTAATTAATGAATTTCATGAATTGGTTCAGGGGAAATCTATGGAAATATGGACATGTATGAACATAGGAAACCATCAAATTGTGATGGTAAAACAATGCACATACGATGCTTTCCTGTGAAAATATTGATACATGGTGGGTAAAGTGGGGCGTAACCTCCAAATTCTCAGGGGCGACAAATCCCAGCCACTAATCTGACTGCGTTACTTGTGAGATGAGGCACGCTCCTTTGAACCCAAACAACAAATCCTCTCCAAACTCCGTTGGTTCCCATTTGATCAACCACATTTTTTCCCGGAATCATCCCGAATCAGCCAAAAATAAGCCATGCAAGCTGCAGCCCTTTTTGGGTGCCCTGCCACCAGCATCTTCCCGAGGGCTCGCCGAGGCGCATGAAGTGCCATGCCTTCGTGGCATCGAAGGAGCTGCCAGCCTGGAAGGTGATCAGCCCCGCATCCATGACCTGCCGCTGTGGCGATGTTTCATGGCTCATCATGGATCTGATGTTCTAAGAGAAGCCCCCCAAGTTCCAAGATTTCCAAGAAAAACTCACTTTCCAACATCTTCCAGAAAAATTGAAATGCTCAAACTGGTGAAAAACAAGACTAGTTGAATAGCCATTGCTGGGCTTCCAGGCGTCTTCGCCCGAGATCACAGAGGGGTTGACGCCGGTGCCGTTGACCCCAGTGGCCACCTGGCTGAATTCTAACGAAACCAGCCCTGGATACCCCAAGCCCAGCCCATCCCATTGCGCACCGACATCTCCAGCAGCGTGAAGTAAGGAGCTTCGTATTTGTGTAGGTTGGCTAACCTCACTTTACCGGGTTGTTGGCACTCCCATAGGCATCGGGGCGTGCAAGAGAACCACAAAATACAACAACTACGGGATCATATAGCATGGTGCATCATCAACATCTCAAAGATTCTAAACTTAATCCTCACAAAAAGGATCTGCAAATATTAACCCCGGAAAGAGCAGTTTCCTCTGATCGACCCCTGAAGGTGCTCTGATATTCAAAACAAGCCATCGAAAGTTGGCGATAAAGTTTGAGACATGTTGGTGGTGTTGTAGGCTGACACTATGTGAACCTGCCACGATTTGCAATGTAATATCAATGGTCGGGCCCAAGGGAAATGTACAGTTGCGTACAGTTAAAACCCATTGTTTTTACCCCGAAATTTCCTGCAGGTTCCTGCAGATGTTCCCTTCAATCAATTGTGGGAATATGTCCCAAGGTGTCCCAAAATACGGGTACCCCCAAATCATCCAAATTATAGATCTTCCAGTATTATAGATAGACCATTCATATAGATAGGTACCCCCAATCATATAATATATGGATTCCAGTATTATAGATAGACCATTCTAGATATTCCAGTATTGAACCCTAAGAAACCTCCAAATATGGGACAGCCAAGAGCACCATGTGACGCACCAAGGCCGCCGACCCCGAGACGATGCCCCAAATGACGCAAATCAATGCCTTGCGTCGCGGGGCCAGCGGGGCAGATATATTTTTGTTGCACCTGGGGACATCTTTGCATACAAATCTCCACTAATTATACCCTCTGGTAAACTAACATAGCTATTGAAAATGGCCCCTTTATAGTTGATTTACCTATTAAAGATGGTGATTTTCCATAGCTATGTTAGTTTACTAGAGGGTAGGTGCCCGTATGTGCTCGTAAGGGATAATCAATACTGGTAATGATGATAATTATAGGGCTTCCTAAAATGCGGATACCCCCAAATCACAAATTTTAATGGGATGTTCTGTTATAAACCATCCATTTTAGGATAGCCCCAAAATGGGAAAACCTCCATCTAGATCCACAAAAAGCATGTTACGCAGCCAACATCCCGTCCATCCGCAGCCAACATCAGATCCCGACTAAAATGCTGAAGAAGGTGAACCAGGTGGGGTCCTGAGCTGCCGTGGAACGGGTGGGCTCACTACGTAGAGGTTGACTGAGCAGTTTGGTTCAGAGCTCAATAGATTTCATGGTAGATGTAATGATCCTGGGGTCCCTATCAGATGTGGGTGTGGCTTCAATATGGTCCAATAAATTTCAATGGAGCTGATTGGAACGGGTTTTTTGAGTGGCTGCAGCAGTAGCAGTGAGGCTTTGGCGGGGTCATACCTACGAGCGCAGAAGGCCACGATCACAAAGAAGATCCAAAAGATGAAGATCACCGAAATGCCTTGGGGTGGAGGATCACTACACATATCAGTACCATTTCTGTTCAGATGGAAAGTGATGGTACCACTATCACTATGGGACACTGTGAGATCCTTGGGTCCTGCGGATTCCTCCAAGGGCTCCCGGCAGATCCAAGCAATCAACGGCGCCCTGGCGATGGAGCGTCACTGCTGGACAGGGTCTCTGAAGAAAGTGCGTGAATCATCAACCACTCAACCTCCCTGCCAATTCGGGTCACCATCCAGTCGCAGGTTCTCATGCTATACTCATGGCAAGCATGTGCCAAGAACACACACCCCAAAGCCACAAAGGTCTAAGGGCCCCGGCGCATACATCAGGTAGAAGGAGCTGAGGCCAAAACAATATACGAAGATCTCAGTTCAATCAGGCGAAGTTGATAGAGATTTTCACCCCTGAGCATTTTCACCCCTGTGGGCAAGTGTCACCCGCAATTAAAGGGGCCGTTACCCTTAGGTAGCCATCTAGGGCCAAAAGACGGCCAAAAGAAGCAGCAACTTGTCAGAGTTCAGCATTTTGCAAGCGCAAACGACTTGAGAATAGCAGCTACCCTCCAACAATATCCAACAATCACACCCTGATCTACCTGCACTACATGAGTACTGTACTCGGTGCAACTTGCCATCAAGGACCACGGCAGTTGGGCAAATGAGATGTTTTTTCGGTGCCAAGCCACTCCCCAGGGGATAAAGATGTTGAGGAACATCGGCACAATGTTCATACGCCTGAGTCCATGGCCCAGCTGGGATGATGTAATGGTGGATCCAGATGATTTCCCAACTTTCATGGTTTAACCTTTGGTTTCTATATGGTGTATGTATATATATATATATGGTTTATATTAAGTTTATATCAAATTAAGATGGTCCATGCGGCTTCTATCTTGGTTTCCACATGTCTCCAGCATGGATTCCATCCAGCTTCGGAACGCGCCAGGGCACATCCGGTGGCCCGGGGAGAAGAGCGCAGCTCGCGGCTTCTAGGCAGCGGCGGATCCCCACCCAGGTTGGGGGTGGTTGGGGGATCAACCAGTGGATACCAGTGGTCAATGACCGACCCACCAGTGGTCAATGGGAAAATCACCATGCTATTCATAGGTAAATAACATGGTTATTATACCATCTGAGAATAGGAAAATAACATGTTTAATAGGTTAATTGGAAAATGACCATCTGGTTATTTAACAGTTTGCCATGGAAAATCACCATTTTTAATAGGTAAACCTTCTATTTCTATGGGCCGTTTTCCATGGCTATGTTAAATAACCAGAGGGTACTATAAGTAACTAACCTGAAATATGATGAAATATGGCTATCTTGGGGATGATTCCCCTTACTAACCCTCATCTATGGTGAGGTCATAGTGAGGTCGTTGTAATTTACCCAGATGTTTGGATTTTGTGTGGCTTTGAGGTGACACATGGTGAAAACTGGTAATATTGAAATGTTGAATCATGGGCATCTCAAAGATGGAAAGAGAAAATGGTAAGAGATGGAGAACTGTGGATCGAAAAAACATACATGTAACGAACATTTTGTGAAAAAATGTGAAAAGCAGGAGTGTGCGGCCAACCCGTCTCGCTGTCATGTTGCAATTATGTATGATCTTTGAGGGTCCGTTTTCAACTTATCTGGCATCTTCAGTATTCTTCATTGGTCAAATGGATCAAGGTGTATCAATTTATATCAACAGCTTTAAGCCGCAGCCCTCATGTGCCTTGAGCAGTGGGGTTATCTCTGCATCCATTCCTTGACCGCCATTCCTCAGCGAATGGCGCTCGCTTGAGATCAGCTGAAACCGTCTGGACATGGGATGCAACCCACATCTAGGATCTATGATTGCTCACTCAAAGGGTATGGCCTTCTTTTACTGGAATTCTGTGGAGCTGCTTCCTCCTCCAGAGATTATCTCATATGTTCTCATCTTGAGAATGGCGTCGAGTCTTGGTAGCTCATTGGTTGTGCAAGAGACCCTAACACCATTGTGATCCTTCGTTGCAAAGCATCCCAGTCCCAGGCCCCAAAATCTCAGATGTTTGAATGGATTAAGCTCTAAACTCAAGGATTTTTATGCTGAAAACCCTTTTACAGCAAAATACCTGAGGACCCACACATTGCCGCCAGCACACTGTAAGGCAGGGGCCTATCGGCATCGGTCAGGGCCACTTCCCCAATAAACTATGTCCTTCAGAGTGGTTCTGAAAAGTACAGCCCTCTGGAGGGATTACCAAGCACATTTCAGGAAGCAGTTGGGATCTAGATAAATGCAAGAGTTGGGTACCAAAACTCAAAACATCGATGTTTATCACTGCTAAGGGTTACTAAGGGCCTCTGGGCGGCCAACCTCCTCACAGCCCTGCCGGGCCCTGCCGGCCCAGTGACGTGGATTCACTAACGGAAAACCCTGAAGCCAATGGCTTCAACAAGGCGTTTTCGCACGGTGACCAACACCCAAGGGTGCACACAAAAAGGGGGAGGCCACGAGGCCGCACCATGGGTTATTTTCCCGCCACTACTGAGAAATCATGTCAAATCTACTGTGAAATCAAACTGATTTTTTTTTACAAAGGGGCGGCCATTCTCAAACAATGCATGTTGCAGGGCCGGTGGGGGAGAACATTCAAGGATCACAATTGCTACGTTCAACGAAGCAAATATGAATCAGCCGGAGGAAGCAACCATTGGACCATCAGATTAGCTCTGCATAGCTCTGCATAGCTCTGCTTTCTACCCTTGCGGCCAATTGGAGCCAGGATTTGTACAGTCTGGACAGCCGCATGCAACAGGCCATGCAAAGAAATTGCGTCTAACAACCGCTGGAGCCCGGGCGTTGTTCTTCCAAGTTTGGGACACGCTATGACAAGCTGATGTTACTCCAAGCTGTTTGACCACACCACACAGAAAACCTGGATGGCTGGCCCCTTCATACTGGTTTTGGGAAGACCTGTTAAGAGGAGTCTGAAGCCGAGCTCGAAGCATTGTGTTTCAAGCTGCCAAGGCATGGCGGTATCTTTTGTGTGAGCAGGAAAGCAAAATGTGAGGAGGGCATGAAGCACATGGGGTGCTTGTCTTTTGTCCCGTGCACTATGGCCAAAATTCCAAAATCCTTCGATCCACACCCCGTTTGATTGTATACCAATCGCGGGTGTCCAAGCATGAGCCATCAAAAAACGTCCAAATCCTATGTGCAAATAAATATATGTAGTTTTGTCTCTCGACCTCAACAAAATGGATGTAAAGGAATGTGATATTCGACTACTTACACAGTGGCAAATTGCGTGTCTATATTTTGTCTATTATCTTCTTGGGTTCACTCTATATTTATATATATATATATGTGTGTGTGTGTGTATAATGTATTATAATTTGTATCTATATATCTATATGTGTGTGTAATTACTGTATGTTTATATATATATATATTGGAGGTTTCCAAAAATGGGGTATCCTCAAAATGGTGGGTTTATAATCGAAAATCCTATTTAAAATGGATGATTTAGGGGTACCCCCATTTCAGGAAACCTCCATCTATATGTACATATATTCGTATTAGCCTGGCATGGTCTGGCTATGATGGTTTTCTTCTCCGTCCAGGGAATGCATGATTGGGGATACGGTATCCACTGTTCCTTGCTTTTGTTGGAAAAAACATGTTGAGCTCAGAATGCGTGGTGACAAGAAAGCATCAATGATATACTATGCATGAGTCAAAGTTGGGTGAACCAACAAATGAATCAAAATGACACGAGATGATTAAGCCATATTAATCCAAATCCTTCAAACGAATAAACATTTGGCCCTTTGTTGGGCCTACATTCCTCGCCAATATGAGCCCAATGATCATGAAAAAAGTCAGGTTTCCCAGACTCCGGCAGCTGCAATCTGTCTATATTAATCGTTGGATCGGCTGACAGTTTCTGCCAACAACAATCCCTGATCCTGCGACTGGCATTTCTCTAGCCAGGTTTAGATTTCATGTATGAGCCTAATGGTTCGTTAATCTTTTACTGTTTATAAGTTCCCCTAATCATAATGACTAATGAGTACTAATGGTTATTTAACCACCAGCAAATTCGTTGCAAATTGCACACGGCCTTGAACTCTCTAACTGAAAAGAGGCTGCGACCCATGGCCCCTGCCAAACCCTTGTATCTTGGAATCAGGGCGATGGGGGTACCTACTTATAATCCCCAATGGTTGCGATCAATAACCACCTACAAGTGGTTGCAGGGCCTATCATCATAGTTGTTGTGGAGCCATGACAACGTTTTCTGAGTGATTGATCCCCTAGCCAATGCCAGTCGACAGGCTGACAGCGGTGCACTCGTGCTCGGTATGTGTGTCGAGCACGACTGGACTGGGCACAAGATTGGGCCTCTTTTTTCAAGAGTTGGATGCCACTGCCAGACGCAAGGCAATCTGCCGTGTCTGCCAAAAGTAAAGCTGTTTTTCCCAGGCTGCTAGTTGGAGGATCATACCATGTACGAACGGGTTAGGCCTGGTTAGGATTCTCCCAGTTCGTCGGATTGCCCCTCTATTAAGATCTATTAGGTAACTATACCCCATAGAAATGCCTATAATCCTGGCCATTTCCCATCTCTCTCTCTCTCTCTCTCTCTCTCTCTCCCTCCCTCCCTCCAAAAATTAACCCATTACATTGGGACTTGCTACAGCCACCCCCAACAAAAAGGAAATCCTGTAGCCCCAAATGGTGGGTATCCCATTGGACTGGCAAAACACACACCATCCACCATCCATTAGAAAAAAACAACAAAAAAACAAAATAAAAATAACCATCTTAGCAAACTCAGGCAATTGTAAAGCCAACAGTTTTCCATGATTATAACCTTATGATGTTCCCTAACCATCCCAACAATTAAATTATGGTTAAATCATAGATACCTGCCAATAGATAACATTTTAAGCTGGGTAGTACATGTTACATCGTGTTACCATATGTTACCATTGATAGCTTAAAAGATGAAAGTACTATAAAGTATATCCTAAAGTATCTAGCCAATGCATTCTTGCGGATAGAGTTACCATTGATGGCTAACACCACCATTGATAGCTTAAACGTTTAAAGTATACGGCAACTGGCAGGCTCACCTTGCGGCAGCTCCTAACCCTTTCTGTTCGCGGCGCTGGGCTGGTGGCACCCTGCGGTGAGCGACTCAGGGGCGCCGAAACGGCCGTCGTTTTACGTCGTTTTCTTAAGCACCACCCCAAACATTTGGACAACCAGAACCTGTCAGCCTCTGGGTGTTGATCCAAGGGCCCCTAAAAAATTCATCACATGACGCTGCACATGAGCCCAAAAGCTCCCCAAGCGCCACAGTCGCCAAAATCCCATGAGCCCAAAAATCTCAGGTACTTTTCGGCTGGGCATTTTTCGCTTGAACAGGGTTCCTTCCATCTCTTCCAAAATCTCAGCTCTCTGTCCCTCCATCGCCCTCACCTAGACGATATGATTTCGATATGATTTCAAATGATATATAGTTTTGTATATAAATATGTAACAAGCCAAATTTTGCAAGTCTAAGACCCCTGTTCAAGACAGCGAACCTGCCGTGCTCGGACGAGCAACATGCAGGGTTTTTTTCCGTCCTGAGGTGTTCGAGACAGACCTGGCGTGGCGTGCCACTGGCGCGCTCAAATGGGCTCAGTGCTTGCCAGACCTCAGACTTTGAGCATTTCATTTACGTAAAATGCTTGGCTCACCATCCAACATTCACCACACCTTCTATGAAGGTGCCCAAAAAAGTGAAGAACCAAACCACAAACCTCCCTTTACCTTGAAGCCTCAAGTCTTCCAATCCCCGATTTTGCCACTGGTCCCCCCACGTCGAATGCGATTTCACATCGCACTTGGGGTTGGATCCAGAGCTTCCGTCCTTAGCCAGTTGCAAGCAGTATCCTCCTGAAGCTACTGCAGCCATTAGACTCAGCCACAACGCGCACCAAGCAGGGGCCCGTAGGGGCCTCTTCGCCTACACTTGGAGTCTGAGGAACAGACCAATCTCGTGGCCATGCATTTCTCCACGTTCTTCTTTAACACCTGAACGGCCTTAGACATGTTTTGGGCGGGCAGGGCAGGACTTGGAATGAACCTTCTGTGGACATGGCAACCTACAAGCGGGTCAGGCACAAATATGGTTGGGGCCGCGTTTAGCTTCATCAAACATGATCAAACCATCCAATTTCAATTTCAGGGGATTTCAGGGGTCAATACAACAGTTAATTTGGATTTGCAGCCAAATCAACAGTGCTGAACCCAAGTGGAGTTTCCCACCCCCTATACACTGCACCAGAGGCTTTTTGCCGGCGGTGGGGAAGGTACAGTAACCAACACGGCCTGCCCTGCTTAGCGCAGAGCTGCGGAGTCGTCATAGTTTGTGAACCACACCTGGTCATGGCCGCATGTCAGGGTCAGGAAGCAAGCCACCAAACCTTAATTACCAAAGACAGTCCACAATGAAAACAGATGCCGTTTCTACTGAAAGCCATTCCGTTCGTGCCGAATTTCAGGGTGCCAAACTAAATAAAGGCCCAAAGCCGTATTGATCACGTTGCTTCATTTGCAATGATCCAACAGGCTCAAAAAGCAACAATAGCCTGCAACTAACTCTAACACATGAGCCACTGACAAGAAATGTGTCCTTGCTGTCAGGAAAAGCGGGAAAAGATTGGAGACATTTGGAAACCCTTACCACATCTTACGACCTCATGATATAGTATTATTGGTTCATTATATTATATACCTTATACGGTACTAATTGCCTCGTTATATGTGGTAAACCGCCATTTAAAAAAAAAAACAAACGTTTGCCATGAAAATCATTTTGTTTTAGACTCATCCCCAAACGGTGGTTGTTTAGTCGATGGCACTGGCTGAATCCCACAGTATTATATCATACCAGTAGTACCGCACAAGGCGGTGGCGGAAGTTTCAGAACAGGAAACCTATAGGAGACGTTGGTTGTTGTGAATCAGGGATGGCAGAGCGAAGCCACTGATTGACCGAAAGGTGGTTGGAGTTGTGTTTGCTGGAGTGGTTGCAATGGTTGCAGTGGTCACCTCACCCACAACTGCTGGATGTAGTGTGATGTACTGCAACTGTAGTTGTAGTTGTAGCGTAGTGGAGTTATATTTGTGGTGTAATGTAATTAGTGTAGTGTAGTTGCAGTCATATAGTTGTAGTTGTAGTTGCTGTGTAGTTGTAGTTGTTGTGTAGTTGTAGTTGTAGTAGTTGTAGTTGCAGTAGTTGTTGTTGTAGTTGTAGTTGTAGTTGTTGTGTAGTTGTAGTTGTAGTTGTTGTGTAGTGTAGTTGTAGTTGTTGTAGCTGTAGTTGTTGTAGTTGTTGTTGTAGTTGTTGTAGCTGTTGTTGTTGTAGCTGTAGTTGTTGTAGTTGTAGTTCTAGTTGTAGTTGTTGTGTAGTTGTAGTTGTAGTTGTTGTAGTTGTAGCTGTAGTTGTTGTAGTTGTAGTTCTAGTTGTAGTTGTTGTGTAGTTGTAGTTGTAGTTGTAGTTGTAGTTGTTGTTGTTGTTGTTGTTGCTGCTGCTGCTGTTGTCGTCGAAGTTAGGGTACTTAAGTTAGTTAAGTTAGTCCAGTTAATTAAGTTAATCAGTGTCTACTTTTTCGACATCTTAACGTCAAAAAAGGCTCAAAACCCTCAGTTTTTTACACTTTTGACTTCGAAATGTGCTTCGCGCCACAACGGCGTGCACTTTTTAGACACTTTTTCGACATCTGAACCTCCAAAAGTGGTCCGAGACCGTCAGTTTTTAACACTTTTGACTTCAAAATGTGCTTCGCGCCACAACGGCGTGCACTTTTTCGACATCTCAACTTCCAAAAGTGGTCCGAGCATGGTGTGGTTTGTACATTTTGACTTGGAAATGTGCTTCGCGCCACAACGGCGTGCACTTTTTCGACTCTCAACTTCCAAAAGTGGTCCGATCCTCTAGTGTTTTGTCCATTTTGACTTGGAAATGTGCTTCGCGCCACAACGGCGTGCACTTTTTCATGTCTCATCTGGCCAGCTGGCTCCGCACCCGCCGCTTTAGCGAGCCTACTTTTCGACCCCCCGGAGCCACAAATCATTGGAAAAACACAGTGAATCGCGACTTTCCTATCTTTTCGCGCATCTACCTCTTCTTTCTTCTGACTCTTTCTCTTCTGATCTTCTCTCTTCTGATCTTTTCTCTTCTGACTCTTCCCACCTCTGCTTTTCAACTGTCCATATTGTCGGAAGTTTCACTTCTAAACTTCCTTCGACTATCTGGTTGGTGGTTTAACCATCTTGAAAATATGAAAGCCAATGGGAAGGATGACATCCCATATATGAAATGGAAAATAAAATTCATGTTTGAAACCACCAACCAGTTATATTATATCCATAAAACTTATAACATCTTATAACTATCATGTGGTTCGGAAACTCCTGGTAGTTCCAACTTGCTGCCCATAACTCATCAGGAATATGGGGTACAAACAGAGCTCACAGCTCACAGCACCAGTTCATAAATGGTTGATAACTTCATTGATGACCATGTATGATGGTTGAATCAATTGATAACCATTTGAATGGTTTAATCTCCATGTTTGAAAGTTAAATCCTCTTCATCCCTTTGGCCTCCAAGCGAATGACCCCTGCAGCCCGTGGGCCCGAGAGCTTGTCCACCTGGACATGAGAGTGTGGCGGGGATAAACGTGTAGGTGTCTAAGATTAAGGTGTATCATATCAATATACCATATTATATCATACTATAGTGTACTGTAATATAGATTAAATGTTAAATATCATTAACTTATTCATATAATTTGTAAGATGAAGTATAAGATGTTCAAGTGTGACTATAAAAACGTATAGCATGTATTTGGATGATATATATATAATATATATATATATGCAATACAGTACATTATCTTTCCTCTTATATCATATATCATATATCTGCCTGTGTTTGTGGTAGTTGTTTGGAGGAATGCTCGGTTTCCCACATCTGGATGATCTGGGGACAATAAGGAAAGATACTTCATCATGCTTCCATGATTAATAATTACGTGTGGTCCAGCAGCCACCACCCTGGCTGCTACAAATTGTATATACACATGGGTGTGCATGAAAATTGGCTATACCGGTCCAGTACACCCGCAAAATGGATCAAAACGGCGTATTTTCATGTGGAAAATGATGTGACTCTCAGATATTCTGGTGGCCTATTTCCAAGCCCATATGTTCCATATAGAATCCATATAGATATCCGTAGAGATCCTTTCCAAGATTTTCCAATCCCCGTCACATCGGAACTCATCGCTATTTTGAACAACGAGGCGCGAGACGGAGCCCCGTGATCATGTTGGCCGGCTCGATGGTGGCACCGATCATCCCCAGCACCAAATTGTTCCTAGGCTCGGCTAGGCTCGGTTCGCTCAAGTGCTACCCACTGGTAGCACCAGTGACCCTTAGTGAATTAGAACTGGGTCACTAGGATTTTGATGGATTTTGGTGGATGTTGATGGATTTTGATGGGTTTTGTCCTGTTTGATCCTTTTTGCAGGATGCTATGTCCATGGCTGGTAGCTGCTATTGGGATGAAAAGGCGACTGACCAAGTACTCACCGTGACGATCACGAGCACTTGGCAGGTGAACCATGCCGCTGAACAGAGAGCTGCAAAAGTATGCATTGTAACATCCCAAGCAGGCATGGACATCTCACAACTGTGTAGATTTTACGCTCAATCTTGAGACAAAGAAAAACGAAAGGGGTGGTGCTACCCCTTGAAACTGAGCACTGGGCCAATACTCATCCACCTTCCAGCGGGTGCACGGAACTGTTTCAAGAGGAACTGTTGGTTCTAGGTTGGTTTGAAACCCCTTCCCCCTAATATTAAATACCGCAAATACCACCCATGAAAATCCTGGTGTAGTATTGAGTCTGTTGATTTTGGGGGGTGAATATGGACGTACAGCATTTATTCTTGGGGCGGAATCACTTGAACCTTGGAACCATTTGAACCCCCGAGTCTTGTTTCTGGCCTTTGAAGATCCAAACTAGCCATGCTTCAGTCATTCTTTGAATATCTTTGAGTGGTCAAACTATGTCAACCTCCCAAGGCGAATTGAAAGGTGGTTGTTGGAGCCGCAAAAACACATGGCTAACATCACAACATCCTTCGCCGGTCAGTCAACCCAACTTAGATCCCTAGGCAGGCTGCCTGTCCGCCACCGATGTTGGGTTTGAGCTGAAATTGAAAATGCCCTCCCTGCGCGTTCATCTTGTCCTGGCAGATCTGGGGTCGTTTAAATGAAAAAATCCTCTATAAATGGTGATAAAACATGATAAAACATGATAAAACATGATAAAACATTATAAAACATGATAAAACATGATAAATGATTGGGGGCGTGTTTGATTACAGCATAAATGGGGATGAAAATGGATTAAATCAATCATTAACGGGAGAGCGAAGGAGGAGATTGATCTGAAAATGTCTGAACGATCATGTTCCGACCCCACATGACATACCATTCTGGCAGCAAATTTACCTACACGAATCGGCAATTTTCCAGGTAACACATGGTAAAATATTCTGCGCATAGACTCTGCAGCGCTGGTTTGGATCCCCTTGATAAGTCCCCAATTCGGGCTGCCGATTTTGCGAGCTCAAGATTCTTGAGAACTGCCTCACTGTCTAGGTGTCTTGCTCTTTCAGCTGAGTTTGTTCTAAAGCGTTGGCCAAGCCAAATTCTTGGAAGATGGAACTATTGTTTTCACGGATCGTGCCCCATTGCAAGTACACACTCACATATCAACGCACCACATTATGACTTTTAAGAAATTTCAATGGTTGAAAGAGACATGACGAAGACAACAACCAGTGGCAAACTCCCTTTTTTCCGGCAGGATCTCGACACAGAGCTCTGAGGACCTGTCCCAAGTGATCCGAATGTGCCCAGGTCCAGATAGGCGGTTCATAGCTCCAGGAAACCACCAGGAAACCAAACCGACCAAAGTCAGTGGTTCTTGGGTTTTCTCGTCCTCGACTCATCTCGACTCCGGCTTCATCTGCAGTGAATTGCAGTGACCCAAAAAAGAGTCCTTCTGGGCTCCCTGGTGACTTAGGCACCCTTCAAGGAACACCACCACTCCCAGTTGCGCCGACAATCTTCCCAGCTCAAACCATCTTGTCCTACCGCCAAGGCGCCAAAAATCAAGAACCAAATGAAAATGAACAGCAGCACCACCAGGGAATCGTTGTCCCGTTCATCTACCACCATCTCCTCCATGTCCACCCTCATCTCACCATAGAACCTGGTTGCTCATTTCAGCCATTGTCAAGCCTCCCGAGGAAAACATGAGCCATCAGTCATCAGTCATGGGGATCATCAACCAAAATCATAAAGAGCCAAACATCGCAAAACTCCAACCTAAAACAACTCAATCCATCACTTAGCAACTCCTCACTGGGCCCCTTGGGCCCATCCATCAGCTCCCGATATGCCGCAGTGATCTCGGCGAAGCGCGCGTCCGCATCCGCCAGATCCGGGCGCTTGTCCGGGTGCTCCCGGGCCACCAGCTCCCGGTAGCGCTGGCGGATGGCCCTGGCATCGCTTCCGCGGGGGAGATCCAACACCTCCCAGGCCGTCCGCGACCGCGGCCGTGGGGATGGGGTGAAGCTGGGGCCCCAGAGATGGAGGCAGAGGCAAAGGCAGCTCAGGAGGAGACATGGGCGGCGGAACATGGGGTGACTTGGGATGAATTGATGATAATTGATGGTAATTGATGGCTAGAAGTTAAGACGATTAAGAAGCATTGGAATTGAGGAGAGCTTGAACCGCGGGAAAGGTTGCTGCGAGATCTGGTGTGTTCTGAGTTTGTGAATTTCCCCTTAGGTTCACATTCCATATTTGGACGGCTAAGCCAATCTTAACCTCAAGGAGTCATAGGGTGATGCTGACGAGGTCTGTTGGCCCAGGCCCTCGCAAACAAAGTTGAAGGCATGCGTTTGGAAATCAAAATTGCCACCGCATCCAGCTCATCCACCTCCATACCATCCGTGTATTGCATGTACACCGGGCAGGTTTTCAAGTAGAGGTGGATGAATACGGTACATGGATGATGAGGGATATGAGATTGGACATTCGGAACCATTGAAAGTTATCAAGAGTTGGAAGAGAGTATTCTAAGACCTTCAGGCATGTGAATATCCACATGGAAATAACGGATTTGTCCAAGAATAAGGTATATAATACCCTCAAATTTGATTGTTTATCATATTTTATCATCATACCTGTGAAAATGCCATTTTTGTATCTTAACTATCTCCTCCTTTTGGTTAAAAAAACTCAACTCGTGTTTCCTCAGCAGAGCCAGTCACCAGCCCGTCCTCCCACTCCGGGCGGATGTTCTCACGAAAGATCATCACCGCGTCGATCACATGAAGCCTGGAGACTGGGCGTTTTCGAATGAGACCAGCCGACGGGACAAGTCGTGGGTTTCTTGGGGGTTATTATATATATATATATAACATCATATGAATATTTACCAACCAACCAGTATAGTGGAATGGGATGGTGATTTTTTTTCATGGCTCAATTGCTGTATACCTCGCTTCTCGAAGCGCTGCCCTTGGTCAGCATTCTTGGCTTTATTTCTTGGCTTTGTCAAGATGAACGGAACCTATGTCACAGTTTTTGAATCTTTTGGAATGGATAGATAATGATAGATACTTAATTAATTAGAGATAGACATTTGCATCATTTCGTATAATTAATTTTAAACATCATCTAATTTGGATGTCCAGCCCTTCCGCCCTTCCAGTTTCGGTGGCGCAGTTGGCGTGTGGTGCCCCCATTTGATTGCCATCGGAAGCTTCACCTCCGATTCTCATGGCAAATCTTGATTCTTGATAACTTTCGAGCCTCAGATAAATTTGGTTGGATAGGACTGCATGTAATGTGGGTCCAATAATAAACCATCTCCCAAATCACCATAAATAGGTGATACGAGCACATGATGGTATAAACCATTCCCAAATGGATGGTGTGTTATTGTTTTTCCCACATTACAAAATTTATCACCCAAAAAGTTTGCCCGTGTTCATCAGCCCATTTTCGGCCACCATTCGCCACGGTTTACCCAGTTCTTCACTGTTCTTCTACAAGGGACCCATCTGGCTGCTCACGCACCATGCGTTTTTGTTCCAAAAGCTCACTGGGTTGAGGCCTCATGGTGCCACACACACATCACCCTCTATGGATGAAGGTGATTTTGGTTTGTCCCTACCCTGCAGTAGCAATTTGTTGATGGGGAACATTATGCTCTTGGACGAACCCGTGTGGTATACTTTGCTTAGGGGTGCAAAGCTACGGGTTGTTAGTTTAGAATTGAACAGAGGTGAGATTTTTGGGCTACCCCATTTTCAGACAAACCTGTTGGATCAAGTTGATTCAAGACTTGGGAGAAGAAACCGTTCCACGTTCATCATGCCATAATTGGCATGGAGTTACATTCTCTATCATTCTCTATACTGTTTCCATGGCCGAATGTGTCAACATGTGTCAACCCTTCACCAGTCGGTTTCCAGAAAAATCATCTGGGCCCCAGGACATGTGATTCCAAAGCTTCCAAAAGCTTTGGACTGTCGAGAAGCTTGCGACCTGCGTGAGCTCGCGCGATTGCGATCTATCGATTTTCAAAGGGAACTGGGACTTCCAGCAACTGGGAAAAAGATAGAAAGGGATGACTGAAAAATATTAGTCAATGGGAAGGATTATCCCATATTCTATGGAAAATAACAAATTCATGTTTGAAACCACCAACCAGATCACATGTTTGAAACCAACCAAGAACTGAAGAATATCAAGCGAAAGTAGCAAAAGCTACTGGGTTTCACCACCCTCGGCCGCATAAACCTCTGAGAGACGATTAGCGCTGAGGTCTTACCATCGGGGATGGGTCAAGACCTGTGAACATCCATTCGCCAAGCCATGCAGCTACTTGGGGGTCTATCTGTCTATCTATCTATCTATCTATCTAGAAAAAATACATTTACGGTGTGCCCATCTTTTGACCTCCAGCCGCATCCCAGGTCCTTGTGAGTAGCATCAGAGTAGGCAGATGACTTGTCATTGGACTGCATGATCCTCAACAGCTCCATGGCTGGGTCTGCAACTGGTTATGGGGGGCAACCTGGTAGAGGCTATACATCATGGTGTGGCTATCAAGTATGGCTCGATTTTGATTGATGGTGGACCTTTGGCTGTTGGATTTTTTGGGGGGGGGCGAGCCACCAAGGCAACCGAGTCGCTGCTCCCAGATGGACCAAGTGTAGCGCAAAGGCAAGTCCTGCAACCCGGGCTTGATGAAACCCTTCGCAGCTGGTCGTTGGAAATAGTTGGATGGTTTTTTTCGCGAAAGGCGAGGGCGGAAATGGGGACAATGAGGCAAAGTCCAAGCTAAGTTTGATGAAGTTCCTTTAGGGCCATCAATGAATATATTGCATTGTATTGCCACTTTTGGGGGTTCATCGCGATTTAGCGTTGGTTTCACCACACAAAACAATTCAAACTCCCAGGTGCAGGGAAAGTTTAGGCCATACTGGCTGAATCAGGTTGTTATATACATGTTGTTACATAACGTTACGAACGTCTGGCCCATAAAGAGGTGTTGGTACCTTTCAATAGGATGATGGGGTGTACCCATTTCAACCCCCATGGGGGACTCTTTCAAGCTTCCATCGCGAGTTCCAACAGATTTGCCTTCCAAGGGAACTCTTATGAAATCTTCATTTAATCCATGGACCAAAGATATCATAAGCCATAAGCCATTCTTGGGCTGATTTCCCTCACCGGTGTCATCAAACATGGCTTGCTGGAAACTCCCATCTTTATATATAATTAAAGTCTTTAGGATGATGTTCATCGATGTTCCTTCCCATTTATGTTCCTATTGAACACCTCCATTTACAGTTAAAAATTAACAACCTCCATTCATAGTCACAGTGGATTTTCCAATTAAAAACATAATTTATAGTGGATTTCCCCATGAAAATCTCCATTTATATAGGGGGAATTCTAAGATCTACAGGTGACGACTCGACTGTGGATGTCCTTCTTCAACATGTCGTCACTCTCATCGGCACCGTCTGTGGTGAACTTCAGATTGGCGTTGAAGCCTGAGACCGGCCACAGGACCAGAGAAAGCCATTCAAGCCGTCCATCTTACAAAGAGAAGTGAAACTTAATATACAATCTGATCTCCATATTAAATAACCGCGTATATATCCGCCGACCCCTGCCTAGCCTTGGCCTAGGCGGGGCGGCGCCCGGGATCACCGTAGGTGTGCAGCATGGCTCGTGCCGGCTTTACCATTGCCATGGCAAACCTCCGCTTGCTTTGCCATCGTACCTCCCCATAGGCCCTACAAACTGTTTCTATTGGGCTTCGAAACTGCTACATGGCACGTTTTGGCCAGGCCTTAAAACCTTCAAAAGTCCCGCAGCAGCTTTCGAAAGCCTCAGCACCGCACAACCCTCCGCTTGCTTTGCCATCGTACCTCCCCATAGGCCCTACAAACTGTTTCTATTGGGCTTCGAAACTGCTACATGGCACGTTTTGGCCAGGCCTTAAAACCTTCAAAAGTCCCGCAGCAGCTTTCGAAAGCCTCAGCACCGCACAACCCTCCGCTTGCTTTGCCATCGTACCTCCCCATAGGCCCTACAAACTGTTTCTATTGGGCTTCGAAACTGCTACATGGCACGTTTTGGCCAGGCCTTAAAACCTTCAAAAGTCCCGCAGCAGCTTTCGAAAGCCTCAGCACCGCACAACCCTCCGCTTGCTTTGCCATCGTACCTCCCCATAGGCCCTCAAACTGTTTCTATTGGGCTTCGAAACTGCTACATGGCACGTTTTGGCCAGGCCTTAAAACCTTCAAAAGTCCCGCAGCAGCTTTCGAAAGCCTCAGCGCCGCACAACCCTCCGCTTGCTTTGCCATCGTACCTCCCCATAGGCCCTACAAACTGTTTCTATTGAGCTTCGAAACTGCTACATGGCACGTTTTGGCCAGGCCTTCTTTTGGGAAGCCTCAGCACCGCACAACCCTCCGCTTGCTTTGCCATCGTACCTCCCCATAGGCCCTACAAACTGTTTCTATTGGGCTTCGAAACTGCTACATGGCACGTTTTGGCCAGGCCTTAAAACCTTCAAAAGTCCCGCAGCAGCTTTCGAAAGCCTCAGCACCGCACAACCCTCTGCTTTGCCATCGTACCTCCCCATAGGCCCTACAAACTGTTTCTATTGGGCTTCGAAACTGCTACATGGCACGTTTTGGCCAGGCCTTAAAAGCCTCAAAAGCCCCGCAGCAGCTTTCGAAAGCCTCAGCACCGCACAACCCTCCGCTTGCTTTGCCATCGTACCTCCCCATAGGCCCTACAAACTGTTTCTATTGGGCTTCGAAACTGCTACATGGCACGTTTTGGCCAGGCCTTAAAACCTCAAAAGCCCGCAGCAGCTTTCGAAAGCCTCAGCACCGCACAACCCTCCGCTTGCTTTGCCATCGTACCTCCCCATAGGCCCTTCAAACTGTTTCTATTGGGCTTCGAAACTGCTACATGGCACGTTTTGGCCAGGCCTTAAAACCCTCAAAAGTCCCGCAGCAGCTTTCGAAAGCCTCAGCACCGCACAACCCTCCGCTTGCTTTGCCATCGTACCTCCCCATAGGCCCTACAAACTGTTTCTATTGGGCTTCGAAACTGCTACATGGCACGTTTTGGCCAGGCCTTAAAACCTTCAAAAGTCCCGCAGCAGCTTTCGACCCTCCCGTTTGCTTATGCCTACAAACTGTTTCTTTGGGCTTCGAAACTGCTACATGGCACGTTTTGGGCAGGCTTGTTTTCTTTCCGTAGGCACCAGCATCGCACAACCCTCCGCTTGCTTTGCCATCGTACCTCCCCATAGGCCATACAAACTGTTTCTATTGGGCTTCGAAACTGCTACATGGCACGTTTTGGCCAGGCCTTAAAACCCTCAAAAGCCCCGCAGCAGCTTTCGAAAGCCTCAGCACCGCACAACCCTCCGCTTGCTTTGCCATCGTACCTCCCCATAGGCCCTACAAACTGTTTCTATTGGGCTTCGAAACTGCTACATGGCACGTTTTGGCCAGGCCTTAAAACCCTCAAAAGCCCGCAGCAGCTTTCGAAAGCCTCAGCACCGCACAACCCTCCGCTTGCTTTGCCATCGTACCTCCCCATAAGCCCTTCAAACTGTTTCTATTGGGCTTCGAAACTGCTACATGGCACGTGTATATTTGTTTGTCCTACAAGGAGTCCAGTCGCAAGAAGGCAAGGTTGTATCTTTTCTTTGAATCTATGCTCCATGCTTCTGGGGTCAGAAGCAACCGGCAAAAGAGCTGGCAATCAATCTTTGAATCCTGAGCATCTATATTTTGATATATATATATATATTGTTTTTTGTCCAGTCTACCCCCCAAATGAAATGGACTTTACGGTTCCAGTTGTGTTGCTATTCACATGGCGGGCTCGGACCACCTCGCAGATCGAGGAACAGTTGTGATGGAAACATCACATTTAATTCCACTATATATTTTTGCCCACCTGCCAGGTGACGGTTGTTAGATTTTATCAGAGCGCTCTTCCTCCGCCTCATCCTCCTCCTCCTCGTCCTCCTCCTCCTCGACTAGCTGTCCTCTTCCTCCTCGTCCTCCTCCTCGCCTCCTCCTCCTCCAGTTTCTCCTCGACCATGTCTGCATCAACTTCCACCTGCACTTCCGCCTTTCCAACTCTTCGCCAAGCTCTTTGCCAAGTCTCTTCGCCAAGCTCTTTGCCAACTTCCCAGCTCAGTGTGCACCGCTGAACCTCAACCTGGGACCGTCCCAGCTCAGTGTGCACCGCTGGACCTCAACCTGGGACCTGCCCAGCTCAGTATGCACCGCTGGACCTCAACGGCCAAATAGAATGACGGAAGATATGCCAGATAGAATGCCAGATAGAATGCCAGAAGATATGTCAGAACATATGCCAGAAGATATGTCAGATAGAATGCCAGATAGAATGCCAGAAGATATGTCAGAATATATGCCAGAAGATATGCCAGATAGAATGCCAGATAGAATGCCCAGATGCCAGAAGTATGCCAGATAGAATGCCAGAAGATTTGCCAGATAGAATGCCAGAAGATATGCCAGAAGATATGCCAGATAGAATGCCAGATAGAATGCCAGAAGATATATCAGATAGAATGCCAGAAGATTTGCCAGTAAGAAAATCTATAAGTCATGGTGGGGATCACACGAAGTAAAGTATTTTTTTACGTCGCAAAACATTATAGCCTGCAAACAACGGAGAATGTCTGACAATGTATCATAATCATAATCCAATCAATATTTTAAGATGTCGCTATTATATCTCTTGGGGGATTGCTACAATGTGGTCAACCCAATGCCATCAACTCCCATTGATGGTTAGAACCCCCGTCAAGGTCATGTGCTTTCCTTCCTCCACCCCTGAAAGGGGGTCGGCGGCACCAGGGCGTTAGCCCATTTATATATATATATATATATGTATGTGCATGAATAAACAATTATAATTATCATAGATATGAAAGATATGGATTTCTATAAATCAAGAAAAAAATTGAACATTTCAAGCTTTCCATGCGCAAAAATAGGGACAGACCCCACGCCCAAGCCAAGTTGGGGCCCACACTTTCGTTGAAGCTGAGGAATGCCATGCCTGCGGGGGGCAAGATTTATCATCGATGCATGAGGCCAAAGGCAGATCGAGCATATGGGCCTCACAATAGAGGACTTGACCAACATAAGACAGGTTTCTGGGCGAGATGAAATCATATGAAATCATCATGCCAATGCTTACGCCTGAAGAATTTTGTGATTCTCTGTGTTTGGAAGGAGGAGTATTCACCGTTTTCACCTGCAGCTTCGGTGGTGCAGGGTACTCCTGACTTTTTCCAACTGCCACTTGCCGCACCGCACATGGTCCCTTTGCTTTTGCTAAAGCAGCTGGTCTGGTTGCGTGGCCTCAAGGACTTTGCCATCTACGTATCTCCGATAGTCTTTGTGTCCTGCCTGACGGATGGTTGCATCGACCTTTCTTCATGCCCAGATTCATTTCGAGCAGGCTGGGCCATTGCTTCGGCCAAAAAGTCTGCAGCTGATTGTTTATCTCACTCAGTTTGGTGTGTGAACTCGGCTCTTGGGCTTTTTGATCTGCCCTGAACACCTCCAGAATGCTGGGCGCCGCTCGATGTATAGTTCATGAAGCTCATGTTGCCCTTCCAGCTGGCTGCGGTTCAACCAAATCACCAGGGAACTGGCTGGAACCGGATCTGGCAGGATGTCTAGCTTTGGACCTTCGGCTCGTCCATCTTCAGCAGCTCTTCTGCCAGGTGGCCCTTCAACACCACCGGCATCTTGACCTGGTGAAGGGCTGGCCTCAAACTCTGTGAACATGTATCATAGGTCATCATAGATTCACAGATCAGCATAGCACGTTGATCCAACAACACTTTCACAGTGAAAAATGCCAACTATACATATATTAGTTGATTAATTATATTATATACTTGATTGATTTCCTTCACTTATCACATGCCTGCAACCACCAACGCATAAATCAACATAAGCATTACATATGATCCAACGGCACTTTCAACAAAAAACTAACAAAAAACATCATCCCCAAATCTTGCTTCCTTCACATACCACCTGCCCCCACCTACCACTAGAAGTTGCCTCATGTATCCTCCCAAGTTTCCCCCAACCTTCCCACCTGACTCCAGCTGATCGGTGGCTGCTGCGTCCACTCCTCCAGCCATCTCCTCCGCAACGCCTCCAGCGCCCCGCGCTGCAGCCGGTGCAGCTGGAAGGGCTCCGCGGCGCCCAGGCGGGCGTGCAGGTCGTTGAGGTCGCCGGGGGTGACGACTTGCCCCAGGTCCTCCTTGGATGATGGCGATGGTGGATGAGTTGGGGGATGGTGAGAAAGCTTGGGGTATTTGGGGGCAAAGGTAGTTGGAGATATAATGAGATATAGCTATAGGTTAAAAAGTTGAGGTGTGCCGCAAGAACTGTAAGAGGTGTTTGATGGTGGTTGGCAACCGCCGGAGAAGCTTGCCAAGGGGCTTTACAAGGGTACTGAATTGCCGGTCCAGTTCCGCAGGTTTCTAGAAATGCAAAGGAAATGGTAGCAAGAATCACGCAAATCACCGTCTGACGCTGCCATCTTGTGCCATATCGTATGTAAATCAAATTGAGGTGCCACAGCTCTGGTCACAAATCACCAACCAACATACATACTGATAAAAATTAAGACCTTGATATCGTGTGTTATTGTCATAGCAAGCATTTCCTGATGTCTTATGACACCTTGCCCCGAGGTAGTCGTGGCCCACAGAAGGTCCTCAATGCAAATGTGCAGCCGCTCATCCGCACCCGTCTCCACCACCATCGCTCCGCGCACTTTGGCCGCTACGGGGCTCCGGGCCAAAGCGCGGACGAAGTGAAACTCGGGCAGATCTTTGCCGCCTGGGATCTCTGGGGGTTTTCAGATAGGAAACCTCCCTGCAAAGGGGTTCAATTTTGAATTTTAGCAGGGTATGTAGTAGCCACGGCTCTAATAAAATAGAGTATGCCTTCCTTTATGGCTGGAAAATGCTGAAAATGTCTAATGGTCAAATCAGACTACTGGTACAGTAAATAAGATCAACAGACTCAACTACCCAAGCAAGGTGTTTCCCATTTTGTTGAGCACTTGGCGGGTGTTTGTCAAGGTGAAAATTTGAGAACTGACATGAACTGACCTGGCCCTTGTGAAAGGGAACGTACTATCCCCGTCGCACCGTGCCAACAAGACTCAGCTAGTCATGTTCAACTTCTGAAGCCAGGAAAAGAACAGACCCCTTCAAAAAGGCCCCTACCAAGCCCTGTCGCTATCCAAAACTGGGGTGGGAACTACTTGATGGAGATTCTGCTGTGATAGCGACAAGGTCCATCATTTGTTGGGCGCATCATGCCCTGGCGCTGTCGCCCAGTCACAGAGCTTGAAGCACTTCCCGGCGCGGCCCTGCAGTTCCACCAGGGGCATTTGCCCCACCTTCCCAGCGATCCTCACCACGTCACCGATGCGATAGCGACAGAGACCTCCGCGCGTGGTGAGGATGAGCTCGTAGCTGTGGTCGACCTTGGCCGATGCTTGACTGGCACCTTTTCCACCGCAGAGCAACCGAACAAATAGCTGATGTGCTGGGCCCGTGGGGGTAGGAAATGGTGACCCAGGCCATCCCAGACATCTCCGGTACCCATCACCACCCCCTTGATAGCAGCCAAGCGACATCCCCATCCCACACCGGAATCGGAGCCTCTCGCGGGATTTCTCCGGTGGGGCACTGCGACCATTGCAGCGGTAGAAGTTCCATGACCATGCTGCCAGCGTCCAGGAGATAGCTGGGGGTGGCCTCCCGGGAAGCTGTCTGGCTGTTGATCCAAAGCCATCCAAAACGCATCTCTCCATGTATCTTGAGGTGGGGATCATACCGAGATTTGAGATTCATATGAGATTCATACCGTGAATGCAGACTTGCATAGACCATCATAGACCTGCATGGATGAATCCTCAGCCTGGTCCGGAGCAATGTTCACACCAAGCAATCCTTCAGTTGCAGCATAGAACGGTGAGTAGATGGGCACATCTCCCAGCAAGCGGCGCAGCCTCACAAGGACAAAAAGTTGTGCCCTTTGCCCTTGGGTTGGTAGAAAGCATGCTCTTTCTGAAAGGTCCTTGAGTCCTTGGCTTCACTCAACTACTTCAATTTGGAAAGTACTTGATTCACCACCAAGGACCCAAGCCTGGGAAGCGGCTGTCATTTTCAGACCCGCAGCTAAATCACATGATCCATACCCAGCCACGTGCTACACACCAACCCCCCACCCACCTAACAAATGCCAGTCTGGATGTAACGTCCAATGATTTGACATAGCTATGCATCCGAAAAGGCCCCATGATTGATAGATGATTATCAAAAAAAGGTGACCCTTACGCAACAAATTGCCAGAAATTTACCCAACTCCATCCATCCCGGCCCATCCCGGTCCATCCCATCCCACCTGCAGCTGGCTGCTTCAAAGTTTCCCCCCGTCACCGTGACCACCAGCCGCAGCTTGGGCCACAGCTCTCGGGCCGAAAAGTCGCCGTCGCCGCGCACCGCGGACCGCAGCGCGGCGGCCCGGGCGGCGCCGCCGTCGGAGGTCAGGGCGCGGCTGAGGGCAACGAGGAGGTCCTGGCGGAGGGAGGTTCCTGGTGGTGGTTAGATGGTTTGCATCAAGCAATGATTTGAGAATGTTTGACATCACAATTATCGGATATCATGAGATATTAGGAGATTTTGAGATTGTATGTGAGTGGTGTTATGGATTCGATGCTATTAGATTTAGACCAGCCCAATAATCTATAGGATTGAAAGTTGAAACCCCAGGAAATGGATGCGAACAAATGTAAAAACCATATTTTTTTAAAGGGGCCTCTTCCAACTCCACCGAGTTCACTGCACTTCAGTTGGAGCGAAAACTCAGAACTTCGCAGAAAGAAAGTTCTGGGTCAAGCTTTTCTATGTAGAAAAGATATTACATAATGATACATATTGTATAATATTGTATATATTTATATATATATATATATTTTTTAAAAAAAAACAACATATTATACATATATATATATATATATAATTATATATATTATATATATATATATACTGACTGTAAATTAGCCGATTGGAAATAAGTGCATCCCTCTGGAAGGCCAAAATGGTCACACCTCCCATGCCCACCTTTCCCGAGGGACCGTCTCCTTGGAGACAGGCTTCTCCGGTGCTTCAGTGGACCAAATGCGGCCCTGCTCCAAATCCGAAGCCAGGCTCTCACTGTGATCCCTTGCGACGTCCAAGCCGATGGATCCACAAGGATTGGATAGGACTGGTTGGATATCTGAGTCAGACTGCATCTATAGCGATCATTACATCATATGTTATATTCAAAATGCGACAATATGTGCCAGAGTGACTCACGAGTTGCAGCTTCCAAACCATAATCATCAGTTTCCCTACAATTCCTAGCAGGGGAAGGGCTATCAAACCACCCCAACCTTGCCTCAAAAAATCAAAAAAGTCGCAGATGTTCGAAGCAAAGTTTGCTTCCAACATCCCCAAATCTCGATCTTTCAGGGCAAATAGCACATGCGCGTACCTGGCAACAGTCTCCCACCCATCAGCAGCTTCCATCCCTCAATTCCCAGCACTTCTATACTTTTCAATGAGATTTGCCATTTGCGAATGGATCAAAGACCTATAATTGGTGGACATACTTTGCCAGCCAATTTTGGTGTTCACCAGGGTACCAGGGTCTTGATCCATGGCGCATAGCCATATCAAAGCCTAGGGACATGGCATCTGGCTCGTGCATGATGTCGTACGCCGCCTTGGGGCTTGAATAAGCACAGAGCAGCCGATCGAAGTTGGGGCTGTCCGGTGCTCGCTTGCAGCCCAACACCACACCTGCGGGCCACGGGTTGATCCCTGTCTCAGGGGGATAGCACTTGAAACCACCAAGGCACTGGTGCAGTTTTCAAATGAGACACCCTTTCCTGCGCTCGTGAAGGGCCATGGATATCCCCAAGTTTGGACCACCCCCAATCTCTTGGTAAACCCTCATGTCTGGTGATACATTGACCCTGTTCCGGCATCTAGAGAACATCTGCGTATCCTCTGGTACTCAAAGGTTGGATTTCCGGAGGATAACATCTCCCCAACAAAAATGTCCTCCAGGTATTGGCCCTAAGGCTAAGGGTCTCTTGTCCAAAAAATCACCCATGAGCAGCCCAATCTGTGGCGCCCAGATTCCCCACCTGAATCCAGCTGAAGTTTCTGCGCCCTGAAGGCCAACTTCAAACTCCTCTGCAGCGTCTCCGTGGCTTCCGGGAAATATCGATGAAGCACGGCCAGGGCCACCAGGCCGCCCCTAGCGCTGGGCCCCTGGAAGATGCTGTAGAAGTCCCCGAAATATGGGAAATGCATGGAAATGCCAGGTACAAAAGTAATAAAAAGTTGCAATAAATTACTACTTGTGGAAGATTTCCCCATCATCTCCCTCCCAAAGACATTGGCTGTACATAACAACATAACTCTACTCTCAGAAGCTGGTATTGCATCATCTCCCCCTGCATCCAAAAAATTGGCGGCAATTAGCAACAACCACCAATGTCAAAGGTTATAATGATACATTTCTCTACCCTAAATTCCCCCATTGGCACTAAGAACTGTAGCAACCTGGAACAACCAACTTTCCTGCCCATTCCCCCCGGGTTCCCCCCCCCCAAAAAAAAAGGGCCCTGCCTGCGGTGGAAGGTCTGCCCCAGATCCATCGCCTCCGGCAGAAACTTTGGTTCCCCCGCAGTGGCCGAGGTCATGGCCAGCCGCGGCGCAGGCCCGGGGCTCAGCACGTCAGGCTCACCGCGGTGGATGCGGTGCAGGTGGGCCGTGTAGTCGGAGTATTGCCTTAAGGAACTGCTTGGGGTGGCTTTGGGGGGCTTGGGATAGCTGGGGTGAACCTTACTGGAATCTTAGTAGTTGAACTCTTGGATTTTTTTGAGGCAGGATGATTGGTAGACACCCCTAGGTGGTGGCTTGGGGTGGATGCACCAAAGTTTCAGCAACTGCAACCCCATCCTCCTACTGGAACTGCCTGGATGAACCCCCAAAATGATTAGATCCAATGATAAACCGGGTGGTTGGCGGTTATATTTAATATCAAAGGAAAGGGATGAGTTAGTACAGTATACAATGGTTGTAGTTTATTCCAGTCATCCGTTGCCAAAGGAGAATATTGTGAAGTGACAAATGTAAATGTGATCACATGTTGGGGGGCTTACTGAACAGGCTTGCTGGGATACACATGATGATCCCCTCATCAATCGGGATTTCTGCATCCTTCAACCTCCAAGTTGTTTGAGACCATCGATGAATTTTGTTCCCCGAAGCCATCCCCCAAATAAAAATCCCGGAGGTTCTATGTTTCAATGGATGAGTTTAAGGCTTAAGGGGAAAATGATAGGGAACCCCTATATTTCATGGGGAAAACCCATGGTTTCCGGTTCCGATTTTCCCTTCAACCAATCTAGTGATATGTTGCCCTCCGAAGTTTAATCCATTTCAGGACCCACTTCTGACTCACCAGCCACGTAATTGGCTGCGCTCGACGGTATGCTTCCCAGGAATTAATGGAGCGCAGCTGTGCATGGGCGCCGTAAGCTGTTTCCTGGCAAGATAAACCGAAATTCACAACATCATGATACACTTCAATTATTTTGGCTCCCCGATTCTCAACCAAAACCATATCAAAATCAACAGCTATCAGGTCCATAAACTTCTTTGCATGTTCACCCTGTCACTTTGGGTGGTGCTTTTGACCCACGGCCATCGGTGTTGAAACTGCACATGTGTTAAATGATGTTATATGTGGCATGTGCTTGGATTTGGACATGTGTCCCTTTTTGCTCAAATAAATAATTCGAATCCCAATGTTTGTGGTTTGAGTCCCTTTGCTGAACTAAAGTCATTATTATTGATGAAACTTGACTGTGTGTGTGTGTGTATTGAATATAAATCCAAATATACCCACACTTGTCCAATGTCAAAATCATTCAAAATCCATCATCTCTGATCATCACCAAGCCTGGTGTCGCTTCAGCAGCTTCTGCAACAAGTCCTTCTGCACTGCTTCCGCTCGCGAGGCATCATACAGCACTTGACGTAGCCGCAGCTCTCCAAGGTACCTCCTTGGGGAGCTCAGGGGCGGCAAAAGGGTTAGACATGGATGGGTCTTGGACTTGGGTATGGTTGGCTATGGTTGACTATGGCTCGATATTTTTTGATATTTTTTGGTGTTGATCCGGCTATATCATGCTCAATTCATGCTATATCTCGACTGTTTTCCCACATGGCCACAGTGGTGTCGATTGTGTTCCAAAAGGGGATGGGTGCCTCCAACCTGCAGGTTCCCCGAACGAAAGTGACTTTTGGATTTCTTCGGAAGATTTTTGGAACCTCGCGCATGTTGAGAAAACTGGTCTGTAATAAAATCCTCAAAAATCTTAAACTGGGAAATTCTGAAAACTAAAAAATGCTTGCTATACATCCAACTGGCGACATCGGTGTGTACAGCATGTACTGCTGCACGGCGCTGCGCCATGTGTGGCTCTCGGACCATTCCCGTCGTTGCACCTGCCACAGCACCAGGCCGGTCGCCAGCGCTGCGCTGCCAACGGCCGGATGCCACCAGGCCATGGTTCCAGGGCCCACATGGCTGCTGCTTTCCCTAAAAATGGGAGAGTTACATCGTATGTAACCACCCATAAAATATAGGAATAATGGGGTAGAACTATAACATATGATGATATGATCAATTATAGTGGGAGATTCATAATTCAACGGTTTGCGATGGGGAAATGACCGTTTATAGATGATTTGCCTATCCAAAACTGTTGTTTTCCACAGCTATCTTAAATTACCAGAGGGTACACCGTATAATACCATCCTCGAAATGTTTGTTGTTGAGGGTTACTATAATCCCATCCGCCACCCATAATTCTCCCATATGATCCCATTACAGTAGAAGGGGCAGGGATTAAGTAAATAATATATCAACAGTGGAACAATGCTGGCCTCTTTTAGGTGAAACAAAAACAGGATCCCAACTGTGGCTTTTGAAAAATATGTGATGTGCCTATTCCGATTGGTCATCATATAACTTGCATTGATGTCATGATCAATTTTCCAAGGGTGTGCAAGTTGGCAGCTCCAGCTCTCGCCCTGTTTTCCACTGCTGGATGTTACACTTCCGCCACGTCCCCCTCAGTGGGGCTGCGGCCCAGAAACAACAGCCTCGTCGAACGGCGGCGGATCGCTCTACTTTGAGAGTGCCGTCGACCACGGGCGGGCAGAGGGTTTGCCAAAGGCCCTCTTGGATGGACCAGGCAGCGGAGTTTATCAGGTCAAAAGTACCTCACTGTCTATGTATTTGAGTGTAATGATTTGGGCATAGACCCTCCAAGTACCTAGAAGAATGGGCTTAATATACCGTACCCATGATTTTGTGATATTTTGCGACTTTCACCTATTTTCACGGATACTTGGAGGGTTTCAGTATGTGAGCAATTGTATGCGATTGCATCACGGCACATGACAAAGTATGTATATTGCATCCTCTATCACGAACATCAATGCTGAAGCCGGCATCAATAGCGGCCACAGGAAACCCGCTATCATTCACACCAATACCAATACTAAACTTAGAAAAAAACAAGACGATCCAGTTTCCATCGGTCAATTCGACCCATCCATCTATCCCACCTGACCATGGAAGCCATGGAACTCAAAAATGAATTGAAAAATGCTGACTGTACCAACCATTGTTCCCATGTTTTTCACCAGATTTCAGCCGCCTGGCTCCGTTAGGCCTTGTGATAGGCCAGTGAAAGCTGCTGCGTCTGGAACAGGCATGTCATGCCAACACTGGTATGGGGTGATATGGTTGCCCTGCAGCGTAGCTCCCGGCTCATTATCGACCTAACATGAGCAACTGGGTTGAAGAAACTCGTGTTCGGACGTGTGACAATGTGCCAACTTGAAACATTAGTAAACATCCACACAAAATGTGCAAAGCCATGCAAACTCATTAAAATACTGCGTATGCACGTAGGAGCCAACTATCTGACCATAGGTGAACAAATGCCCCTCTGTTCAGCCACAAAATTAGTAAGTGCAAGTTGTTTCTTCAAAGTCCCTGATTCAGACACAGTTCCCAGTCAATATTCTCCTTTTGGGGGAAAACAAGGGAGGGAGGGTTTGGCCGGTTTATGCCGGTTTGGTCTACTGATATCTAGTCGTTTATTGTCCATTGACTATTGTCTACCTGGTGGGGGAACCGGTCCCAGATCTTTGCAGCTTCCCAGGCCGGAACCCGGGTGGACCCCGTAGGAGATCAGACATTTTTCCAGGGCTGGATCTTATGCTTCCTACAGCGTCTAAACCATGGTTTCTAAGGGGGTTCTTTCATATTGTATAGAATGATGGGATTGCCCATCTTCTCCCGGGAACAAAAAAACTTCAAAATCCGTGATGTATGAAATAATTCAGATGGGCCAGTAATGTCAATATAAGATATAAGATGGGCAAAAAACATGCCACATGGGATTCTTTGTCCCCTTTTTTAGGGAAAGAACAGAAATGAAAATATCGATGAACATCAGGTACAAGTGAAATAGTATAACTGCCAGTCATAATGTAACTGTCTTCGGCCCCCAGAAAAGTCTTGCGGTCCATGCTCAGATATGGAAACCATATCTGCATCTCATGGCCTTGCTGGGTCAGAAACGGATCTCCACTGCACTGTAGTTGAGGTCAACCTACCATATATAAGGCCTATGTAAGTGAATATCACCACAAAATATGGCCTTATATGGTACAGTATCCTAAAATGGAGGTCAACCTACTGTCTGATCACCCGGGCAAGGTCCCTATTCGCAGGTCCCGTGGTGAAACGTCGCATCTGTCTCTGCTGCAATGCTGGCAGGGTTGTGCACCCTGTCATGGCAAGGCATTTTTTCCTATGCTTTGCACTTTGAACTGGGGAGCATCTAGTGGATTTTCTGCAGTTGTGTCTCATGCTGTTGCCATCCCTTGTCCACTTGGGGACGTGTTTTTCTAGAAGAAGCATATTGCAAGCACCTGACTTGGGACTGTCACGAAGCCAAACCATATGCACCGCAGATTTGTCATCTTAACCACCACTGGTTGGTGCGACAAACCTCTCATTCGCTCCAGCTGGCCCCTGCCGAACTCGCCTACGGATCCACATGGGTCACCCTGGCACCAGGTGCCCTGAGTCGCTCGTGTAGGCCCTCATTGTCCCTTTCCAACTCCTGACGAAGTTCTCAATCCCAATGGGATTTGCCGGTACCAAAGCAAGAACATAGAGATTCCCCGAATGCTGGAGTAATCAATGGTGGAGTTCAAAAAAAGACCTTCAGCAAATCTAAGCAAACCAGACTTGAAGTATGATCTATCACCCAACTGTTGATTTCAGCAACATCTTACAGGTATCGAGGTCCCTTCGCAGCATTATTTTTTGGGAAAAACTTTTTCTACCACTCCATCCATGAAACGTGTAGTCTTCGCGCCAAAGCAAAGTATCTAATCTTAAAGTGCACTGGGCAACTAGCCAGCTGTTCTCAATGGAAGCCGCTTGCTGGCCTCATTGCATTCTCGTTTCATCACATCAACTGGTGCAGAAGCTACTAGAAACTCATGTTGCTTCTACCAGTCTCAGTGTAGATAAGAATAGCTCATGACCCCCCAGTTAACAGTAATCCCAGTGTTTATGTAGTTCTTATAGAACTCTAGGGATCATCCCATCCACTCCCAGCAAAATCATCGAAAGTTCATGTAGTTTCTGTATGCTTCTGCTGGTGAAACCTTCCTGAAATATACATATGTTTTACATCAAACATCCCTTGGGTCCTTTTACCATATCCGAAAACATCGAATCATATACATAAATCATATAAAACACCTTATGATCCTCAAAGAAAAACCTTATATCAAGTTGTTTGGGTCAAGTGAACCACCATCTTTTGGTCTGAGGGCCCACCCTGGATCTTCCCGAGCCGATGCCCCACTGCCCCACGGCGCCGGTACGTGGTCCTCCTTCTCCCGCAGCAGGCGATCCACCTTGGAGTGCAAGGCCTCGCTCTCGCTGCGCATCTGAGCCACTTGCGCCTCAGCAAAGGCCGTCGGCAACCTATATATGCAAGCCGCAAACAAAGAGATGCCATGACAATAGTAATATGGCATATATGTAATAACTATTGTAATAAATAATGATGATGATATGATTAAATAACAATATATCATTACTATTGTAATAAATAATGATGATTAAAATAACAATAGTAATAATATGTAAGAATGATGGTACTAACAGCTAGTACTAGGAATAGTAATATTTGACATATGATAATATACGACAATGACGACAATGAACATAAAATCTCGCTATATCACGTAAAGACTATATAAAGTTCTGGCAGGGGATGCGTTTGAAAAGTAATGAACCATGGAAACACTCAATAGTAAAGTCATGGTTATAGTGATAATGCATCTTCTACTGGTTCCATAGATTCAGATGACTTAAATGTAGGCCATTTAGGGCGCCTCGTCGTGGTTTGGATCAAACATGATCAAACGCTCAATGGTTGGCAGCAAAAAAATCATCCTCTGCGACAGTCCCAAAGCCATAGCACTGCAAGTTCCAAACCAAGAAGCCCAAACTCGGAGCCAATGTTTGATGTTTTGTGACCCACAACATGCAAGAATCAATCATCAATGGGTGAAGCCGTTTGATCTCAACTGATCAATTGTGTTCTTTGAGCCCCCCAGCCGTCAGCCGGGAGAACCCTATCAAAACAACATGGTCCTACAAAATCCCCCCGCCTTCAGCGCCGGAAGTGTTTCTAGACTGGCGGTTTCACTTTGCGTCTTCATGGCTTGCTGCACCACCTGGCGAAGCGTCATTCTTGATGGTCCTGGAAAATTGAGGCAGCCAGGGCCAATAGATAGTAACACATAGTAACCCCCAAAAAAGGCAAGAGTAAAAGAGTGCAATACTTTAAGACTATTTTAGTAGCATGTTCCTTTCCCATTTTTGGGCTTCTATAAAGAAAAGCGAAGGACTTCTTGGTATGAGGGCTTATGTGCAAACTTTGACACCATTGGTCTGCAACCATTGAAGGCTATCCTTGAAGCGGTGTCTCTGTAGTCAGCCCAAACCATCAAAGGATGCCATTGCAAAGCTGCAGAAATCAAAGCCATATTCGACCCGATCACTAGCTGCCACCACCACCATCACAATAATCTAGGGTACTAATCATCATCATTGTCCTCCTCATCCTTATCCTTATCATCATCATCATCATCATCATCATCACCATCATCATCATGATCATGAGTTCTCATCAAAATCATGATCGTTGTATAGTGTTGTCTTCATCAGCATCATTCCTTGTATACAAAGTATGATATAGGTATAGGTTTAGACGCTAGATATATCTAGATATCATATAGTTTCAAACATAGATATCCGGTTGGTGCTGTTTTCTTAACCCCATGGATAAATATTTGGCACCCTGGATCATCCTCCCAAATATGGGAGAAAAAAACAGTAATTGAAACCACCATGCAGATCTATATATATATAGATCCAATGTCAACCCCGGATTCATAACCCTTGACTATTCGTTGGGTGGGTTACCCTTTTAAACCCTCGTAAATGAATACAAATCACTACTTACTAAACTTGAGCCCCTCCCCCTATCAACAAACTGCAACCCCAGTCTCCGACCCACCTACCCGCAGCACCTCCTCCAGCACTCCTTGATCATAGGCACCCGACAAAATGTTACGGAGCCGGTTCCGCAAATCTTCCAATTCCTTCTCCTGTAGCGAGGAAAGTTATTCCGCGGCAGCTGGATTGTCTTGGGGGGGAGAAATCATCCAGGTTTTGAACTATGCAACTATGTTCAAGAGACCCCTGAAAATTGCATCATCATCATCATCATCAACATCAACATCAACATCAACATCATCCCCATTCATCCCCTGGCTTGCAGTCACTTGATCCATGAAATGGTCGCCAAAGAGCCTTAATACTGTCACTTCAAAGTGCCAGCTAGGGGATTACAAGTAGCCACCAACGTTGCGGAGTTGCAGTACTGGGAGCTTCTGTCCATCCCTGCTATTGGGCCAGGCACTTCACCATAGTTCCACCCTCTGAATGAGGGATGTGGGAGGACCGCGGATCCATCCCCACCGAGCTTAAGGAATCTGCACCAGGCCATCAGACTTACAACAAGTGGGGAGTTCCCCATGGGAACCTTGATGTAATGCAACCATGTGCAACCTGAAAATAGGCCTCCATAACCCCCCACACCTCATTGCTCTGCGTGCCATAGGGGGCCTGGCATGGAGCTTGGGTCGCTGGGCCAAGGTCAACCTGGAAGCTGGGACCTGGCCCTGCGGATCCAAATAGAACCCGTCCCCACCTGATCCGCTGATGGGCTGGCGATGGTTTGGGGCGTCGCCTCAGTACCAACACGCAGCTGGCTTTTGGATGTGGGGCTGGCTTTTGGGGCCCCAAGTAACAAGCCATGTTTTAGGCGGTTCCATTCCCATCTTCTAAAAGGGGACTGGCTATGCAAAGACTCCAGCCCAAAAATGCAAGGAAAGACACACAAATATATATATATATATGTGTGTGTATTTCTATATTTATCTATGTATATATATATATATATATGTGTGTGTGTGTATTTCTATATTTATCTATGTATATATATATATATATATGTGTGTGTGTTTTTATTCATGTATTTATTTATAATCCAAACATACGAATATACTCTTGAAGTCCCCCAGGCTCCAAAATACATGGATCCGATGTCTCTGCGTCCGTGTCACAGCTGCTTCTTCTGCGGAATCCTTGGGTGCAGCGGGGCCCAAAGTGCATTGCATTCAGAACAACAGGGACTGTTTCAGCATTCTGGCGGCCCCTAGCGGCCATGTGAGTGATTCATCCTCAACTGGTTTGGTTGCCTTGCAATCCGTCTTGACATAGTATTAAGTAGTTGAGTGGGTGTCACATCCCAACTACAAGTGATATTGCACAGCGGATACAACCACCGTTCAACAGCTCATCTTAGATACTAAGGACCCTTCAAGCAGCTGATGTTGCACTGCCGTATCAAAGTTCCCACCGTTTCTTGCCAAATTCAAGGTCTGCCCACTTTAGTTCATGTCATACAACTATATGATCAGTTCTCTCTCTCTCTCTCTCCATTCCCTTCAGACCAAGTCTGCCTCAGCCTCCAGCCTAACTGTCATATAGTCGATCCCTACCTTTTAGTGGAAACAAATCCGTTGCCGCTGTTGCCGTAACCGCCCCTTCCGTTGATCCCAGCCTTCTGTTCCTTCAGCTTGAAGCTCCCGGACTGGCAGCCAGCAGTTTAGTCAGTTTCGTCTAACCCTGGCTTGCAATATGGAGCGCGAATTATTTTTACACTGCGACATGTATCGGTATACGTATTCATCTGTATTCGTCTGGATTTAATTTTTGAACAGGTACAACTAACCTTATATGTATACGTGTTCAGAAACAGAAAGCATTTGATTGTCAAGTTGGTCTAGACCTTTCCAGTTGTGGCGTGCCTCTCGCAGAGATCGCAACGTCTCAGCAAGGGTGCCAGAAAGTGCAGCCTGGGTCAATGAGGTCACATCATCTGGACCCCTCGTCATAGTCAGGTCACACACAAATCCCAAATCATCCAAATCCATAGGGGTACATGACAAATGGCGAACTTCCATGACCATCCCTGCAAGTTTACTTCATCTTTAGTTTGATATATTACATTATATTACCATCATTGATACTGAGGTCAGTTTACATTAGTTTACCAATGTTTTACCCTAAAGTGAAGTTTAAATACAAAAAACAAAAGATCAAAGCACCTCGGCAAGCTAACACCGAACACCCCCCAAAAAAGGTGCCCTAGTTTAGCCGTAGGTGAAATTAGAATCAGAAACAAACACTTTACGCATGGAATCTTCTGTAGAAGAAATTCTGCACCAGTCGGTTTATGTATATGGTTTATCCCATCTGGTTAGTGGTTTCAACCCCTCTGAAAAATATGAAAGTCAGTTGGGATGATGATGACATTGCCACAATATATATATATATATGATTATATATGTGGAAAAACAATCCAAATGTTTGAAACCACCAACCAGCCATAATAATACCATGATTTCCAGTGTTTCATAGTTACGAAACCCCTCAAATCCAGCCAACCCGCGCCTCGGTCAGGGTGTTCTGCAATTCTTGCATCGTCTCTTGCACGCCCTCTGCAGGGCCTACCGAGACGAAGGCGACGAAGGCGAAAACGCAATAATTGGAAGCCTTACAGGGCCTTGCACTACTCACACGATTAGCTCTTTACGTCATGTTTAGCCCACGTTGGGTCCATGTAAGAGCAATGCTAGACCTTCTCAATAGTTAACGATCTTGCCCTCATTCTACACACACTTTAAAACCCCGTTCGGTAGCAAGTAGATGCCTATCAAGACTGAATTCAATCTCCCAAAGACAAATTGATTTGTTTCAGGATGCGTTTTATATTGAAGAAAAATGGTTCCCAAGTCATCCACGTCTATACAATGTGGAATCGTCAACAATAAACGATCAAGTACGTGGGATAATTTATCACAATGCTAGATGGTTGGTTGGAATTAGAGCATGATGGATCCCACATTACAGCCCAGATTCACAATGTTTGAGAAATGAGAAATCCTCATCTTTGATTGCTTAATCCCTGTAGGAATCACCAGAAAAATAACCATTAAAACCATCATTAAATAACCATGAATCCCATTCATAATCCAGACTATCTGCCATTTATTGAATGTTAGATCCCCACAAACACACCATTTATTGATCATAGTAACCCTGTCATCCAAAAAAATATGTTGTTTGACCTCCCTTTTTTGGGGGGGGTGGGTTGCTACCCTCCGGCCATCCCCCGGGGCCTGAGCGCAGCGAGGCCAGCGCCTCCGCCAGGTGCCCCGCCTCCGCCGCGTGCTGCAGCGCCTCCAAGGCATTGGGAAGGTCCAGCGAATTTTCTGGATATGATGGATGATGTGGGATATATGATGTAATATATATATATATATATATCTGAAGATATAATATATATATATATACGTGTTCCCGAATAGAATTGAAAATGACAGAAACGGAACAAAGCAACTGCATCGGTCAGTCAGCACCTTTTGTTATGCAGTTGGCTTTGCGGCTGTGTTTCTGTCAGATGCCAATCGCATCAATCACAAATGGTTTCACAGAAACTCTGAACTGCAGTGGTGGTGTCACACGTCAAAATCCACCCAACCCGCCGGAGCGTGAAGCTCGCGCAAGTAAGGAAAGGAAAAAGAGGGTTGTAGGTGGGAAAACACCACTGTACACCAGAAAGTCAGCCGCAACCACCTGGCTCCCGAAGGACCTTAGGTGGCGTGAGAGTCGGTCTTACGACGTTTTGAATTTCCTGAAAAGGTGGGGACACTCATCTGGTCATCCAGAAGGGCCCAGAGAAATTTAAAATGGGAAAAAGCTTCACTCACTGGTAGTCGTCGATCAGGATGAAAACCAGTGAAGTTTGGGTGGGTGAGTTCGTCCGCCCACTTGTTGTAGTCCCGCTTCATGTGTGAAGGCGCCAATTGAACCCCAGCAACATAGAGCATGGCGATGAGCTGCATTAGGAAGGCTGAGGTAGGCATGTGCTTCGTCTTCTGGTTCAACAGGGCAAAGACATTGCCTTGATTGTCTGAAATGAGGCTGAGACGGGTACGAAGCAGAGATTTCCCACCCAAAGCCAGAAGGAAGGGTCGCAATGCGTCTGGTTGGATCACCATCCTTGTGAGCCCATGGATGGTCTTCGAGGGGTATCTTGTAGTGGAACCACCAGGTCTGTTCCTTTGATGGGTTCTCACAATTTGCAATCCACCCCAATGTAGGCCCCATCGTCCGGGCGTGCACTAGCATCACTGGCACCCCACCAATTGGAGGCAGGGTCGTAAGGGCAGGGCTGGATCTGGGGGTTGTGAAGCAGCTGGAGGAGAAGCTTTGCAAAGGATCGTATGAGCTTGCCGGGCTTCCCTGAGGTAGTCGTCGCGGACTTCCATGCCCAAAATGGCTGAAGAAAAGGGCGACTGAGGGGCCAAGCTGCCGTTGCCCAATTTAATCGTCCCAGTGCTCTCTCAATCTCCTTCACCGTGAAGGTGTTGCCCGCAGCGATGGTCTGAAGGAGTGCCTCAAGTGTCTTCCTCTTATCTGGAGGGAAGTCGACCACTGGTCCGCATGGATTGACCTGGAAACCTAACCAGGTGTTGACCTCAGATAACACCGTCTTGTGCCAACTGAGGGGGCATCCCATGGCTGCTAAGGAGAGAAGTAGTTTTGCCGTATCCTCAGTGGCGGAGTCCGTCCTGAGGAGCCAACAAAAATCGTCCACGAACGCAAAGCCCCAGCCTATGCGTGGAAACATCATGTAGCATAGTCTGAGGAGGAGTGCCGCCATTCTGCCCCAATAAAGTTGGGCGCTGGCCATACCATAGGTACCCACCTTGTTTATCCACCATTCACCATCAAGTTGTGCTACCTGGTAGCGCCATTCGTTGGATTGGACCTTGATGCGGCGGTGTGCTTTTGAAACATCTGCTTTCAAAAGTGCCCAGGTGGTTTGTTTGTGTGGAGGTTGCCATGCCAGGTCGGTGCAAGACGCTACCGTCCCAGATGTCTTCTCCTTCGTGGTGGTTAGCCAGTGAATGGCTTGAACACAGTCCATCACTGTGGGTGCAGTGGTCTTCTCAACTGTGTTTTGTTGGATGTGTGAGTTTGCATGGCCCCAGCTTCCGTCGTAGATTGTGCGGATTTTATCTCCTTCGTCAATTGCCGCCAGGGGCCCTGGGCAGAGTTCATCTGGGGTGCATCCACAGCGGAGTGCAGCCTCCTCCTGTGTGAGTGGGCCCTCAACCATACCCATATCTACCTCTTCCACGAAGGTCTGTCGAACCTGAGAGGAGAAATCTTTTGCCGAGGGGTAGTTGTCCCTGCCCATGGGTATTAGGAGGTCCTCCCACAGAGGGGATTCTCCTTTGAGTTCTTCCTTGGTAGGCCATATACCCGGTGACGTCCAGGTGGGTGTGGTGACACCTAAGGGGACTCCCTTGGCAACCCTTGTGGGGTAGGCTGCATCTGCATCTCCACCAGCTTCCGCTAAGGCTGAGATGAGGTTCAGATAGAACGGCTGGCCTGGCTCCATCTCCTCAGCAAGTTGGTAGTCCAGCCCGATCCCTTGGGCAATGGCCCGTCGTGTCTCCTGAAGAAGTTCCTTAGGGAACGGATGTTTTCTTTCACCCCTGTTGATGGACTGTTGGACGTCCTGTGCACATCCTTTCGCCAGGTGGCTAATGGAGTCTCCAATGTGCTTGATCTTGGACTGAGGTCTGAGCGGGGGAGGTCGTCTCCCGGCTGAGGGCTTACCTCCTCCATCCCGTAGAGGTCTAGTCTTGAAGCCTGATTGAACGATGATCGGGTCGTCATCCAAAGTCATCGTCTGGGAGAGGGGTACCGATGAGGAGCGGTCTGTCCGACCTGGAGGCTCCCCTTCCTGTTGGCACCCGGTGGGTTTATGTCCTGTGTGTGGAATGCTCTGGATGATTGCTGCTGCCAGCCCTGCCATCAGTGCTGGCGGGTATCTGCTGAGGTCCCGGGAGGTCATCTCCATTGGCCTCAAATGTTCAGAGTGGTTGCACTGGAGTCCTTGCCAATGGTGAATTGGAAGGTCCGTTGAGAAGGTCGTACTCTTCTGTGCCCTTTGTCCCAGTCTGCACTGGTCCAGGTGGATCTGGCAGTGATTTACCTCTTTGGCCCACTCCTGGTAGACTCTGGTGGCCCATATCGATGAACATTTTGCCGCCGTTGGTGCCCGACTACACTCAGCTGGATCACGAGGGTGTTCCAAAAATGAGTGGAATCCTTTGTTTTGCCTGGCTTTTGAGGCTAGGGCAGTGATGACCAGTTGCCGGAGCAGAAGGATACTGTCCTTGTCTGTGTCCAACTGTTCTTCCAGGGAATTTGAGTCAAGGCCCCATGTCTGGGAGGGATCACGCCCTCGTACTGGCCTGGGCGCTCCAGGCTTTGGAAACCATCGTAGGATGCTCCAGGTCCGGCAGTTGGGGCCGCCCCCCACAAATGACAACTGGCCCCTCGCGGCGGCGCAGCAGAGAGTTGAGTAAAACTCATCATCCAATATGTCGTTTGGGCCCTTTTCTGGTGGCCTCAGGATATCCACGGCAAGGAGCCTGGGGGCCAGGTCCTGGTGTTGTTGGATGAGTATGTCATCCAAGGCTCCTCCGTCACTCCTGCCAGTGTAGAGGAGTAGTATGTCCCTCCCTTGGAGACTACGCGTGGGTTGTGTGGTCCATACAAGGCGTTCCAACAGCCTGTTCGGAACCGATGAGAGCCATGGACAGTGCCCAAGCAGGGACTGTCCATTCATGATCATCGTTGTATCAAGTGGTCGGCCCACTGTCTCTTGTTGTGAATGTGGTGTGCTTGTGTCGTTGGGGTAACCTGGGGGAGACTCCCCCGGCTCCATTGTTGCTTGGTTTTTGATAGGTGTTGGGGTGTCCATCAACCCTGGTGGGTGATCGGTGCAAGACGCTACCGGATCCGCCAGGAGTCAACGGTGTGGGCATTGCTCTGGGGTGTGTTCTGAGGGTGCGGCGTTGCATACCCAGCCATTTTTAAGGACCGGACAGTTGTGGGAGCGTCCGCAGCTCCCGGGACATTTCTTCTTGAGGAAGTGGTCACGGCAGTACTGCACTCCCTTGGGTGAGATCTTAGCCCAGTTTGAAGGCCATTCAGAGTCCTTCCCTTTTCCGGATCCCATGGCCCCTTTGGCCTTACCCCCTTTGGGTGACCCTTTTTGTTTGTTCCATTGTGGCTGAGTTGGTGACCACGAAGGTTGGCGTCCCTTTGACTTGGCTGGTCGTGTTGGGGAGTCAGGCCCGGAGCCTTTGTTGCCTTTCTGCCGGGCGACAGACTCATAGACCTCTCTGGTCCAAAACAGGGTGTCCTGACGTAGTTGGGCCATGGCCTCCTTGAGACCCAGTCCCCCGTAGACCAAGTTGTGGATCTCCCTCCATGCGTTCCTTTCAGCGTAGAGGAGAACCTGTTCACTGGGCGGCGGTCTCCTGTCCGCAATGTCTTTCCCCCAGAACCATCGGTACCAGTCCTCTAGGTCCCTGTGGGTGATGTTCAACTTCAGCATGCTGGGGAAGGAGAGGATGGCCATGAGGAGGTTGGTTCGAAAGACCAGGTGCATGTGCTCCAACTGACGCCTCGTAGTTGGGAGTTTCCGTGTCTCCTCCTCTTCTTCCTTTTCCCATCCATCGACCGTCACCTTCTTGGTGGTCTTGATAGGCCGCTCATCCTGGTCTGGTAGGGCTGATATGATGTACTTGCTGGCAATCCAGCCAACTTCTCCTTGCGCACAGAGTTTGAACTGTTTCTTCAACAAGGCATCCGAGCCTTGATCCTCCAATCGTGGGAGTGGGAGCTGGACGACCACCGTCCATGTCTGCAGGAGCTGGCGTCGATCACACAGGGCATCCAGTGAGGGCGCCGCCTGTGATGTCGTCGGTAGTAGCCCTGCGGGTCCCACTCTGCCCTGGTTCAGGCCCCCAGTGCCCAGGAACTGTTGTGCTTGACGGACACATTGTGAGATGCGCATGGCCAAGTGATTCGTCTTCTCTTGTGTGATCAAAGCTCCCCCACGGTCTGTGTGACGGAACTGGAGGTCTGCTGGGGAGTTGTTCCGGGCCTCCGTGATGGTGGGCCATCGATCGGCAAGGTCCTCCACCGAGCGGTAGCCATCTGATGCCATCCTTGCCATGATGAAGTATGGGATCTCCTTGGACTGGAAGATAGTCAGGACTTGTTGGTGAAGCAGATCCACCTGATCCTTATATTGCTCGGGCACCACATCAGGTGGGGAATCCAATACATCAGGCACCGCCGCCATGTTC